GGACTGCCGATTCTGCACATTCTGCAGCAACAGGGGTCACACCTATGCAGACTGCCGCACAAGAATGCGTCAAGAACAACAGCAGAACGGTACTCAAGGTAAGCAATCTACCATCACCATAAATGCAATGAAACTAAATAATTATGCTGAATTAACATTTAATCAAAGCAATAATAACACTGACATACCCTTCTCTCTGCAAAATAACCCGCAGGCAACCAGCAATCCTAATGATCACGCAGACAAGACGGACATTATGAGCCACTTGGTCGAGTCCCTCGACACTAAAAACATAAACAATAGCATTAGCAACATAAACAACATAGACAATATAGAACTGAATACACAACATACACAATGTGCCATAACAATCAAAAATAATGCTACTGGTGTTAATCGCATTCCTGTCATACAACGAGTACGTACAAACCCCACGCCTGCCACAACGGTGTCAGTGCCAAGCCCTTGTTTGGATATGCGTTTAGATGTTGAAAAGGGGGGAGAAATAAAGGAATGTCAATCAATTCAGAACGCAAAGAAAGAGGAATTTGCATTAAGCAGTCATACAACAAACAACAAAGCCACCGAAGAAGAGCCGGAACTAATTTCTCTTTCGCGTGCCCATAAGTTTGCAATAAAACAAGCACTTCACCTCCGCAACCAACAACAACTATCAAAGCAAGCAAGCACAAACAACCCAAGCATCACTGTCGCCTCATCATCCATTCTACCAGGATCAACACAATTACACAATAACATTCGGGCGATACGACTTGAGGACACCCTTTTACAGGAACTGCTAGGGAAAATGGATTCGCTTAGCTTCTACAATACAACAAACAATAAAACAATCACTTTGCGAGCACTACAAGCACCCAACATCTCCGACAGAGAAAAAAGAGTTCTCACTACCATCACATTCGAAGGAGAGAAGTACGAAGCACTAGTTGACACAGGAGCCACAGACTCTTGCATTCGTCGGGACATAGCAGAAAAACACAAAGTGAACATCAACCCAGTCGATGGAGTCATCACGCTCGTTGATCAGTCAATCACAATCCCAAGAACTGGAAGAACAGATAACATCGAACTACAGGTTGGAATTCACTATGTGTCAGCACCACTGGAGGTCATAGATCAGCAATATCCATTCACAATTGGAATCGATCTCTTCCACCGATTTGGACTGGGCATAACCGGACTACCTGACCCAGGAGCGGATGCTACAACTCTTCCAGATCCAGATCCGGACCACAAACCTTCACTCATACCAGGAAAAATTCCAAGTCAGGAAAAAACAAAACAATATATCAAAGAAAAAGAAACCTTCCTCAAGGCTATTGAAGGTGTACTAAAGGAGAATAAACAAGTTCCCGTCACCAGTCATTGTCCCGTTCCGGAAATGAAGGTATTTCTTCCTGTACCTGAAGGCACTGTGCTTTTTAGACGACCGCGTCCATTTGCAGAAAAACAAATTCCTATTTTCGATGAAGCAATCAGGAAATGGAAGAATGACGATGTAATCAAACTAGCCCCTGTAGGCAACGTCCATAACAATTCATTAACGCTAGCAGCAAAGAAAGATGCAGAAGGAAACAAAACACTATGGCGTGTGTGTCTTGATCCAAGACCCTTAAACAAACACCTACCAGACGACAATTATCCATTGCCACTTATACCAGATATTCTCAACCGCCTATCAGGCAACGCTGTGTACACCACGATCGATCTCACACAAGCATACCACAGACTACCAATCCACGAAGAGGACCAACCTCTCACGGCATTCATGCATAAGGGTGCTCAATACATGTTCAAAAAAGCACCATTTGGTTTGAAGCCTCTGTCGAGTCTATTTCAGCGTGGAATGAACCGGATCCTCGGTGATCTACCGTTTGTGTGCAACTTTATTGATGACATCGTTATATTTTCACGTTCGAGAAAAGAGCACGCTGAACACGTAAAGATTGTAATTAAACGTCTCAACGAGGCAAAATTAATTATCAACCGCGATAAATGCAACTTCTTCAGCACACAGATCTCACTCCTTGGATTCCTTGTGGGTCTCCATGGCAAGAGTGTTGACACCAAGAAGCTTGTGAACATGCACAAGGTGGAATATGCCACTTGCGCCAAACAAATCCAATCTTACCTCGGAACGTGTAATTTTTTCCGTGAATATGTTCCAAACTTCAGTACGGTCGCAGCACCTCTAGATGCACTTCGCAGTCGAACCGACTCTTTCGTAATGAATGATGAGCAGAAGCGCGCCTTTGATGCACTACGAAATATCTTGCTCATAGCCCCTGTCTTGTCCTTCCCAGACTTCAGTCAACCTTTCTATGTAGCAACTGATGCTTCTAACGTCGGGATTGGCGCTGTACTCTATCAACTTCCAAAGGGTCCAAAGTACCCAGACACTATCAACTATATATCATTCATGTCGCGATCTTTGCAAGATCGTGAACGCAGATATTCAGCAACGCATAGAGAATTGTTAGCGATTGTCTTTGCGCTCAATCGTTTTCACTACTACCTCTGGGGAAGACACTTTGACTTATATACCGATCATCGTTCACTTGTATACATCCATACTCAACCTGCGCTCAACTCAATGCTCACCAACTGGCAAGAAACAATCTTAAACTATACTTTCACGGTGCACTATCGCCCAGGCATTCTTAACGTATTACCCGATGCCCTATCACGCCTATATCCAATTGAAATCACAAATAAAAATACAGCTAAAGCTGATCAAAAGAAAATTATTTCCTACATGCATCTAATCCAAGATAAAGAAACTGAACGCAAAGAAGTAGATCCAGTTAAAGAAACAATATATTGTTTACAACCCATGCAATGGGACATATTGGAGCAAACGCAATGGTCAATTCTATTCATGAACAAGGACTTACTTGGCCTCATCTGTCACAAGAATGTGTCGATTTTATCAAACGATGCCGAGAATGTCAACGATTCAATATTGCACGAAAAGGATACCATCCTATGAAAGCCATCAATGCTCAACTTCCAGGAGAACACATAGCCATTGATCTGGCAGGTCCGCTTCCGTTGACAAAGAACAAAAACGTCCGACTACTTGTAGTTGTTGATGTTTGTACGCGATTTGTTTTCTTGCGCGCCTTGCCAAACAAAAAAGGTCTAACTGTAGCCACTGCGCTATGGGAATTATTCTGTTTGATCGGCTTTCCTAAAATACTTCAATCTGACAATGGTGGAGAATTCGTCAATACAATTACAAAACTTTTGACCACAAAAATGTGCATCGACCATCGTCTTATTACCCCTTACCACCCTCGCGGCAATGGTGTGGCCGAAAACCATGTCAAAACAGCCGTACAAATGATCAGAAAACAAGTTCTCGAGGAGGGGCATATGTGGGACGAACACCTTCCTTTCATTCAATTATCGATGAACACACGCATTGTATCACTACACAACTCATCTCCATTTTCACTCTTCTTTGCACGTCAAAACAACGGTTTCAGCCACTTCTGTGATGAGAAAAACAATCCATTAACACAAGATAAACTTCTTGAACGACTTGAGTACATGACCAAAACAGTCTTTCCAGCAATCAAAGAAAATACAGAGAACACTCAAAAGAGAATGATAGAGAGGTTCAATCGTACAGTATTACTCAACGAGTTCCCCGATGGAGCCAAAGTGATGACACTTGATCCAATTCTCGGCGAAAAATTATCACCAAGATATGAAGGACCATACACAGTAGTCAACCGCAACGCGGGTGGCGCATATATCCTTAAAGATGGAACTGGCGCTATTTTAGAAAGATCATACGCACCATCTCAACTCAAACTGGTCCTTGACGACGCCGATGAATCAGACACCTATGAGGTGGAAAAAGTGGTAGCACATAGGCAACATACACATGACAGTACGAAGAAAGAATATTTCGTCAAATGGAAAAACTATTCCAACAAGCTCAACACCTGGGAACCAGAAGAGAACTTTGTTGAACGATCTTCTCTTACTTCCTACTGGAAAGATAAAGAAAGCATTAATGAACAACCAAATCATCTGATAACAGCCGATTCCCCTGCAGATTCTGATGATGAACAAGAAGAACAACAAGACGAAGAACAACATGAAGAAGAAGAATCATTATTGCCGCCAAGGCGTAAACGCAGGCGGACCCGCAATCGAAGTAAGACATAAATTATGTCCATCCACTACATGCCTTTGAAATCCAAGAACTCATAATTCGTTCTTCAAAGGGAGAGGAAAGCTGTCGCATTTTCGTGACTGTACATTATCAAGAAGCGTACTCAGTGAGATAATTAAGGGCAGTGTCCCTTAGTATTTAAACCCTAGACTTAGTAATAAACGAACCCCCATCTTCTTTCTCACTTACTCCAAGGTACGCTATATTTTTCAGTGGATGGCCAACAATTACACCTGCAAATAACCATCGCACTGTAAGTAAAGAGGTTGGTCGCATAGCATTTATAAAAGAAATTCTGTATAAACGACTTGGTGCCATTCCGGTGTACTTTTTTCTTACTGTCATCTGGTACAAGAACAAGTACGCTGGTCCATACAAAGAAGTAGAGAAAGGACTCGTGATTCTCTACCATCTCGTTAAAGGATTGTCCATGGAAGATATGGAGCCACATATTCCAAAAAGTAGTTTTCATGTAATCCACTCCAAGTTTTACAAATCGGAATATAATGCACACAACAAGTTTATTACCAGTTGTCTTGCAAACATGTTTTCTACGATAAAGATACGTTTATTGTCTGCAATGCAGAAGAATCCGCCTTTATTCCGACATGTAACTTTGCATCTGGACGGACATGATACAAGAGCAACGTATGGTGGGGAGACTAGTGCCGAACGATATTTATACAAGCTAAAGAAATCTGGTTTGCGCACACAAGTTGTTATGGACTGCAATGGAATGGCACTTGTTGTTTCTAAATCTGCAGCTTGCAAGAGCAACGCCGATGGTATCATGATGTTGGCGATGAAGATAGAGAAGAGAATAGACAAGTTGGATTGTATTGCTCTTGACGGAGGATATCCACAGTTTTTGCCAAGACTTGTAGATGAATCTGACAGTCTCACACTCCAAAATTTTGCCCATCCATACCGCAAGAAAAAGAACCAGAGCTTGACAGAGGAGGAAAATGCGTACAATTCCACATTTGGTAGTTTCCGTTCGCAGATGGAAGCTTTGTTTGGTGAACTTGGTTTCACGGTAGGGTTCTTCAACGGATCAACGGATCGGATATGGCTATCATCCGTATTCAATCCGTCGAATAAAGGGACATCCGCATCCAATCCGTCCTTTATTTCAGATGAACAGTTATCATCCGAATCCGTGGACTCTTGAATCCGTAAAGCAATCTGATCTGATAGCAATCGGATCGGATAAAACATTCATCATTCCGGATCACCCATGCCCGACACATTATTATCCGTGTCAAACGGATCATTACCCGTGTCAAACAGATCATCCGTGCCTGACGGATCATTATCCGTGTCAAAGGAATCATTATCCGTGTCAAAGGGATCATTATCCGTGTCAAACAGATTATCCGTATCAAACAGATCATTATCCGTGTCAATGGGATCATTATCCGTGTCAAAGGGATTATTATCCGTGTCAAGCAGATTATTCGTATCAAACAGATCATTATCCGTGTCAAAGGGATCATTATCCGTGTCAAAGGGATTATTATCCGTGTCAAGCAGATTATCCGTATCAAACAGATCATTATCCGTGTTAAGCAGATCATTACCCGTGTCAAGCAGATCATTATCCGTGTCAAGCAGATTATCCGTGTCAAAGGGATCATTATCCGTGTCAAGCAGATCATCCGTGGCTGACGGATCATTATCCGTGTCAAACGGATCATTATCCGTTCAGATGCGCACACTCCTCTTCTTCTTTCCTCTCAGATGCACACACTCCTCTTCTTCTTTCCTCTCACATGCGCACCCTCCTCTTTTTCTTTCCTCTCACATGCGCACACTCCTCTTTTTCTTTCCTCTCACATGCGCACCCTCCTCTTCTTCCTTTCAGATACGCACTCGCCTCTTTTTCTTTCAAATGTGCAGCTCCTCTTCTTTCAATCCCCTTGATGCTCTTTTAAATTTATTTGCATAAGACGCTGTATGGTGTTCTCGCCATCACCTTCTCCTTCTCTCACCTCCTCACTTCCCGGACCCATTCTTTTTTTCATTATTACCGTTCAACGCTCATTTTCCCTACCTTCCCCCTTTCACACCACTGTTCTACCGTCTGGGCTTTCTATGGACATCCTCTCACTCTCCGCAACAACTCTACTTTGCCAACTTTCAACTTCCCTAGTCAGCTCTCCTCATCAACTCCCCAACCTTTCACAGGCCCACTTTACCTTTTTTCTTTCCCGTTCCTGATGACTGAACGACCCACAAAGACGCCACGACGCATCCACTTGATTGTAAGAACCTTTTGGAAAATGTAATCGTCTCTCTGCCTGGTGTAGCAAAGAATGTAATTTTCATTTTTTTATATTGGTACCTTTTTATTAGGATGACGCCGACGATGACATGATAGAACGCCAACAACTGGCAGATGAGGACTCTCTTCATAACAGCATGGATATGGACATGGCTTCTACTGTTGGCTCCACGCTCGGTTCATCGGTCAGCAAATCTTCCTCGTCGGTCACGGTTGGAATGGCGCGTGCGGCCCGGAGCAAAGTCTTTACAAATAATTGGGCTAAGAAAGTTCCCTCGGGAGTCGACACAGTCACGATCTATTGTTCCTTCCCGCGGTGCACCACCAAGTATATAGTCAAAGGAGGCTCCACGGGCAACATCACTAAGCACCTCATCAATATGCACTTCGTGGATCCAGACAACGAAGTCTACAATGAGCTTTACCAAGCAAGAAAAGGGCCTTTGCATCAGATGATGGTCAAGGGGACAAAACGGCCTGCCGAAACTTGGAGTGAGCAGACATTTAAGACTCTCATTGTCGATACGGTGATCGCATGCAAGCTACCATTCCATATCATGAAGAGTCCAAAGCTTCAAGAACTCCTCTACGCCGCCCAGAGTGCGCCTTCGAAGGCCTCTGTCAAGTTGCTTTCCCCCAACACGCTCTGCAAGCAGGTAGAGTCTACCAGTACTCAGTTTCACTCTTTATTATTATTGTGATTATTTTGGGAGCTTTCATATATTAAGTTCATCTTATTAATTCATCCTTTATTTTTTATGTCTGTTACTTCAGATTACCCTACGGTACACAGATTTGGAAGTCAAACTTCGCAGGACGCTGGCAGATGTACCCAAGATTGCATTCACCCTCGATGGATGGACCGACCCCTTTCAAAAAGCCTTCCTTGGAGTCACAGCTCATTGGATAAATACCGAATGGAAACTTCAAGAGGTCGTCATTGGATTTGAGCCACTCGGAGGCTCTCACACGGGCCACAAAATGATGGAGGCTTTTGCGGCAGTTGTTGAGCGCTTTGCGGCCCCTTCATGTGCAGAGGATATAAAAAGGCATATAAAAAATATCCAAAGTCCAAGGAACGGAGTGTTGACTTCCATAACTGGCATATCTCTTCATAGTGGGCAACAGAACACAGAATAAAATAGCAATAGACAGCACAAGAATTTTTAAAATGTAATCTCTCCCCTGTATTTCACGACAAAGATACAGTTGGGAATACAAGTGCTTTAGATGGTCACATACAAGAACTACTCTGTCGAATCTTGCAGTGAGGGTTACAGTTTAATAGTAGATGAACACATTCAAGATATCGGTGAGCGAAAAATAAGAAGACTTTGTTGTTTGGAGAATAGGTTGGTGTTTAGTAGGATAGTTAAACAAAAAATGTTACAATGGTTGTCTTATATGCTTGGTATCATATATACATTCTCCTCTAATGGACGCGGTGGATATCGTTAAGATCTGCAGAGATGTAACAAACACCATATGATAATTTGGACTTGAAAGGCCTCCTTTGGGCTCCAGCGGAAAGTAATGTCGATCACCAGTGATAATGCTTCCAACGTCAAGAAAATGATGCAGGAACTGGCGGCCATGACGAGGGAGGCCTTTCACGTCCAAATTATCATATGGTGTTTGTTACATCTCTGTAGATCTCGAAAATATCCATAGCGACTATGGGATGACAATGTATATATGATACCAAGCATATAAGACAACCATTGTAACATTTTTTGTTTAACTATCCTACTAAACACCAACCTATTCTCCAAACAACAAAGTCTTCTTATTTTTCGCACACCACACTCTTGAATGTGTCCATCTACTATTAACCTGTAACCCTCACTGCAAGGTTCGCCAGAGTAGTTCTTGTATGTGATCATCTAAAGCACTTGTACTCTCAATTGTATCTTTGGGGCGAAATACAGGGGAGAGATTACATTTTAAAAATTCTTGTGCTGTCTATTGCTATTTTATTCTGTGTTCTGTTGCCCACTATGAAGAGATATGCCAGTTATGGAAGTCAACACTCCGTTCCTTGGACTTTGGATATTTTTTATATGCCTTTTTATATCCTCTGCACATGAAGGGGCCGCGAGAGACAAGAACGGTGAATGGTATAAACCTATGGTGCATTGTTACAACTTCATGGTGGATTGAAAAGCAAGTCAATGCTACTTTCTCTAATACATCCTTTTATTTGATTAATCTTGCTGATTCATAGGGATATTTTTGACGCCCAGGAGCAATATATTCCATGTCTTGCCCACATCATTAACCTGGCGGTCCAGGCTCTGCTTGGAAAGGATGGATTACGCGCCGCAGCACCCAAACGCCAAGCCCTCTACGATCAAGCCGACCCCGAAGAACAGCTACGCGGTGGGGAGAACACTAGTACTGCAAGTGCATTACGTCCTGCTTGAGCTGCTCCAGCTATCCCAGCTGCTCATGCCTCCAAGGGTTTTTCGGCTTCTCGCTCGGAGGAAACAGCTTCTGTAGATGTGGTGAATGTGGATGATATGGGCGGACCCGATTCAGACAGCAATGACACTGAAACTGATTCCAGCATGGGCCTGACTCTGGAGCACTGCGGCATTGCTTTGGACGAGTCCGACAACAGCACTGATCTGGACGGTGATGAGGGTGAGGTCGATGGCGATGGGTCTTATCCATCGGGATGGCTCGGACGACTTAGGAAAGGCATTACAAAGATTAGGTATGCGGTTATCCATTTTGTGAATACCCCGCCTTTGTTTTCTTTTTTTTATAGCCGGTGCTAATACCAAGACTTGTTTTTTATGCTCCAATGTACATGTAGGTGTTCGCAAACAGTTCTGGGAAAGTCAGAAGAATATCGCCGCCAGCGAAACCTCAAGGTCACGTTTATCCTGGAACTGAGGACAAGGTGGAACTCCACCTTTGCAATGCTCCAAAGGGCTCAAGAGCTGAGGACTGTGTACACAGATCTATGCGATATGAGAGCAATGGAGGATTACTTGCTGACGTCGGAGGATTGGGACCAGCTTGGACTTTTGTGCAATCTCCTCAAAAACTTCGCCCATCTATCGATCAAGGCATGCTCGAGTACCACCTACACATCGATCCCTTTGACGATTTATTTCTACAACAAGTTGATTGACCACGTCGAGGATTTCATTGCGACCAACAAGAAGGAATCCAGGAACAGCTATCTATGTAATGCTGCGCAGGCGGCCAAGGACAAGCTACAAAAATATTACGGAAAGACCGACCAATCGTCCATCTATGCCATCGCTACATCAATGCACCCGATGTTATGGTTTCGGTATTGGGAGCACCAGCAGTGGGAGACAGAGTATCGGGAGCTGGCCGAAGAATCCGTCCGTCGTGTATGGAGGAAGTCATACAAGTCCACGCTCGAGCCTGAGATGATAATGACCGCAGGATCCGCCACAGGGGATTCCTTACTTGCCCCTGATGGCTACGAGTTCGATGACGATCTCTTTGGTGACTGGGCGCAGAGCGATTTCGATGATCTGGACGAGTACACCAATTCTAAGAGCGCCTCATTAACCGCAAAGGATGCACTAACGTTTTGGAAAAACCAGGAAAAGTCCTCACCGCACCTTGCCAAGATGGCAAGAGATTACCTCGCCATTCCTGCCACATCTACGCCCTCGGAAAGATGTTTCTCTCAAGCGAAACTCTTTTTGCCGCATAATAGAAATCGACTAAGCTCGGAGAAAATACGCGAGTCGGTTCTGATGAGCACCTGGAATAAGATCGGATTGGAACAGGAGCAGTAACCCCTAACAGATTGAGGCGAATTTTCTTTGTGGTAGACAAAAAAAACGATGGCCCTATAACGAAGAGCAACCCCCTCCTTTCATAGCAACCAACTAGTGACTACAATCAATACAAATATCCTTCCATATCATACAGAAAACATGAAGTCAAGAGTAGCTGTCTCTCACCTGGTTCAGTAACAAGTATAGCAGCGGTTGAGGTCCTGAACTCGCATCGAAATCCTATAGCCTGCCGATTGAAAAAGTTCTATCGGTACGGATTGCAATTCGTTTTCATTCGGATAAAACTCCATCGGCTTTAGGATATGTGTCCCGCATTTTCGGATCAACAACGGATCGGATAGTTTATAGGATCGGATACAATGAGGAAAGGATCCCTAATGGATCGGATCACCAGTTCAAAAATATGATTCGGATGAAGAAAAACACGATCCATATCCCTTATTAACGGATGAATAGGATCGGATTTCGTATGACGGATATCCGTTGAGAAACACTAATTAGTGGTCATTTCGGCCGTGTATCTGGTCACTAGTGACAAGGTTACAGCAGAGACTGATCATTAATACAAAGTGTAACAGGTGGTTACTTTTGTTGATATTATTTGGTTACTATTCTACCCTTTTGTGTTGGAGCTTTCAAGTGCAATCATACATCTGTGTGGTCATTTGAGGTCTTCGTATAACACGGTAGCAGAGATTCATTAGAAAACTCACCGTTAGTTTTGATCAAGGACATTCTTGTTCAAATAAACCCGGGATTCGTCTTTGTTGGCATTTAGGTGTGCCCTCATCCGAATTCATTTGCATCAGAAAACTTTTATTTTTTTCTGGGTGTTGTTTTTTATTTTTTATTTTTTATTTTTTATTTTGAATCAAGTGGATCACTGAGCAAAGAGCACTGGAAGTTGACGCTAGAAGTGGCAGTATTATTTTTTCTGGGGTGCAGTCTGGTTGATCATCAGTTTTCAAAAGCTCATTTCGTTTTCTGTTTTTTCTGTTTTTCTGTTTGTTTTCTTTCCTTTAATTGGGTCATAGAGAATGGCAGCGAATACGGCAAAGAAGAACGAGGGCGCTGGCAGTAAGGTTGTTGGTGCATTAGATGCACTGACCTTGACGTCGGGTCGAGATGAGGGAGCAGGCATGGACGTTGATGTTGACAAGCAGAAAACTGTTGACCCTGACTTTATGGATGCCCATGCAGCCAGAGGAAAGATAAAGGAGTATTTGATGCAACTGGCGACGTTGACGAGACAGAAGATGCAGTTGACCGCGCGCATCCAAGGGTTGAGCCAAGAAGAGGGCAACCAGGAGCAACCAAAGTTGGCGGAACTAACATGTCAGATCGCCGAGGCCAAGGCCGCAATGAACGAGTGGAATGTTATGCTGGATGACCTGGAGAGTGCTGAGAGGTCCATGGGGAGGACGGCGTTCTCTAGTGTTGTGACCAGAGAGGAGAATGAGGAGTTGGGGGTTAAGAAGGGTGGAAAGATTAACTAGATCAAGTTGTCGAATGAGTTTCCGCGTTACCATTGGTTGGTCGAGGCTCATCTGCTTCCTGTTCTTGACATCAAGATCCACGGTCCCTTGATTACCAACGTCCGAGAGTTCCTGTACGAATTTCATAGAATAGGAGTAACAAAGTTCACGACGGGCGGGTTAGATGAGAGATGTTCAAGATTGTTGTGCTTGGCAAATATGGATCGTAAAGCATCTAATGCCATAAATGCAGTCTTGAGTCGTAACCCTGAAGGAAAGTGGCCGTGGGCGAGATGTGAGAAAGTGTTTGTGGAGGGTGCTATGACGCAGACTGAGAGGACAGATGAGGTTGAGAAGGTGATCAAGATGGGGTTAATAAATGTGTATCAAGTCAAGAACTTACCCAAGTTCGCTGATTTGTTATTCTTGCTGCAGAGAGCAGTCGATCCGAGCATTCTTACAATGATCCTGTTGCAGAAGCGCATTGCGGTCCTTGAGGGGATGCTGGGTGTGGCACCTGATGAAACAATGAGATCCATTGCAGGATGGGTTCAAGGGATCTCCGAAATAGAAAGCGGCTGTAGTAACCCGTTCTCTTTTGTGGTTCTTGTCTTAGATGTCTTGCAGACATAACAGAACTCGACATAATACTGGACATAATGGAGCATGTTAGGCCAGTAATAGAGTTCAGACAACCTGGCATAGGTTTTCTCAACACCATTGTGACCAGAGACAGGACAATCACGCATCTCATTCAACAACAGGGTCTTGACGGCCGGTAAGTCAGGAATGCAGAGTCGATCGCCTTTCTTGAGGAACAGGAGACCATTCTTGACTTGATAGTCGAACGGGTCGTCAGCTTTAGTTATATAGAGCGGATACTCTAACAAAAGAACGTAGTGTTGACCTCGTCTTCTTTCGAGGTAGTTGGTTTCCGCTCTATAAACTGTTTTTCCACGTGGAGCGAGGGCGAGAAACTGTAAATTGAGGATGCCGAGGGGTCACTCTCGCCCTGAAACGACTTTTTTCGCTGGAATGCAGGGGTGCAATAAGCCGATCGATCGCCGGCGACGGTCTTGGTAGAGGTAGAGGGGTGGGAGTGCTTGTAGATTGTAGTGAAGAATGGTTTGGTGTGTTGCTATTTTGAGAATGGAGCGACAAAAAATAAATGAGACAAAGAAGGAAAAAAAAAGGGCAAAAAGAGATGAAAGTGATGAAAGGTATTGTGAATGTGTCAATAAGTGGGGGATAGAAAAGTGAAGACTGGGGGACTCATTGCTTTTAAATGTCGTGCTACTACTTCGAGGCTATGTTGAGAGGAGAATGGCGTGATTAGTGACATCAAGGGAAGGTGGGAACAAGTGAGTGGAAAAAAGAGATGAAGAGCGGGATGAAGGTCTGCATGAAATGCCGTGAGAGAGAGAGAGAGAGATCCATGCAAGTGCAAGGTACTCAATCCCTCAAAAACAAAACAAAGACAGAGGATAAAAGATGTAAAGGGGAAGAATGTGCTAGAAAAGGGTGAAGGTGAAAGGGCAAAGCAATTGCGAAAGAGAGAAGGCTGCATTTGCGATGATAAATACTATGAGACGTCATCAAGGAGGAGGAGGAGGAGGAGGAGGAGGAGGAGGAGGAGGAGGAGAAAGTTCACTATTCTCCATGCGTTCCTCCCCCTTCCGCTCCTTCCCCCCACTCTGTTTCAAACAATGACTGCGGTTAGCCCGATTCCTCCTCGCCTTCGAGGTCAAGTGTAACTGCGGTTCGTAATCGGGATTGTTGCCATGGTACCTTTTTTCATCTTACCTTCCTTCTTGCTACGACTGTATCATCCCGATCCCTCTCCTCGAGTTCGAGGTTTAGTGTAACTGCGGTTCGCGATCGGGAATGTTGCAATGGAGCTTTTTTTTATTCTCTCATCATCTTCACTCTCGCCTCAAACAATGATTGCGACTAGCCCAGAACCCTGGCTTTACTTTAAGGATAAGACCAGTTTCGATTTGATCAAGCTTGTTTGGTTTTTTTTGAACAAAAGAAGCACCATAATTATATCAAGAGAACCTGCTTTGCTCGTCCATTCAAGTGGTCTTCCCATTTGGGTGTTTTGAAGTCAGCGCGCCCAAGCATCAACTCGCCTGGAATCGAATAAGCAATGCTGCTTAAGGAACAGAATAGAAATGAAGGCATTGCTGGTTAAAACATTGTGAGCCTAAAACCGATTTCGGTATTATGTTCGATATGGTTGTCTTAACTAAAAGTCTTTTTAATTTGTACCACTTGGATTAGACTCGTCGACATTCTCCCTCTTTGACACCGGTTTGCCATTGGATGAGCAGGGCAGCAACTACAGTATCTTACCTCCTCCACTGCAAGATCGTCCTTAAGCTCCATTGCGTTTTCACCACTACAACTTCCTCGTTGGACCGGGCACCACTTCTTGCACTCTAAGCAGGCCGCACTCGAGATCGATAGCTTGGATATCTCCCAAACTTTGATGGAGGCGCGCAAAGTGCTTGTCAAAAATCAGTGTCATCTCAGCGCCACTCCGGAGATTCTGCAAATTTAATGTCATTCATTTATTGTTATTTTTATTTTTAATACTTTTATCTGACTTGTATCGTTTTCAGCGCTTTGAACTTCGTCTTTACAAGGGAACTACTTTAGGATCATTTCCCGGAGGAGGTTGTTCGGGCGTTGGCAAAAGGACGAAAAGTGGAGCCGACTGCTGAGGACGTATCGGTACTCGTGTATACAGCCCTGTATTCAGTAGCACACGAGTATCGTAACTCTTTGGTGTTCATTCGCGAGAAAGCTCTGGGGTCGACATCGATTGCAGCAGATCAGGTCTTGGCCTATTCTTCGACCTCTGGCTTTTGGCAAGACGCCGTCTTGGGAAATAACGACACTTATATTCAATGGTCAGTGAGCGGTCTGATCACGGCTACTTTTGGAGCACTGAATCCCGAACATTGGTATGTACAGATATTTCTTGGGATCTTAAAGCTTTATATGTTTTTCCTTTAATAATTTGTTTCTTTGATTATTTAGATCGCAAGATCTCCTTCCAACCCCATACAACTATAAGGAACAGTTATTTCCAAATTATTTTGGGTTCTTTAGGAAGCTGCCCATAGTCGTTGCGGAGATCAAGTCCCCTACTGCTGCATATGACATGGTCGAACTGGACCACAGAAGAGTCCCATGCATGATGAAACTGTCGCTGGATCAATTTCTTGCAGCCAATGTGAAAAATTGTCGTTGTGGGTCTGTTGATAAATGGTAGGTAAAAGCATTTGTTGAATATACTTGACTTGGGTTAAAAGGAACAGATTTATTTTCTTTTTTTTATCATAAAAATAATTAGGAGGACGATGCAGATTAATGTCGTTGCAACTGGTACATGAGGCTCTTTACATCCCGGTAGAGTTGGGTAGATTCGACGTACCACAGAGCAAGTATCAGCATTCGCTTTTACTCCCAGGAATTGCTCCCCTCATGGTTGCAAAGGTATGTTTTTCATAGCTGGACTGTGTCAAGAAAGCAGACCAAGCAATGGAATGAAGCAGATAAAGAGAACCTTGATCAAGGGCTAGGAGATGAGTATGAGAAAAGGCTAAGGCGTATGTTATTTGGCGATACCAAGTAATGAGCTATAGATTTACTATCTAAGGCCCTTTTATATTTGTTAGAAGGGCGAAGTCACAAGAGCAAGCTCTTGTTTCGTGACAGACTGCCGGCGATACTGCTACTGTATATTCAAACTACTGTACTGTTGTAATTTTCTATTTGTCGCATTATTTCTTTTCTTAGGATCTCGTTTCTCAGACTATCAACGTTATCAAATCGCATCCTCCCTCGTTCAAGGTCTCCCAGATCACGTCTCCTTTGGTGCGCCCTTCCTACCATGTGCAAGGAATCAGAATTCTAGCGCCCCACCCTCCAGCCATAGGTCTTTAGAATGGATTACCTTGAAGCTTCATCGGGGCATTGGATACGAGGATGACGACAACAAGGACAACGCTTGATTAGCTTGTCATTTAACATTTTCAACATAGGAATAATGTCAATTATACAGCGCCTTCGCACAATATCTCGTACGGTACTAAGGATTTAAAATGGGAAAACAATTCATTCGAGAGACAGTAGCTGTTCAGGCACTTAAGGATTATAGTATCAGCATCTTGGACCTGGATGGAGAATAAAATACCGGGAGAAGAGCGAGGGGATGGTATTCGACATCAAAAGAGGTATAGGGAGAAATGAATAGCGAGACAAAGAGGGGGATCTTATTACCAAGGAAATGAACTGCATTTATAGGTGGTTCTCTTCTTAGTCGAGACTGCTCTTTAGATAATGCACGTGATATGGTGCACTGGAGTCAAGGTCTTTCCTCAAGCACCTTATGTGCGGCGTGGCAAAACGGATGAGGGCTGGGAGAAAGGTAAAAGACGTGTCTTTTGTTTATATGAAGTAAACCAGGGCGATGACCATAGGCATACATAATGTGGCAGAAAGAAAGTTCATACTAGATGTGGCTAATTTATATTGAGTATATTTTTGGCTCAGAAAACAGAGAGAAAGGGAAGGGGATGGAGGGGAGATATTGACTGCGGATTGGAAAATGGCTACAGAAAAAGTATCATAGGGATATTAACTGGCTTGTGGCAGCCATACGTTCATAGCGACATTGCTTTTTGATCCTTCGATGTCGGCTCTTCCGATCATACTGAAACATAATTCAGTAAGCGTTGGATTGTTCATCCACTAATAGGGAACGTGAGCTGGGTTTAGACCGTCGTGAGACAGGTTAGTGTTACCCTACTGATGAAATGTTGTTGCAATAGTAATTGAACTTAGTACGAGAGGAACCGTTCATTCGGATAAGTGGTGTTTGGGCCTGCCTGAGCAGGCAATGGCCCGAAGCTATCGTCTATTGTGTTATGGCTGAACGCCTCTAAGTCAGAACCCGTGCTAGAGTACTCCAATCAATTGATCAACCAAAGCGCGATTCGACGTTTTTTTTGAAATACTCATTCACCAATGTTCCGACCGGCCACCAGATTCCTGCCGTTCATTCTCTTGATTCGTAACCTCATTCCTCACCACTTGCTTTTTTTTTTTTTTTTTTTTTCGCACGGACCGACATTGGATCATGGCCGGAATTGAAATGCCCGTACTTGGTTGATCAATTAATTGGGAAGCCATATGTGGCAAATGATTTCCATGTTTATTAAACATGGGTTTAGCACAGAACAAACTGTTTTTTTTAATACCACAATGTTAACGCACTTTCTAGAGGAATACTGAAAGCAGTTCAATATAGAGCACATCAGGTGTGATCAAAGGTTCTTTGATGCGCGAAGCCAGTCATTCTTAATAGAGTGCAATATCTTGACAAAATGTGAAATCGTGCTAGATCCATGTAACAAAACATACTTTAACGAAATCTTCACAAATGATAGAGACGCTTTGTGAATTTCTTTTTTTTTCAGATCATAAACCACATCCTCAGTATGGAACTGCTTTCAGTTTGCCTGTAGAAAGTGCACTGGCATTGTGGTATTTAAAAAAACAGTTTGTTCTGTGCTAAACCCATGTTTAATAAACATGGAAATCATTTGCCACATATGGCTTCCCAATTAATTGATCAACCAAGTACGGGCATTTCAATTCCGGCCATGATCCAATGTCAGTCCGTGCAAAAAAAAAAGCAAGTGGTGATGAATGAGGTTACGAATCAAGAGAATGAACGACAGGAATCTGGAGGCCGGTCGGAACATTGGTGAATGAGTATTTCCAAAAAAAAACGTCGAAATCGCAGTTTTGGTTGATCAATTGATTGCAGCACTTTAGGTACATAAACACGCTGCGATGAGGCAATGACCAACTCTAAGAAAGTGAGACTGACAGGCTACCTTGTTGGAAAGGAGTCGTGTCCCATTGGATCCATAAGTCACATACTCCTGTCTATCAAACATTCACACATGCAAACATATATTACAGTTAGCAGATCAAGATACTTATCTAGTGGTGGTAAACTGATCCCACGAGGCCGAGCAATAGTGGTTGGTGCCATCATGGTCACTGTGGCCAGACTGTGAGAAATAATATAACTATGCACAAGACCAAGTCCATTCTAGCTTAGCTTCCCGCCTAGAGATATATATATCGAATTGAACATACCAGTACCCTCAATCGCCTGATGGCACAAAATCGACCCAGACGACATTGATAGCCACGCAATCCTTGATTAATGACCTTTTGGTGTGGAGTCTAGGGACGGGTTGGGTAGAGCGAATGAGTGAGTACGTACCTTTGAGCAAAGACGGCTTCTCCGAATTGTTGGTTGGTCTGCCGTATAGGAATGAGTCTGGCTTGATTGGCAAAGAAGGTCGTTTTTTATTACTTTATGGTTGAAAGGGAGAAAGAGAGGGAGAAGAGAATGTTGTGGTTTAGGTATGAGTGAGTGTGTTTATGTGTGTATATGGGTAGTCCTCTGGGAGGAGGATGAGTAGGATAGGAGTGAGTGGTGGGAACAACAGGCGGGCGTGCCGACGATGCTGTTACTGTTGTTGGGATGAGGAGCGTGCTTTATTTCAGAGGAAGACCAATGGATCGGCCGGCTGTTTTGAGACATGCCTTGAGGAGAAGCAAGACTTCGGGATCATGACAGAACATGGCATCCGTTAACGGCTCGTACAGGAAAAACAAGTGTGCACTTGGTCCTTGAAGAATGGCGTGTTTGATCGTATCTAGGTTCGCATATGAGACAGGCGGTCGTGTTAAAAAGCATTAAAAAACACCCGCGGTGGTTTGGCAAGGTTATAGATATCGGCGCCACTGGCTTGCTAATTACCTTGCGTGGTATCTTGGCTGTGGGGTTTACTGCTCGCTAATGCACCAGGGACAAGGCGAAGGTCGTTCAATCGTTGCAAAACCAGTGAGATTTCCTGATGCCGAAGGCGTGGGAATGGACACTTTCCTAGCAATGCCTGGTCAGCCGAATAGGCATTCAAGAGGGCGCTGCACCGCTCGACTAGGACAGGGGTAATGACAAATGCTGTTCTCGATCGAAGCTGTTGTTCAGAGTGCGTATAAGACTGACTATACGCTGGAGTGGAGCCATTACTGCTGTCGGCAGTTCTGACACGATCAGCCGTGTCCTTCGCGCCGCCGACTCTACCTGAGCCGAAGCGATCCTGAGAGTCAGATGACACGTCTGAACTAAGGTCGAACAAGATGTCCAGACAAGCAAATGCAAACCTCTCACGACCGACAGGGACCATGGTGTTCCTCGTTGAATGGAGAACGATTCCAAGGCCTTGAATAATGTCCAGTTGGGCGTCCTCGTTTAGGGTCGATGCCGACAAGGATGAGATGTTCTTGAGCTCTGACGACTTTGGCTGGCTGTTCTCTAAGGCAGAGGCCGAATTCGGCTTGGTGATGGTGTCTGTTGCAAGAGGTACTGTGGGTGGCGATGGTGCAAGAGACGCAGGCGTCGAAAGTACGTAAAGGTTAGCAGCAAGATCTAGAGTCTGCACGAGTTCTGCAAGGACCTCTGCTGGAACGCGGTGGTATCCCATCCGGGCAAAGACTTTGGTCTTCATGCTGTGAAGGAAGACAAGGTCGAACGCCTCATCCAAGGCTTGACTCTTGAGAGACATATCAGCGATCGGAATGGGCCTGCATATGACATTAATAATGAAGGAGGTTAAGAACGAACTTCTGTGATATCTTCACTTGAGGCAAGGAGCACATAATGCAAGTCACGAGGCAGTGTACTTACAAAGAGGGTGCCATTGTTCCACGACATACAACGACGAGTTCCTGCCAGATCTCCAAAAACCTGGCATCCGAAATATCTATTCAAATACCGGGACGCAACGTTCAACGGTTAACATGAGGAGCAACTCTTTTACATTCATGCTAAAAAGAACGAGCACAGTAGCCTGCCTACCTTTTTCAAATGCCTCGATGGTAGAGATGCCATACTTGATCGAGTCCAAGAAGGCTGTCGTCGCGGTCTTCCAAAGAGGAATGTCGTCTACATGCTTGAATGAAGGCGGGCACTTGTATCGTAGCCGCATGGCGATTCCGAATGACTAGAAGGAAGAAAGAGGAACCAAAACGGGTTAGACCTATAGGGAAGGGCTGCAGTCCAAATAATAATCATTCCTACTTGCTCATGCACAGTGATGATACCTTCAAAATTTTGGCGTAAACTCCGTCCGCGTATATGCCCTTCTCTTGATGAAACTTGTCCAGCAAAAACACAATCCTGGTCATAGTAGCCTTGCATAGGGCAATATAGGTAGGCTTTAGAGTGGCTGGATGAGGAGAGTCCACGTTGGGATAGAGTGAGCTGTGGGCCTCAAAGGCTAGGAGGAACTGGTTTGTGAGCTGCTCCAGAACCGCTGCAGGACCGCCTTGAATAGTGTTCAGGTTCAGCATCATCAGTGCATCGTGGATCGACAGCTGAAGAGGCGAGAGGTAGTCGACATCGGGTCGGTAGACGGGGCTGCGATCGTAGATCAATACCAGGTGAACGACATCCAAGAATGCTCGCAGGTCCTTGAGCTCGAACTTGCCAGCGATGATGGGGTAGAGATGATGCATGACATTGATGTACTCTGTGAGCGTCTCCTGTGTAAAGTTGGTGGTGACGGGGCGTCCATACGACTTGTAATCTTCCCGCTTGTCTCCAATGACTGCATCCCGTCCGACGATGGCACTACCAATGCGCTCCCAGATTGACCACGCTGTCTCCCAAAGTCTTGCCAATCTCAGCTCACTCTCCTCCCCAGTAAGAGACTTGGATCCATTGCTGGTGGCCTCGTCCTTGGTGCCAGGAGGCTTCATCATCGACTGAATACCCTTCAAAGCAGCGATGGCTACATCGGGAGATGAATGCAGCGCTGCCGTCTCCAGATGCTCCATCAAGAAAACCCAAGCCTCGAGGTAATCATGCAGCACGATGAGCTGCAGCAAGAAATGTTGAAAGACCTCCGCCAGTCCATTGTAGAGCAACACGTGCGTTTCGTCCCATTGCTTGCTAGGGGAGTCGTTACGCATGACAAAGGCTCCTGTGTTGACTGGCTCTGGCACCTCCTCGACCTTTCTGCACGATGCTGTCTTGACCTCGTCCAAGAGTGGGAGCAAAATCTTCCACATGCACTGGCGCCAAGCGGCCATGTCAAGACTGGCCGCGTTAATATGGATCGTCCGGAGAAGAGTTTGGATGGCTCCATTCCTGACCTCGGGGCGCGTATCGGAGCAAAGTGTCGAGATCTTGAAGAGAAGCAGCATCCAGAGTCCTGACAAATTCTTGCGTGACAGCTCCGGATTGGGAAACAGTAATGTAATCACGTCCGCCTCCACGGACTCGCCCTCCCCGCTATTGGCGCTGGATGACACTTCGGGACTGTTTGAGATATCTCGCAGGCTTTGTTGGATAAAATCAGAGATGTTCCAGAGAAGTCCAACAGAGGTCAGCGAAATGTTGAGGTCCTCCGTTTGGTAACCGAATGCCGCCAATGTATCGATGCAAAGTTGAAGATTGCTTGCGTTGAGAAGAGACAGAAAGTCGGTGCAAATGAGCTGCAGGCAAGGGAATGCAACGCGGACGAGACCTGGAGGCTTTAGTGCTCCTGCAGGTGTCGCTTGGGATCCGGTTTCGTTGGGTGCAGTCGTTGGGCTGGATTCGAGTAGAGGCTCCACAAGCGCCTTGCCGCTGGTTGTACCGATCGATCCCTGGATCATCTCGAAAATGAGACCCCATCCGAACGACAGAGACTGCCCGGAAGTTTGGAGTAGTTTGTTGAGTGTCTCCAAACCCATCCGCTGGATCTCGACCAAGGAATTCCCGTGGGTTTGAATCAACTCTCGTAGATTGTTCATGACCCGCATCTGTGTCTCCTCCTGTCGCGCCATCGAGTTCTGTTCTGCATGGGCCATGGCGGCAAGGATGATATCAGAGATCGCATCACAGGCTTGCATTCGAATGCGGACAGAAGGCGCAGGATGATTGGCAGTGTCGATGAGGTAGCCGACTGAAATATCCCAAACAGTCGCCCCGTCGTCAACTGCAGCAATCCGGTCGACATTAAGCAAGCACACATATCGCAGTTTTTCAATGGCAAACGACTTATCATCCGATTTCTATTAGCCGGAATAACAAATGCGGAGCATTAGTGTTGTCCACTGGAGTACCTGCGTCAATTAGAGTAAATGTCTGTGACATCCTGTTCCAGTGGTAAATCCTATACACTGTCTGTTACTTACGTTGATATGGCGGAGACTCTTTACAAAAGGTGTTGTCGTTGTTCCCTTTCCGTCATTAAATGGGAGTCCACTGCCCGCGGCCCCTAGTTTGCACAGAGAACGAGAAAAGCTGCGGAAGGATGGGAGGTCGAGGTGCGTTGAAAGGTCAAATAGCTGCTTGAAGGAAGCTAGCAAAGCCAAGACATCGGCTTCTTGATGCGAAGATCCAGATGCTAGTCCTGCATAGTCGATAGCGCCGTTGTTGGTCCGGCCTGCCGAGTTCTGCAGCGGTGACTGGGACTTTGCCGAGGGCTGCGCAGTGCTTCCAAAGTTTCCTGCCAACTTCTTCTGCCCTGAAGCTCCACCTCGTTGCAACTTGATACCAAGGAGGTGCTCCGCCTGCTGCATGGTCTCGAGAATCAGGTACCAGCTGTCGAATAGAGTTCCTCCAAGGTACTGAGCCACGTTGAGCAAGATCCGCAGGCAGTACATGTTTTTGTCGGTGATGTTCGGAGCAGTTGTATCCTGCACAGCAGAGTTTCCGCTAGGTACCCCTCCGTGTGGGACGGGCAGACAGTTCTTGCAGAGCGAGGTCAAGAACGCATCGCGAGGAATGGTGAGCTGCAATACGCCGCAGACGCTGGTGAAGTTTTGGTAGGCCCGCATCACATTGTGAAAGAGTTCCTCGTCCAAGTTCGATCCCAGGAAATAAGAGAATGCCGCCAAAAGTCCTGGCCAGGCCGACTCAGCCATGGTCGTCACCAGTGCGATATCGTCCGCCTCTTTCGTCTTTGAGAGTTCCAATGTGTTGGTGTTGGGGAAGACCGAGAGTGTCGATCGAGGGATTGACTCTGCCATATCTGATCCTTCCGTTTGTTCCTGCGCCTGCCGTTGTTGGTCGTGGAGCGAGAGTGAGACGATCGGGAAGATGTAAGAGGCGAGGCCGTCTGCGATAGAATTGATGCAGATAAGCGAGAGGTAGTACAGGTATGTCTCTGGAATATGTGGGGGCTCTGCTTTGTCCAGTTGATCAACACTACAGACGACGCCATAGGCACAAATGTAAAAATAGGCGTTAGTATCTGACCTTTTTTCATTACCCGCAAGATAATCCACAATGCGCAACAACTGTGTACCATTGGATGCGCATGGTTGAAGTCGACACGCTTAAGCCTCCGACACTGTTCTCTGAGGCGTCTCTCTCGCTGACATGGGATGGCTTGGAGACTTCAGAGTTGTCCTGCACAAAGCTCCCAGCACCGATGAGTAGGGGTTTCTCGGTCGAAAGTCGTCCGATGGCAATGATCATGTCGCCAAAGATGTCTGTGCTTGTACTTTGTTGATCGTAGGCCTTGTAGATTCGTCGCATTAGAGAATTATCTCCGCAAATGCCTCTAAAGATCTCCATGGCCAATACACGCTGCCACTGGCTGTTCCCTTCTGGCTCCAAGAGTTTGATAAGCATCGAAAGGAAAATCTCGCATTCTATAGCCTACATCATCGAGTTGTAACAAGTACCACCATTAGTACCTGAGAAATAATATAGTGTAGTCAAAGAATACCAACTGCTTCGCGGATAAGAGCGCTTTACCAAAATCTCATGGAACTGTTTGATGAGGATATAGACAACACGCATAAGGCGCATTGTCTGAGGAAAGTCGTGCTTGTCGGAAAAGTTCTTGATGATGAGAGGGCAAACTCGTTCACGAAGCAAGGACGCAAACTCCTTGTGCTAGATATCATTTTCGTCAGCATTAGTGTTCGTTTCCGATTCATTGCGTTTGATATAGAAGAGCTCCAGTTGTCATGATGATGGGTGTCGTACCTGCTTGAAGAGGTGAAAGTGGTTCGTCAGGACGCTCTCGATCAGCTCAAGACCAAACGTCCTACTGATGCTGCCAAGATTCAAGAAACGGGCTTGCTCAGAGTTGGTAAGGAGACACAGGTCCTGAAACAGCAGATACGCGTCAAGGGCGCATGGTCCCAGCTGCTCTTCATTGTCCTGCGTAGAATCCACCTGATCCTGGGCCTCGCTCGTTGCTTTCGCCGGAGACTCACTCGCTGTGGTAAAAAAGAAAAAGATAAAGAAGAAGACAGCGCCCATGTTAGAACGCTCTCTTATGTGCATTTGACGCCTCCCTGTTAGGTCGGATATGAGCGGTAACACTTTTAGCTTTTTACCTGACTTTTGCTTGGCAATATCCTCGTCGCCAACTTTTTCAAAGATGTAAATGACCAATTGCCGCAAGGTTGCCGCCGCTGTGTTGTTTACAAACACCACACGAGAGTCTTGAAGTCGGAAGCAGAGCAGCAGGGCCTGGGATGCAAAATTGATGTGTAAATATTGAGTTCCTCATGTAGTACGATTCCATCAAACATCTACTTAAGTTTACAGTCCGAGTTCAACTCTGTATAATACCTCTGCAAGCGACTCTGCGTGCACGTTGTAATTTGTGAGTAGAGGTAAGATGGTCTGTAGGATTTTCAATTGAATCTCGACTCCGTGCGACATGATGTCGTTCAGCGTCTTCAGAACAACCTCAATCGAGCCCTATTTGTATTTTCATACATGCAGATGGGTGTGAGTGCTTCATCCTTGTGGAAACATGAGCACATATTGCGTTCTCAATACACGCAAAGTCGATTCCAATTACCTCAGGCATGGCTTTGTGCGATATCAACTCCCGAAGACATCCTATGGAGATTGTCACTAGCTTGACGTTCTTTGTATCGCAAGCGAGTAAAAAAGGCTTCAGAACATCCTGGTTCTGACTGAGCACTATAATTGAACAGTGGCGATGATCTCGGGTAAGTCATCAATGGATGATGGGTGTATACACAGGTTGTTCGGCCTTGGTTGACAGGGTAGGCAGAGCCATTTACCTGCTGCAAGGTTGGAGGGTCCTTGTCCTGGATGTCTTAATAGTGCAATAACACGTTCGGCGGCCTATTTGAGGGTAAAGTATGTAACAGTTGTTCAACGCATTGTTCACTTCCCGGGTCTGTCACGGCCTTGTCAGCCGAGTCGAGTGAACAGTGCTGTTCCCTTCCCATGGGGTATCAGTCTGGTGGTAACTGGGTTACCTCCTTAATTTCGGGATATTTCCTTCTGGCTTCGTTCGACAACGCGACGAGCTCTGTCTGGAGATAGGCAGCGATGCTCATCCTTGAAAAGTCGAGACTTTAGGTCCTGAGGCACAGTGTGATGTATAGTCCTGTTGATGAGGATGTGCTGGGTGGGGTGTCTCGAAAGATGTTGACAGTTTTCGGGTGGGTGAATGATGATGTCGTAAAAGAAGAGCACGAAGAGGAAGAGGAGGAGCAAGGGGAAGAAGTGGCAATTTGTGACGTGGAAGTCTCTCGCCTTGCACGAGGGTCGTGTCACACTCTCACACGCTCAAACGTATCTTTTGGTCGCGGTTGGAAGTGTGGGACCATGCCTCCTTCCTTCGTTTCATTCAACAAACACCAACACGCACAAACTACAAGTACGCACATGGCATCAGCCTCGCTCTCCATCCCCATCGCCTTTTGGAGCCAGAGCACACCCACCGCAACCATATCAACAACCTTCGCATGCGAGGGCTACGTCGTCGCCGGCCTCGAGGAAGGTCTCATATGGGTCTTCAAAGCAACCTGCGGTCCGACTGATGCAGGTCCACCCGAGGACATCGTCTCGGTAACGAGTCAAACCCTTCTGCGTTTTGATAGAGTGTCATCTACTATTGAGCACACCTGGAGCAAGAATAAACGATTTGACCTCGTGCTATTGTTACACTTTCTATCGTCTCACAGCTAGAGCCCTGCACACTGCTTGTTGGTCATAGCTCTCGCATCACCGCTCTCCAGTCCATGCACGTTGAGGGTGATACCAAGTCAACGTGCGAGTGGATTCTCATAAGTGCATCTGAAGACGGGTACAACAAGACGAACGAGATATAATGTAGAATGGCTTTGTACAGCTAGATGTAGAGGGCGCCAAGGGTCTGATGGAGCTTGCTAACTTGACGTCTCCTTTCTGGATTGGGTTTGCTCGTAGGGAAGTGAAGAAGTGGAATCTGGTCGATGGTCGCTGTTTACAGTCAAACCCGTTCGCATTCATCGGCGTGCCGACATATCTGGGGGTCATCAGCACAGTCGAAAAGGTGTGCAAAGAAAGCCTTGAACATGGAGTGACGTGTTCTGATGACTATGATGTCTGTGAATATCAGTGAGACCGATTAACTCATCAGATCATATCGCTTTTCGTTATTGTAGACCGTTTCGGGGCCAAAGTTCATACTCTGTGCTGGCCTGTCGAACGAGGCATGCATCCTGGACTCGACATCGTTGGAGGTGGTCCGTGTCTGGGGCGGTCATCAGGATTGGGTCTACTGCACAGCGCTGCCTGGCGATGGTATCGTCCATAGCTCTCTGGCCCACGTCAAAACTGCTACCCACTTGCTACCTTTTAATCTTGATCGGTGACTATGGCGACCCCGAACATCATCTAATGCAAACGATTTTATATCGGGACTTTGTCTAATAGACCAACATCAAAGCAGAATTCTCTCGGTGTCAGCGGATTGCAAGCTGTCGTTATGGATCTTTGACACCGCCAGTCTCGCGGTAGTAAAGTCCAAAGTCTTCGAGATTTGCTCGAAAACAAACGACAGCATAGTATCTTTGGTCGCTTGCCGCCAAGATTCTTCTTGGGCGGCTTTAGTCACACGGAGTAGTGCCCAGGTAAGATTGAAAATGCTATTAGCATCACGTACTGTGCCTTCTTGAACTTTTATCAGTCCGCTGATATGCCTCCAATCTTCGTCCTGCTAGATTGTTTGTTTGCAATCTCAAAAGAGAGCATGCTATGTGGTCCGATGTCCTGAAGGTGAAGCATTGGCTGGCGCGGAATTTGTTTGCTCAAAGAATATTATCATATGGACACAGGTAATGCTGCTTTCTATTGACTGACATTTCGTGTGTATGATATGCTTTGTAACCTCCCAATGCATCTCAAGTACTCACATGGATATCGCAAGTCAGTCAGGGCACGTCTACTACTATTCCCTAGCCGAGCTGCAACAACACAATAGCCACTCCAAGGTCGACGTTCTCGAGCACTCGGCAATGGAGCCAAGATACGAAATCCCAAGTGGCGAGTCGAGCGTCGGAGCCACAGCTACAGGTATGATGGCATGGGCTCGCCTAATGCTACGTGGCTTACGTTTACTTCGTGTGAGAAATATCGGCATATTTAACAGCGATATATTATCTCGATAGTTAGCGACTGGCGACCACCTTCCGACTATCCACCTAGCGTGATGGTATTCAGCAATGCCGGGTCGCATTATTTTCTTAACCTTCAAAACACGCTTCAAGGGCTTCATTGCTCCAGTGCCAATTTGCTTGGATACAACACTGATCAACCCCAAGGCAAAGGTAGGATCGTCTATTGATTTCACGTGGCACATACAGCAACAACGACCAAAAGACAACGAAACTGAACACTGCCCTCTTCGCTCACCCCGCAAGCAGTCAATAGTGTTCACGGCGCTTTGGTGCGATGGCACCCACACAAGTCTTTGACGTCGCCTTCAGTCACGTTCTCTACGATGTTGAATGACACCCTTGTCGCGTTGGGTCACGGTAACATTTTTGAACGTACTGTCTTTGGTCGCCTCTGTGATTCCATACTTCACGTTGGAATGTGCTAATCGAGTTCAATACTTCGATGAACGACCGCTATAGACAGCGGTGACATTCGGGTCTGTCCTGTGGACGAGGCATTACTTGATCTGGCATCTGGATTTGTCAATGAGCATGCAAAGGAAACGACGGTGCTCAAAGGCCACATCGGACCAATATCAAGCATTTTTACAACGGATGACTTAATGGGTCGGTCGTTCATTCTCAGCGGAGGCAAAGACTGCTCTGCGCGGATATGGAATATTGAGTAAGCACCCACTGTCTGCGAAGTATCTATCCTTGTGTATAATGTTTACTTTGAGTCGTGCTAACCAGAGCTATTTTCTTGTTTTAGGGCGGGTACAGAAGTAGCCTGTTTCAACAACCACAGTCGACCTGTGACCCATTTTCTGCAAGTTCCCGACGACGTCAACTCGCGCGTGAAAAGATGCGTCATATCCATTGCTGAGGACCACTCGATCGCGATTATTTCTATCGAAGAAATGAGCTGGTATGAATCAAGCGCTAGATGTTTACTTTGGTTTTATTTGCAGCAAGATTATATGTGTTCCTGACTAAAACTTCACTTCTTCTCCACCCTAGCATCTATCTGTTTGGTGGCTATGAGCATGCCCTTGTGTCGATTCAGTGGAGACCACCAGAGGATTATATTGTTCTGTGGCACGCCGACGAGACGGCATTTGTCTGGCAGGTAAGTCCTCAGTGCAGTTTTTGTAGATATGCATGCCAGCTTGTCATGGAGCATACATCGTCATTAACAACCGTGCCTTATCGTCACTAGATGCAAACGGGGCATTTGGACCGCATTGTGAAAGGAGAGACTGCGCGAGCGATCATGGCGGATTCAAGGTGGAAAGTCTGGTAAGTAGAATGTTTGGTTCATATTGGGGGCTATCGTTTATTGCATTCAAATGTGCCATTGCTCACCCAACTTGAATACATTAATATGCCTCACTAGTGAGATATCGCCTCGCCGACCAACGTCTTCGAAGAGGGCGTTCGATTGCATGACCGTGCCTCTAGGGGTCCCTGGTAAGACAAAGCAATCGATGACCATGTCCACTTTCTCGACTTGAACGTGTTTCAAGCTCAAGTCATTAACCCATTTTATACGACTATTAGGCTCGAAAGCAACTGTGCCAGTTGTGGTGATGAACCTCAAGTATGTCCTGGGGATCCTTTCACCGACTCGCAACACGGATCAACAATCAGACCAGCCAGGCTCCAAATCATCAGCAGTCAGTCCCCCAGAGCCTCAGACCTCGGCCCGTCACCGCCGGATTTTCAGTGGGCAGTCAAGAGCATCGGCGAAGGCAAAGCCAGGAGCAGTGGAAGAACCGGTCGTGTTATCAGAGATGGCTCAGCAGTGCTTGAGAGCCGCCAAGGTCGTCCTCGGTCTCTTGATTACCGAGGACGATGCCTATGCGGTATCCATCAGAAACCTACTCAACATTCCTCCTCCAACAAAAACAATTGCTTTAGGATTACGAGGGTAAGCTAATAGCTAACCGGGCAACGCGCACAAGTGAGCCTTGTGCAATGAGAGATAAGCGCTGACAACTTCTCCGATACAAATACTTCTATCATAGAGCGTATGGAAACATCTCGATCCGAGCACCAGCGTTCGAGAGTGGGGTGAGCGATTCGTGGTGCGTGTCTCCGACAATGACAGCCTCAAAGCTCATCGGTATTCTCTCCCTCAGCAAGACGATCGCCACAGCCCAGAATTTGGATGTAGATATGGACACTTGGTCGAAAGGATACTGTAATGCTACTCAGGATTCTGTTGGACAAAGCTTTTGTCCACCTTCATTGTCGTTTTTGGCAAAGTACTGGCAAGACCCTCAAGGTGCGCAAGTGTGCACCTGTACATGGCTATTGTGACCTTATGCACTTGGTGTACTGCATCGTTTACTAATATTATACGATGTCCTTCGCTTTGATAGTGGAGATCCAAGAGGTCACCAAAATCATTCTCCTATCGGCTATTGGGCGGATGTCCAAGACCGACCTTACATCATTGGTCAAATACTGGTCAGCATTCTGTAAGTCTTTCTACTCACGTCTTGTGCACTTGAACCGTATGGACATGTAGAGCAGTTTCTAACTAGGCATGTGCCAAATGTTTTTTTGTAGTACCTGCCGCAGCGTTGCCTGATAGCTGTTCGAGCCAATACATGGCACGGTCGGCAATTATTCTTGGCATTATCGGGGCCGAAAACGCAGAGGCACTGCCCGAAAAGTAAGTATCTATCCAAGCTTGACGTCAGGACATTGACGCCAGGACATTGACAAAAAGTCACCATCTTCACAACATCTCACTGACCTACCTCCATCTGCCACATGGTCTTATTCAGAGTGCGGAAAATAGCGGCATTATCTTTGACGATCCTTCTCAATGACGATTCTCGTGTGTCCTACAAGGTGGCCTCCATAGACTTGCTATCCCAAGGGTTTACTTCATGGCAACCGTTCATCCGTGCCGATGCAGTGCTGAAGACGCTTTTTCTTATGGCTATGGACACACAGGCCGCCAACAGCCTGGTGTCTCGCCGAGCCCGGCGTGCTATTGCCCAAATTGCACTCGTCAACCCTGCTCTCTTTGTTACGACTCTAACCCAGGATATTCTCGACTCGAAGCGACCAAGCGACCGAACTGGACTGCTGAAGCTCATCTCAATCTTTTCTCGCAAGGCATGATATCATCTTAACACCTGGTTCTCTATGTGCATCTGATACTGTATAGATGTTGGTTTTGGCAATAGCATTAACCCACTGTGTTGTTTGTGTACTGATAATAGAATCCCGCGGTCCTGTACAATGGCATTCCACGACTCGCCGAGGCCATTGTGAAATCGCTGGACCCTACTGTCCCCAATATGCGAGAGAGTTTGCTTCCCGTTGGTACATCGGTATTATTGGATCTTGTACAATCGTACCCACAACTGGATGTCCATGTTGGTTCTCAAAAGCTAGCAGTCGGAACTGCGGAGGGCGCCATCGTTGTCTACGACCTTCAGACTGCGACTCGGTGGCAAATCTTGGAAGGCCATACCAATACTGCATCCGCAGTAGCATTTTCTCGGGACGGAAAGACAATTGTCTCTTGTTCAGTCAAAGAGGGCAGTGTTCGGTTCTGGCAGCCTAACCCTGGCTTCTTTGGGATGCTTATGGGTGGGAGCAGTCTTTGGGGCCCAAAATCTAGTTCGTCCGGCGGTGGCGGAGGAGGAACTGGTCATCCAGGAAGTATTCCGTCGCTATCGTCTCAACAATCGAGCAGGTCGTTTGATTTTGCCCTGCAAGACTCCATCGTTACAGGTAACAGCCCGGATGAACGTCAATGCCTTTGATTCTGTCTTGGAGCGCGAACGCGAATGTGCCACCCATTCACCCTGAATTTGTTTTCTCTTGCGCCTTCTAGGATCTGAGGAGCAGCTTCTCAATCACATACGGCTGGAATGGACAGGCGATCGCGTTGCTAAGCTGTCTATCTATGACCACATCATGTCGTTCAATGTTTGAATCATTACATAACGGAGAATAAGAGACATAGAAATAAAGAGGTGCGTGTTGCTCCTGTGGACGACACATCTGAATAAATCTATGCTGTAGGCTCGGTAAAATTGCTAGGAAACAAGCCCCGCATAGGCCCACGGTAATCGTCCAATAAGTTGCCTTCCCACCAGCCATCGTCGCGAGTGTGTAGGACAGCCAAGATGTCGCCTGTCCTGAGACTCAGTTCTTCAGGTATTGTAGCGTCGTAGTCGTAGAGTACACGTACTAGTCACGAAAACACGTCAATATTTCAGTCTACTGTGAGTATTGGCATCCAAAAATAAAGCGTGAGCTGCCCATCATGTTCATTTGCCGTTGATATTACCATAGAAGAGAATCGGCCGCCCCTCGTGTGATGCTTGTGTCATGGCTGGAACGATTACAGATGGACTTGGCTGCCCTTGGTACTCTCGCTGACTGTGTTGTGCGAGCGATGGGTCGATATTCGCACCTGTCATGTTTCGGCGATGTTGATTCGGATCCACGTTGTGGTGGGAAACTCGGTTGGGGTCGTCTTGGAGTGGCATGGTCTGGCTTGTATGCTGAGCTGCAACTGCTGGAGCGATACTGTTGGGTAAGTGTGCTATACCAGGTGGGCCGCGTTGTTGTTGATAAGGAATGCTAGGTCCAGGGTCTGCCATGGAGTAACCAGGTTGTTGTTGCTGCTGCTGTTGTTGATTTTGTTGCAAGGGTGCCTGTGGTTGCCAGTGAGGGAATCGATTCTCCTTGACGGTTCCGCTGACATCGAGCGAGATCCCGAGGCTGTTATCCAAGGCTGACTGCCCTGGATCGATGCCAGACGTGGTGGTCGGTGATCGATCTCCGTTGACTCGAGGCGCGAGGAATCCTGCTGTATTGGGGGTGACAGGGTCATCAGCCTGGTTCAACAATGCGGTCGTCTGCGCGTCCAGTTTGAAGACATTGCCGCCAATGGTGAGAGCCATGTCCACCTGAGCAGCCGCAAGTCCTCCAGGGTCAGATCTTCCTTCTGTAGAATAGTACGATTGTCGGCGAGATGGCGGGTTGGACGAATCAGCACTAGGGATGGGTTGATGGGGTCCTGAGACCGTGCGAGGTTTCGTTTCCTGTGTCTGAAGGCGCGAGATTGCAGGACTGTCGACAGCGGCATCAGGAACCCCATCGTTGTTTCTTGGGATGATGTATGTGGAAATGTCTGGAACGTCGTCGCCTGTTGCACTTGTATCTATGAAGCTTTGGAGGTTCTGATTGACGTCGCAAAGTTCCAATGACGCCCGGATTCGCTCACACGACTATGGTTTAAGGGTGCGGGAAATTGAAAAAGATGGGTGTGAGGGATGCTAGTTGGAAATCTAAGAATGATTACATTGAGGCGATATTGAGGGCACAAGCACTGGGTACATTACTTCGTCGTCGGCCACACATGTACTGGAGATAATGTTGGCGTAGTTCCAGAGCGTTGTCCCTACATAATCGATCCGTTGTTCCTCTAGTAGTTGAAATTTCTGGAAAATGAACACTGTTTTGTCAGTAGAGACCCGAGATGCAACAAGAAAGTCTGCAGGCTTCCGATGGTTGGCCTCACTTACATCGCAGGCCGCGCGCCATTCAATTATCCACTTGTCGTTGATTTCTGTCAACTGTCTAATGCTCGCTTGATATTCCACGTCTAATTCGCATGATAAAAAGCACGTCAGCAATGGCTTTGAGATTTGCTTTTGTTTGCTGTACTGAGGAGTACAGGCAAAGGTGAGTGGTTAGGCCATACCTGCTGCTCTTGAAGCGAGCTCAGTCTTCTCCATCTTGACGGAGACTTTGTCAAGCTCTTTTCCAACCAGATTCATCCTTGCAGCTGAGAGGCCTTTGGTCCGAACACATTCCGCGTCGTACTTTTCCTTTGCCTACAGTTTGTACGAGGAGTAGAAAAAGATGAGAGATGAATGCGTCTCAGTATGAGGATGACATTACTTGGAAACTACAATGTTTTTGATTTGTTCCAAGACTGTTACCTTGACGAGTTGCTGCAGATACAATTGCTTGTTGCGAAAGGTTCGATCAATTGAGGCTTGATGCTAACGAGGCAAGAGCAACAGGCTTTAGTTGCAAGCGCATAACGCATGACAATGGTCAATCCTGAGTATCAACGAAAGGATGGGCACGTACGAGTTTCCGTTTGTCCTTTTGGCTGTTGTTGAACTCTTCCAAAGCCGATTCAAGTTGGTCTCTCATTTTACTGGCGAGTTCGATGTGTGATTTCCCTGTCGCCTCTATTTCGAACCTGACGACGTCCAGTGAGTCCCGGAGTGAGCTATGTTTGGCAGTTTAAAGAGTGAGGAAGGAAGATGGAGTCTGAGAAAAGGTGTACATCGCCCGAGGATTAGAGTGAGACCCATTCAAGGCGTCATCCAACCAGAAGACCGCCTTGGACTGCGGGCTCTCTCTCTCTCTCTCTCTCTTTCTCTCACAGTTTCCGATCCATTGGGACGCCACCAAATCTACCATTCACTCACCCGACCTCATCCTTGCCTAGGGGCGACTTGGATAGCTTCACCAGCTTCTTGCCATACTCCTCCTCCAGTGCTGCCCTATTTGGATCCAAATCGCAAGGGTCTTGTTAACGATATTGTTCTTGCCAATCGCGTAGTAATAGCCGTAGGTGGTTCTTTTGGTCACAAAGTGAACAACCTTGTAGCCTGCCTACCTTGCTTGAAACATGCCCAAGATCTCTTGGCAAGTCACCTTGGCATGGCGCATGCGAGTTGTCAGCGCAGAATAACCTGCATCGTCCTTGCCCTGAATGAGAGATGAATGAAAAGGGTGCCCTTGTGAAGTCAGTGGATGCCTGCTTTCGTCTATGCGTGTGTCAAAGAGTGAACAGACTGGCTTACCCAAAAGTTTTGGGAGAACCTGGGTGGTGAGGCGTCGTTGTTGGGTGGTAGCCTCTCAGTATTCATTGTTTAGTTCGAAGGTGTTTTTGTTTGCTGCTGTTGAGTCAGAGGGAGTGTTTTTTGTATTGGAAGTGTTGCCTGGTTGGGTTGAAGACGGTGGGGTGGATAAGATGTGATAGAGTGAAGAAGGCAAGAGCAAGAGAGGGAGGGGGGGGAAGAGAAGGAAGGGGAAGGAAGGCTGGAGGGAGAAAAGAAGTATGCTGCTCGCTATTTTCGAGCGGGTCATGCTGACGGAGCATAGCGTTCCCTGACCACCTGCCAACTGCCTCAGGTAGGGGCCCAGTGTGTTTGCAATGATGCCTGTTCTCTGTTTGCGGCCCCTTTTTTTTTTTTTTTTTCTATTTCCTTTCCACATATCGAAAAGCGGCAGAGGAATTTGGCCTACAGGTGCAGCACTTGACAGTCACCATGAAAGGACACGCAAGGAAGGAACGCGTATGGCTAGGGACTCTGTGCCTGTCAACTTGAAAAAGGAAGGAACACTTCTTCTCACACTCCTCGCACTTACTCATCACTTCCTTCATCTCTCACCAACAATACACCCTTATTATCATACACACACACACACATATATCTCCTTCTATCTGTACTCTGTACTAACACCACTCACCACCTCCCATCTCTCCTCTCTCGCTTTTTCCCCATCATGGCCGACAAGGATCTAGGTACATGTTCACCCTTGTCGAATCCATGTCGCCTCACTAAAAATAAACATAAAAATAATAAAAGTGGTACTCCCTACCCCGAAATACTCACTCATGCCACAATGCGTGTTCCATCCATCATGATATATAGAGCTATTGGACAACGTCGAGCTGCGCTTTGCCTTGGCAGAGACCGACTCCCAATTGGAAAAAACGCTCAACACCTTCCTCTGCCCCGTCCTCTTGAAGCTGGCCAGCCCTGCAGAGAACGTCAGAGCAAAGGTAACCAATTGATTGGATTCACCCGAAAAAAGTAGCATCATATGTACAACCAACAATAAAACAAAAGACTCTCTGTTCGTCCTATCTAACCATTCCATCCGTGCTGTTATTCGTGTGTAGGTCGTCAGCATCTTGACGCACATTAACAAGCGTGTTCGACCAAAACCTTCTATCAAGCTGCCTGTGACGCCCCTACTCCAACAGTTCTCGACCAACAGCTCGGTGCTCGTCAAAAACTTTTCCCTCATCTACATCGAAATGGGATACGAGCGACTCAATCTCGAGGTATAGAGACACGAAAATGAACTCTCGCGACAGAGTCCGCACTTTTTCATCCGCTCTCGTGTAAACTTGTAACGAACGATTGGCACTGGCATGGACATTTATATGGATACTTTTTCGCCGTCGCTCCTTTCTCTTCCTAGGACAAACTGGCCGGACTGCCGCAATTGATCAAAGGAATTTCTCGTAGACCCGTTGCTCAGCAAACCACTCTAGTCCATATGATCCTTCCCGTAGGTCAATGTTGTTTTTGAGTGTAGTTACTACCTCATCTCAGTTGACTCTTTGGCCCTCCCTCTCCACCGATAACATACTAACATCTCGCTGGTTTGTAATGCCTTATATCTTACAGTGCCTGGCTGAAGTGAAGCAGCTGAACGAAGACAACACAACGTCAGACCCATACGACTTTATCGCCAACCCATTGGACGCAATCGTGCTTCTCTCGCGATTCCAGGACGTTCTTCTCTACCGCCAGCCTATTATTGCACAGCCGACGCTTCATCCGACTAGCGAAGCTCAGTCACCATCAAGGTATGATTGGAGATAAAACTAGCGAGAACACCGGAACTTGTGAAAGCAGGAAATGCTGTCGCGTCCACACATCGGAAACTAATCCGAGCTGTCGCCAATTGCGTCAATACTTCTACGCAGCCCACTCTCTGGAGCAGCTGCACCAGCCATTCCTGATGGTATGAGCCCTCAGTCTCTTCTTTACGTAACAAACAACCGGAAGGCGCCTTGGGCAACCTCCAGTGATCTCAAGAACATCAAGGTACAGCAGTCACCTTCATCCGAAAGCTACTTCTGAAGGTCTGCATGTTTGGACAACAAAAGTTATTAATTAGATCTTCATTTTCATTCTCATACACAATAGACTGGCGCACTGAGATTTGTCTGCTCGACAACATCTTTCCCTGACGCTTTGCCAGCTCAGGTTCACTTAGAGCGGTTCATTGCTTTGATTGCAGCTACAGGAGACGCCTATAATGAGGCTGTCAGCATGGGAGAGGATGGACTCAAGCGAATCAAATTACCGGATCTGGAGGAGAAAACGGCTATTGATAGGCTGTATCAGATGTACCAGGGTTCCAACAGGGGCAAACCGGTTCCTGGTAAGAGCAATGTCATTTGCCAAAGTATCGTTCTATGTTACATTTGCAACGCTCAGTTCCGTTAACAGGAAAGTATCGCCTTTTGTTGATGCAATGATATGAAATAGGCCAAGAGGACGTTTTCAGACAGCCAAGTTCGAATGTGGTGAAGCTGAAGATTATGAGCTACCTTTCAAAGTCCAAAGTGGCAACAGAGTCCTTCCCTTCTGCTCTTCAAGTGTCGTTCGACTGTTTATACGGTAGGTCGGGAGGAATCTGTGGAGATGAGACGACAGTAGTTCATGAAGGGAGTCCCGTGGAGTGCAAGCAAGCATGTTGCTCATCATTCATTTCTTCTTCTGCTTCGTGACATAGGTCCCAAAACCAACACCAAGTTGGTCATGGCCGGCATGGCCTTTGTTCAATGGATTGCTAGGATGGTAAGTCTCATTGCTGTCCGTGTTGTCCTTTGAGGATGATATTTCAAACGTGGCATATGTTTTGAATGATTTTACTGACAAGATAAGGGCGGTTATTTTTGAATGTTGCTTTATTCTGCTGATAGAGCTCCCAAACTGCGTTGGCGCCGATTGCGCCCGTCCTCGTTTCAGGATTGCTGAAGTACACTCGGGAGAACGCTGATGCTGCCGGAATGGGTATGTCGACAGGCCGTGCTGCAACTGTTGGACCAGGAATAGACGTGCGACCTTAACACAAACTGTCCACCATTGATTCAAATAGAGAGCGAAGCTGCCAAGGGATTCGCCTACGTGGCCGTCAGTCTGATCTCGAAGAGAGGTAATTTTTTGAACAGCCTGAGGTTGTGATTAGAATGATGTTTAGAAATCTAACAAACGTTGTCTATCGTTGACGCCTGTTAATAGTTCCCGACATCTTCAGAAAGGACTTGTCGATCACAGAGGGATTCTTTGACCAGCTCTCATCTCAACCCCCCAATGTAAAGACCTACATCCAGGAAGCACTCTGTACACTCCTGGACGCCTTCCAGCCCCTGAAGGACTGGGCAACTGAGATTGAGGTGAAGCGCATCCTGGCAATCATAGAAGACAACATGGCTAAGGTGAGCATATTTCCCCTTATCATTTCAAGACTGGGACAACGATTAATCAAGTCTGCATCAAGATCATTCAACCCCCTGTCATTTATCTTTCTGACCTTTTTTTTTGTTTTGTTTATTAGGAGGAGCACCAGGCGCGCTATTGCGCCATCAGATACGCGACAGGACTGTTCCCATTCTCAGACGCTGCCTCCAAGTACGTTTGTCTGATGACCGTTGCAGATTCCAAACTTGAGATCAGGGAGGAGGCCAAGCGCGGTCTCACCTTCCCGACTGCTCGAGCACTCGAAGAAAATGCTGCGGCTTCACAAGAGTCGATTCTTCCTGACTTCATCAAGTTGGTGGATCTTATCAAACTCAAATCAAGGGCTACCCAGAGCCGCACGGACGAAGTTCGCTCCAGGCCGACGTATGGAAAGTCATTCATCATGGGCTTTCCTTCAGAAGTCTTCATCCATATCTTGCAGTTCTTCCGCCGGCTTTTGATCACCAGTGCTGATCCGGATGTGATTATTGAGGAATCATCGAACGATTACGAGATCCAGCAGTTCGTCTTTACACCCGAGACACGAAGAAAGGTCAAGGCTTGGTTGAAGGACATGTGGGAGAATGAGAGTCGGATCGACAACGAGCAGGAGACTCTCGCGAGCTACATCTCCTTCCTTGAGATCGCCATGAACCACCAAGGACCCGATGGTAAGTACCTTTTATTGTCTATAGAATTCATGAGTGTCGCTAATGAGTGGCCAAAGTGTGCTGGTAATAATCAATACGTGCTTATCTGCTTGTGTCGACTGGTAGACAAAAGCCTTCATTCGACAGCCTTGACCTGTCTATTGGAACTCTTCTCTCTTGCTCCTAGTAGCCTGTCAGAGCAGTACTCCCATCGACTTGGCTGGTTCAAGGTAAACTATTCGACTGGCTATTGTGTGATGTATTTTACTCGTCAAAGACCCTTTGTCCTGACCATGGTTGTTCTGTTGTGTTTTTCATAGCCATACATCGGGTCTCCTAAGATTGAGTCGCGCCACGCAGTTGCGCACATCATTGGAATCGTCGGAACTGATAACTTGGGTGACGCCAATCCCCAGCGCGAGGTCTTCCTGCAGTTTTTGCGTGAACTACACACTGTGATTAAAGACAAAACCAAGCAGGTACGTTATTGCAAGTCTACAATGTCTTTTAGACAGCACCCAAGGTTAATCCAAGTGTAGGCTAACACATTTCATTCCTCCTTTCTTGTTGCACCTCGTAGGTAACGGTGGAGCAGCGTCATGGAAGCATCCTGGCTGTGGGATTCATTTTAGGGCGACTGTTGTACAGATACCCGTCGGCCGTATTCGACATTTTGCCAGAGGGAGAGTTCCAGGAGTTGGTTGGAGAAATTGTAGAAGAACTGGACTCGAAGCAGAACATGTTTGTGTCGGCCGCGGCGATTTGTCTGGGAGAAATAGGAAGATATGGCGCCATTCCTTCTAAAGACATCTCCAAGGACATTCAGAAACTCATCGAGACCGCCAAGACCACCAAGGATATCAAGACTCAGGAGTATGCCGTTGCGTCGCTTGGTCACATCGGCGTTGGTAATCCAGCACTTGTGCAAGACATCTTGACTTTCTTATACGACTTTGGACCCAAGCAGACAAAACAGACCGAGGTCAACTTTACGATCGGAGAGGCCATTGCCTGCATTGGTGCTGGATGGCAATGTACCGCCATGGATGTCTTTGCCGATGTCGCGGACCAGGAGCCCTCCAAGTCAAGTGTTGATGGTGCAATCATGGATGGCATCTTGAAGACCATCTTGGATGAGATGGCCACCTCGCCCAAGGCTGCAACCAAGAAGGCTGCTTGTATCTGGTTGTTGTCACTCGTCAAGTTCTGCTCCAGTCGTCCAAGTGTCAAGGTATATAATGTACAGAGCTCATACACGCAGGGTTGGGGCAATGAGCTACTACGTTTTGATTAACCTTTGGATGTCGTACGCGCTTTGACACGATATTAGCTTCAACTTCCAAAACTGCACTCGGTCTTTTCAAGCCTCCTCTCGGATCGTGATGGTAAGCACAAATGTTCTTTTGTAATGACTATTCGGACTATTCACAGTGCAGGACGATAACATTTACAATCATTCACTTTCAATGTAGAATTGACGCAGGAGGTAGCCTCCAAGGGTATCGGTCTAGTGTACGAGCTGGGTGACCAGTCGATCCGCAGCCAACTTGTCGGCTCGCTTGTGGGAATGTTTGGTGAAGGCAAGAAGGCGGCGCCCAAGGTGACGGGCGAGACTGAGCTCTTTGATGGCAACGCTCTTGGACAGGCACCGGACGGCTCGTCGCTCTCGACCTACCAGTCTATTCTTTCCTTGGCCAGCGATATGAACCAGCCCGAGCTCGTCTACAAGTTCATGCACCTTGCCAGTCATAATTCCATGTGGCAGTCAAGAAAGGGAGCCGCATTCGGATTCTCGTCGATTGTCTCGCAGGCAGAGGCGGAGCTCAAGCCCCATCTCGCGACGCTTATTCCCAAGCTCTACCGCTACCAGTATGACCCCAACCCCAAGGTCAACGAGGCTATGACCAGCATTTGGAGAGCGTTGGTTAAGGAACCCAAGAAGGCTGTTCAAGAATATTTTGATGTCATCATCAAGGATCTCTTGGAGGGCATGGGAGCTAGAGCATGGAGAACCCGCGAGTCCAGGTATAGTGCTTGGTCGACTTTATTACCGGTCTACTAGAAAATTTGCGAGGGTCACTCACTTATGTTTTTCTACTGATGCCGTTTTGGCGTTTATAGCTCTCTTGCTATGGCCGACCTTCTGCAAGGCCGCTCTGTTGAAGAGATTGAAAAGTACTTGGAAAACATCTGGGTCATGTCCTTCCGTGCATTAGACGACATCAAGGAGAGTGTCCGGACGGCCGCCTTCAAGACCTGCCGTGCACTCACATTAATGACGGTCAAGTACTGCGACCCCAAGCATGTCACGGAAGCCGAGGGTCAGCGAGTCCTGGATATTATCATCCCGTTCCTGGTCGGCAAGGGTCTGCTCTCAAACGCCGAGGAGGTGTCAAAGTTCAGTTTGACTACCATCTTGAAGATCTGCAAGCAGGCCGGTTCCTTGCTGCGATCCCACATCCCTGTCATTGTTGTGGCTCTTCTAGAAGGACTCACATCCATGGAGCCTCAAATGATGAGTACGTTATTGTCCTGAGAAGAATGGATACCATTGATGCGTCGATCTGTTCACGAACTGGCTACTTATCTTGTCTTGCATTGTATTCACCTTGTGGTAGACTACCTGAGTTTTCACACGGAAAAGTATCAAGTTTCTCAGGAGCAACTGGAGAGTAGTCGTTTAAACGCTGCTAAGCTTTCACCCATGGTAAGCATTCGTCATGGCGAATTGGCTATTGGAAGGTGCACAGGTGATGACAATGTTGCTACCATGTCTCTGAACAACGTATTCTGATCATCGTATCATTATAGATGGAGGGAATTGAGGCCTGTGTCGAGAACGTGGACGACACCGTGATACCTGAGCTGTCCTCTCAGCTCATCACAATGATTAGGAAGGCCGTTGGTCTTCCCACCAAGGTACGACATTGGCTCCGCTCGGGGAAACATGCATCGAACCCTTGTCTTTCTAAGGCATTATCATTCTAACTATGACCACCCTAAATCTGCGATGATTAGGCTGGTTGTGCACATCTTTTGGTGTCCCTCTGCATCAAGAAGCCAGCAGTGATGCGACCTTTTGCAGACACCATTCTCAAGACTCTCGGATCTGCGATCAAGGACAAGTCGCCAGCTGTCAGAAAGTCGTACGCTGTTGCCGTCGGTTACCTCTCGCGCCTTGTAACCGATGCAGCTCTCGTCAAGTTTGTCGAGCGCCTTGGAGGCTACTACCTCGATACCGAAGGTTATTCTTGCCCTTCATATCGACGCTTTTCATTTGATTTGCTTTTGGTGAAGTCATCTCGACATAGCAATTAACGCCACATGTTTTGTTCCGCTTGTTATTGTAGAGGAGGACCTGCGATCGATTGCTGCCGTCACGGTGCGGGAGATCTCAAAGAACGCGTCAGACAAGTTCAAGGGAGTTGCGTCCGCGATCCTTCCCACTGTGCACTATGGAACGTTTGACGCCCACAAAGACATTGCAGAAGTGTGGAAGGAGGTCTGGGAGGAGCATACAACAGGCGCCACCTCAGCCGTCAAGTTGTATGCGGACGAAATTGTTCAGCTCCTGTCAAAGCAGCTTACTTCTGCATCTTGGAATGCCAAGAAGCAATCTGCCATTGCTTTGAAAGCAGTCTCGGACGTTATGGGTAAACGACTAATTTTCACTTCTTTCCTGACGCGATTTTGGCCTCTTATACTATTATCAGCATACCTAACTTCCTTCTCATCCACACTTTACTTGTTGTAGACCTGACAAAGTACATGGATACAGTTCTCCCTCTGGTGTTGGATGGACTGTCGGGGCGGACTTGGGATGGCAAGGAGCACGTTGTCAACTTGCTTCCGTCTGTTGCACTCTCTTCCAAGGCCTACTTCGATGACAAGGCTCCAAAGTTGCAAGAGATCGCCAAGGTAGGCACGATTTCTTCAAGCTTTACCCATCATAATGTCTGACGTGTGTGCTAACTGCACTTATATCCATGCATACCACTTTTGCGTTGTAGGTTCTGTTGCGAGAGTCCAAGAAGGTGAACAAACAGTACAAACGATATGCAATTGATGCCTTGGGCAAGTTCTTGGACAGGTTTGCAGGGGTTGACTACTACTTGGAAGTCAAATCGATGCTGTTTACGATTCTGGAGAACAAGGAGGACGAAGATGAGGACGAGGAGCACGATAAGCCGTTGCAGTTGATGGTCATGGCCAGTGCTGCCAAGGCTGTCGGGTTGGCCTGGACCAGAAACGCCCAGCTTCAAGGTACAGCTTTTCCACTTGTATGTTTTCCATAATTGTTTTTATATCATGCTGTGAGCCACCTATTCACATGTAATGTTTCTGTCGTGGGCATTTTAGAACAATATTCGAGCGAATTTGTAACCAAGACGTGCCAGGCTCTTGTGCGGAACATCTGGAATGTGCGAGCAGCACTCTTGGAGTCGTTGCACAAATTCTTTGAAAAGTTGGATCTCACCTCTTCGGCCAAGGTGGTCTCGGAGGAGTCGATTGTTCTTATCCTTGACAGTCTGTTGGAGGGTAGTCTGAGGGATTTTAAGTATGTCGCTTTGCGGAACGAGGGACTTGAGCTCCTCAAGACTGTTGTCGCCAAGTTGAAAGGTAAAACCAGTTGAAATGAGCACATTTCGACGGTTGGTATTGTCCTTCGTTATGGCATTAGATACTGAAGACTTGTCTGATTATTTTCACAATAGGTACAAATTCATGGACGCCTGTGGTTTCGGCTAAGGTTCGGGAGGTGCTTAGTATTGTAAGGAAAGACCCTCTTCCCAGTATCTCTGAAGTCGCTGCTGTCCTGGAAAGCACCCTCGACTGAGCTTGAATGTAGTCAATAGAAAGAGTCATCGTATAAGTACCACGATAATATATAAACTCGGCGCTTCCACTTTTTTTCGCTTACAGTTGTATGGTATTTATTCGTCGTCGAATTCGTTGTAGTCTGGCTGGGCGTCTGCTTCGTGATCGATAAGGGCCTGATAGAGGAGTGTGAAATCTTCTGGCCGCGTCAATCCCGATCCGACGATCCAGTGTGTTGTAGATCCGGCCGTGTTCTCCGATGATGTTGCCGCACGGACGACGGTGTTCCCGTTTCTCTCGTCAGAAGACATGGTATTTTGGTCATCGTTGCCGACATCTATTGCAGAATCGTCGTTCTCGTCGTCTCTATTCATACTGTCGTCCTCTTCTTCGTCGTATGATTCCACCCTCCTGTCTTGGACTTGAGCACGTTCGCGTTGCTTCATCTGATAAAATGACTCGAAATTTTCAGGCGAAGGAGACAGGGGGAGGAGTCCTCTCCGGTCTTTTCGTCCGAACGCTTCATAGGTTGATCTTGTATTCGATGATAGGATCGAGCCTTGTGATGACGACAAGGAGGTTGAAAGAGGGTAGGAGGAGTAAGATCCAGGGGAGTTGAGGGCAGAGGCGTCATAGCGGAGGGCGGCAAGGCGGCCACAGTATCCATTCTTCCAGAAGAGTGGGTGGGAGGCCCATTGCTGGACGCATTCCTGGAAGGCTTCACCGCCCTCTAAAGAGTCCCCGTTGACTGGCGACGATGAGGTAGACCCATTGTTGAGGACGCATTGGTGCAAATGTGGTCCGACCAGTGCGACCAACTGTCTCGACACCAAATGGGTCCCAGACAAGGTCCAATGTGTATGTTGCAACGAAGCCGTCTTCTTGGCGGCAGTAGAACTTTGATAGTCGACGACGACGGGGGGTACTTTGTCGCCAAAATCCTCGGCACTACATTCTGAGGCTTCGGAGAAGGATCCGGTAAAGGAGTGGTCGTCTTTCATGGTTAGGAGGCGGCGAGGGCGAGAAGATAGGAGGGCCGTAACAAGGTTCTCGACATGGATGTAGTGTGTGGTGTCGGTGGTTAAAATGAATGGGTAGGTGTGCAGCATGGGTCCTGCATACCAGTTGGTGTTGTTGTATAGAAAGTGATAGGCCTGATCAAGGGGGAGGAGAGGTGGCAGGTTACAATCACAGTTAGATTGGACTGACAGGACTTAAAGAGAAAGGTCAAGGAGGCCTTCAGAGGGAGGCAGGCATGGTCAATTACCTTGAGCAAGCCAGATGCACTGTCAGCCTGCCCGTTCTCGAGAATTGAAGGGATCAGCATCTTGCGCATGGGCTCCTGCTTGGAGTATTCATCCCCAGCACCGCCAGATCCTCCAGCACCACTAGCACCACCGGAAGTACTTACACCTCTACCCCCATTACCGCTTCCTCCAGAAGTTCCTTCTTCAGCACCGTCTGTTGGGTCCACGAATCGCATAGAGAGGGACTGTGCACGGCCCTGGAACTCGCCTGGTCTCCGCATCACCGTCTCACCGTCATGTTCTCCGACAAAGAAGATGCTTGCCCCAAAATCCTCCGCGTCCTTGGCCCATGTCCTCGCTATGGCTCGCTTTAATTCGAAATTCTCGGCGCGGTTGAGAGTCGGTGAAGGGTGGACTAAGATAACCACCACTGGCTCCTCGACTCTGTTGGCGAGTTTGTATTTTAGTGAGTAGTGCAACCATAGTTGGCGTGGTTTGTATTAGTGTGAAACCCCTATTTTTTGAACCTTGTGGAGAAGACAACATGAGCCCTGAGAGGAAACTAACCTGAGTTTTGTGGGATGGGGGTTGTTGGAAGAGTGCCTGAAGAGGGTGTTGAGGAGCAGGAGGAAGGAGATTGTAGATAGGGCGATAGCTGCCACCCGGACTGCCTTGTGTGTGCCTGTCACCATATCTTGTCTGTTGTTGCTGTGTTGTAATTTGTTGAGCGCGATAACTGTACTCGATGGTAAGGGTGATGATGATCTTGTCGTGCGGCCAAAAAGCACAGTTTTGTTGAGGGTTGTTGTTGTTGTTGACAGCAAGAGGAAGAGAGGCAGAAAGGAAGAAAAGAAGAAGGGAGAAAGAAAAGAAAGAAAGGCGAAGAAGGGGACGAGGGGCGGATGGAGTGGAGTGATTAGAGTCCAATCCAGGGATCCAAGGGGGCACGCACGGTCTTGTTCCTGTCTCCCATCCAATATGTATCACCTCCTCACATTTCATTGGGCAGTCACTCCACCCCACTGCACACTGTCAGAAAGAGGCGTTGTGGAGGCCACAAACACCTCTTCTGAGTTCTGATCAGCTTTTCCCACACTCCACCCGTTCCATCTCCCTCTTCCCTTCCTTGACATTCATCCCCTTCGCTAACATCTTCTCCACCCATCCTCCTTACAACTCACCGCCAGGCACGTTCAAAAATGCTCTTACAACTCATCACCCGCAGACCCACCCTCACCCGTGCTCTCCTTACTCCTGTCACACTTCGTGCTACAGGAGCAGCAGCCCCTTACTGCCCGGCCACCTCCTTGTTGCTCTCTCGCACCCCTTCCTCTTCATCCGAGTACCGTCAATATACATCCTCCTCTTCCCATTCTTCAAAGATCCAAGAACTAGTCCTGAAGTCCACTGAACAGCTCCTCCAACCCCCACCAGACCACACGCCAGCACCCACCCAACAAGTCCTCGACGAACTCAAGGCCAGAATCACCCTCACCGCCCACCTCAAGAACGACCTCGGTATGGACATCTTCAAGACCTACCAGCTTCTGGACCGGATCGAGCAGGGACTCGGCAGTGACATTGATATCCCCGTCGAACAGGCCGATAAAGTCCAGACCCTCCAAGATGTCGTCGACCTCGTCTCCAGCGCCCAGAAATAAATTTATAGCCTTTCTTACATGGGTTTAGTTACACATGTACGTGGGAGCAACACTCAAGCAAACACTTTGACTTTTTTCATGCATTTCTTTCCTGATGGCCAACGTGGTGTCAAGTTGTCGCAAGGTTTTTTTTTTTTTATTCAGATACATGAACAAAACAAAACACAAAAATGGTAATAATGTACAATCGCCCGCTACCTCGCTGTCTAGTTGACAGTATGGGGCGAATCCTCGTCAGGAACAAGAGCTGACGAATCACTCTGAACCGCGCTTGTCGTCTCGCTCGTCGTCGTCAAAGGTGTCCCAGGCGATGATCTCGACACTGGAACAACTGCATCGCCAGCAGCCGCCGTTGTCTTTGTTAATGTTGCTGCTGCTGTTGACACTGCTGACTTTGGCGTTGTCTTTGTCTTGGTGGCTGTGAGTGCTGGCGAGCCATTGTCGGGTCCGGATCCAGCGGCCGCATCTGCATCTGCTACTGCGTTCTTCGCGGCCACGGCGGCGGCTGCAGCGGCGGCAGCGGCCTTGTTGCCCTTGGTCCAGCGAGTGCTCGACGGTCTCCTGAGCGAAGCCTGGGTCAACTTTCCTGCACTCGCCAACGACTGCTTCAGCGCAGCCGATGCACCAACAGTTCCGCCCACAGAGGGACCGGCGCTAGGACTTCCAGGGGTTGTGCCGTCCAGATCCCGTTTCCATTCCTTCCAGGCATCGACATCAATCAGCGCCTGCATACAACCCCACTCCACAATCTTGCGCTCCAACCACGGCAGATCAATTGGCTTGGTGATATAGTCGTTACAGCCAGCTAGCAATGCCGTATTCCTCGACTCCTCACTCTCGGCAGAAGCTGTCAAGGCCACGATAATGACAGGCGATCGGAATGGAGAAGATGGCGTAGTTGCTCCTTGTGGCGATGTTGCTGAAGAGGACGCTGATGCCGAGGCCGCCATGAGACTCATGGTGTTTCCGATCGAGTTGGGCTTATCGGTTGGGAACACGCCAATCCTCTGCGCCTTTTCCAGCTGACGAATCTCCCGTGTCGCCTCAATTCCGTCCATCACCGGCATTTGAATATCCATCTATTACGACATGACAAAGACAGAGTTGTTAGCATCTTTGCTTGTAATGTGCATCGTGTCAAAACCACATACAAAATCAACATTAAAACCGCAATGAGAAAGAGAAAGTTGAGCCTTACAAGGACCAGATGGAACCCGCCAACACGCCACTTGTCAACGGCCTCTCTACCGTTGCAAGCGACATCAAACTTGATCTTTCGGCGTTGCATGAACTTGATCAAAATCGTCTGGTTAATCATGTTATCTATTCACAGCAAGGAGCAAATAAAGGAAATCAATAACTGTTAGCATAATTGAACAATGTGCGAAGTAGAGCGGCTTGATTGATCCAGAGAACCTGCTGTGGCCTACCTTCGACGATGAGCACGTTCACTAGAGGACTGACACGCTCAACGACTCCACTCTTGACCAATGAAGTGGTTGCCTTGGCGCCTGTGTCTTTGGCCTTCTTGGCGGGGGTGGAACCACTTCGAGTCCTGTTGGCGGTGGTTTCGGAGGTGTTGGGAAGGGGTGATGTTCCGTGACTGGGAAAGGAAGAACTGGATGTAGCTCCTCCTGGACTGTTCCGCAGAATCGTTCCTGCTGCAGAGACTGCCAGGGGCGAAGGTAAACCGTGCAAAACGGGGTGGGATCCCTTGGGACTGTCAGAACCGATAATACGGTGAGTACCTCCGCTCTCGCCGCGAGGTGTTAACGGGTCAGTAGATCGCTGGGGCAAGGGCGATGACATGCCAGAGTGCCGGGTTGTAGGTGGCGAGAACAGTATGCCAGGCGACTGAATGATCATGGGAGGGGTGGTCAGAGGGGAGCGGGTACCCGGTCGCATCACCTGACCGTTGCTAAAGCGGATATATCCTGCAGGGAGAGCCGATTGGGAGGTCGTGGTCGGAGCTGGGTCTGGAGAAAGTGTATGGGCCTTCGCAACGGCTGAGTCGGCAGTGCGTTGTGCGTGCATTGCTGAGAAGGGCTGGTGCTGGACAATTCCAGCAGCGGGCGGGATCACGTAGGCACTGCCCTCAGACCCGTGGCTGGAATAGCGAGCGCTTCCATTGGAGACCCTCCTCTGGCCAGGTCCTCCAGGCGATGGTGACAACGTTCCCTGAGGTCGCGATGCGGTGGGGTCGAACAGAATTCCTGGAAGCTGGTTGCCCGAGGCTGTAACCGGCATGCCATTGGGAGAGGCTATGAAGCGGGGCCCGCCTGGTGTCTCTGGAGACACTATTCCACCCAGAGACTGGCTCTCGGACGAATAGGTCGCCATGCCGCCACTTCCACCAGGCTCGGCATACTGCCGCATCTCCCGTCGGTGTCGTTGATCCGACGTCAGTGGATGGTTGGGGCTTATGCTTCCTGGAGAACTCTGGGTCGAATGTAGGGTAGTCTGTGCATAGGCTTGATGTGAGATGGGGTCATAGCAAATCCGGTCGCGGTCGAATGGGTTGATCTCTGTGCTGAAGTGTCGAACCATTGGTGCTGGGGAGGTCGGCGCGGTTGCAATGGGGCTGTATGTTTGATCAAGGACAGGCACATTGATGGCCGTGTGAATGGCCGTCAAAACACGCCGGGGTCCTGCGGGTTTTGGAAGGACCAAGATGTAGGGCAAAGGTCCTTGGCTAGGCGGAGGACCGGCCAAGCTGTTGGCGAAACTGTAGTGCACTCCAGGCATCTGGGTACCAATGATGAACGTGATGGTGTCTCTGGCCTGCTTGAAGGTCGGCAGGCTAGTAAAATAGATGATGCTGGTGTGCTGGATCGAGGTGATGGATTTATGTCGTCGGTGCGTAGGACGTCCCTTGGGTGTTGTGGACCCTGGACCAGGGGATGGGGGAGTGGCCTGCAACTTGAGGATCTGTTGTCCAAGAACTCTGACATCGTCGTCAATCATAATGAAGGCTGGGTTACCGACCGACTTTAATGCTGATGAGGCGTCAATTTTTCCTGAAGCATCCGATGGTTTGCCGTTAAGAGATGAGGAAGAGTTGGTACGTTGGGCAGCACCGGTCGGTGTCTGTGGATCCTCTGTTGTGAACTCGGATTCGCTCTCGCCTTCTCCTTCAGTACCATCGGCATCGCGGATGGTCTTTGTGGTGACGTGGATTCCCCACGTCTTCAAGTAGCCAAGAAGTCGGACACCAAAGGCCGAATGTTCTCTGGCCATCATCACAACCTTAAGGCCTCCAAGCTTGCGGCTGAATCGAAGTAGCTCCTGAACTGTGGGCTCAGTCGAAGTCTTTGGACTTCCTGCTCCGCGTTTTGATGGTGGCGACGAAGGAGAAGGAGAGGGCGATACGAGAGGTGTTTTGAGGTGCTGTTGGAAGAACTGTTGAGATTCGTGCATTGGGTACTTTGTCTGCATGTTCTCCAATCGTTGAAGGTGACCTTGAATGGGAATTGGCTGCAAGGGTTCGTCTGGTTTGGCAGCAGGATCCAGGGGGTGGACTAACGATGGTGAATCCTGGCCAGACTTGGGAGTGTTAATGGCGGTGGTAGAGGCGGATTTCTCATCTTGTAATAATCCGCTCTGGTTCATCTCGACCTCGACGGAGACAATGAACTTTTTGGCAAAGTCCTCCAAGGCTTGAATCTCCAGGGCTCCGCCCATGGCCTTGACCAGCTTGGACGCCAGGAGAGCGTTCAGTTGGGCCAGATCGTCCTCGTTCGACGTCGAGGCGTGATTAGGGTAATAAATGATCTCGAACGTGACCATAACCTTGTTCTTCTCAACCTCAGGTTGTGGGAGTGCAAAAAGGACCAAACACAATTCAACCGTCGATCCAGACTTGGCAGAGTCAATAATGCTTTTGATAAGCTATCAATACAAAGGAAAATACAAAGAGAGGTTAGTCATAAAGTAGATAGAAAGGTATTGGTCCCGTGGTATGTGTACTGTCGAAAAAAAAGAACTTACGTTGATGAGGGCATGCCTCCAGCTTTCCTCGCTTCCTTTGATGGGCACATGGCTCAAACCGTATTCAGAGTGGTAAATAACAAATTCGACCCCCTTTAACGAGGCGTCTGCAGACACGAGATCTCCTAGACTTTGAACGAATTCGCCTACATCAAAGCCATTTTCGCCCCGGTGGTAATGAGGCGAAGTCTTTTCGACGATACCCTGGACGTACTCTGTAAACATGACCCGAGAGAGGCGCTGCATATTCCTCGAGATGTACTGCAGATGCCTCATGGTGGTAAACAGGCCGAGGACGCTCGTGATCGGGATGGGGAGTGTACACGGACTGAGTTGTTCTCGGGAGACGCTGGGTGGGAAGAGACTCGTGGGGGTCATCTGACGCAGAGTCTCGATCGCGAGAGTCGCGGCATCCTGGACCTCCTTACCGACTGTCTCGAGCAAGATGTTCTTTTTGAGCAGGTTCTCGTCCCGGTATGCTTCCATCAGGATCTCATGACGCTCTTGAAGCTCATCCAGCTCTGCGTTATGTCGGTCCGTGTCTTCTGAGAGCGCTGCTGAGATCCTGTCGAGTCCAAGGAGAGCAGGCGCAAGGAAGAGGGGCACGAGAGTTGAGAGGATGATGGCTGGGTTCCAGATAAACGGGTGCCACCCGTGAGATGTCAATGCAGGAGTGAGACCCACGAGGCCTAAAAGGCCGTAGCCCAAAACCCAGTATGGGAACGAAGAGCGGGATGATGTCGAGATAGAGGATGATGACGTGGTATTGTGAAGCAAGGTTGTTGTAGATGTTGTTGCTTTGGCTGCAGTTGATGTTGCTGTTGTTGATGCCGTTGCTGCTGGGTTCGAGGTGGATGCCTGGTCGAGAGTGGCACTTTTACTGTTGTTGGTGATCGATGGTTCTGAAGCGTTGGTGGTGGGCTCTGCTGGTTTGGTGTCGAGGGGCGAGCTAGTGTCGTCGCTCCTGATTCCAGATAAATGACTTGTACTCCTCGGTGACGACGACGACGGCGATGGTGATGGTGATGACGACCACATTGGCTTGAGCCATTGCCAGGAGCAGGCGACTGCGAACAAGCCTTGATAGGCCGCCTGGGCCAGCAATCCCGAGTGACCAATTCCATGGAGATAGAGCCCTGTCCGCCCGTGTCCAATCAAGATGGCGCATCCTGCAACGGAGACAATGGCGCCAAAGGCAAAGAGGTTATGGCGGATGGACTGGATGACCTTGCCGACGGTAGTCGCTTCGGGAGAGGAAAACGAAGGACAATCTGTGAAGGAGGAAGGGGGGGTGAAGTAGTTGGCGTGGAGGTTCCTGATCAGCTGAGCGGGTCTGCTTTGCATCTTGAATCGCGGCGCGGTTGATCGCACTCTAGTAGACGAAGAAGATGGTGCCGTTGCTCCATTGGCGGCGGGAGTCGCAGGCGTGTGTTCCTTGGGTACACTGTCGTCGCCGTTGGTGTTGTCGTTGTCGTTGTCCGATAATGGCAGTGCCGTTGTTGTTGAAGTAGGATTGTTGTTGTCGGGGGTATTATCGGTTGTGATTGCAGGAGACAACGTGCTCTTGGGCACTTGCGGCGAGTCCATCTGCGCCAAGGCTTTCTTTGTTCTCTTTTTCTAATGTGTATGAATGCGATGTGCTAGGGTTGATGAGTCTGGCTCTTTCTTCCTTGGGGCGTTGATGAAGTGTGTATTTTTGGTTGTTATACCTCGGCAGAGAGGGAGAGACGAGAAGTTAGGACAAGGTCAGGTTAACGGGCCAGTGTGAGGGTGAAGGTGAAGGTGAAGGTGAAAGAGAAGGTAAAGTGCAATGGAGAGAAAGAGAGAAAGAGAGAGGAGGGAGAGAAGGACTTGTTGGACAGAGAAACAGAGTATGTGTGTATGAAAGTAAGTATGTATGAAAGTAAAAGACGAGAAGACGAAGGAAGGAAGAAGCGGTGGTGATGAAAGGGTGAAAGGGTGAAAGGGGTACGAGAAGGAGAGGGCAAGAGGGAATGGAGAGGGTGGAGATGGTTCAACAGTTGGACTTTGGACTGGGACTGGGGGAAGGGCCAAAGAGAGGAAAAGGGAAAGGAGGAAAGGGGGAAAGGGACACCCACGCAAAAGGATAAGGAACAAGGTAAGAGTTTGAACAGAACATACACACACCACAGTCAATCATTCAGACAGGTGGCTTGTCCTCAGGGACAGCTCACCATTGGTGCAATTCAGAAAATGACTTTCGCACTGATCATATATCACCACCCTACTATCATCGCATACAGTTTATCTCTTTTCCTTCGTTTATCTGTACTGTACCCATCATGGACTCGCTTTCTCTCACCATAGTAACTGCCACTTCTATCATCTACGGACACAATACCAAAAAACCACAAAGATCCTCTTAGTGATGGTAAGTCAGGTTCCCTCTGACCAAGGTCTCAAAAAAGCGCCGCTCGTGATTGGTTCAGGGGTTATTCGCATTGATCACATGACAGCTAGAGCTTACTTTTTCTATTTCTTGTTTTTTTGGTGGCAAAAAAAACTGTCCATTGAAATAACGAAAGAGGAAAAAATAATGCTTGAAAATTTTATATAGGTCGATATTAGATAAGATGTATGTAAGATGGTTTACTTGACCTCGACGGTGGTCGAGGGACCGGCAACATCATGGTGCTGCTTCTCATGGTGCTGCTCCTTCTCCTGGAAGCTCGAGACAACAGCCGTCATGACCGCGATCTTTCTCACCGCGTCGATACTCTCCCAGACACGATCCTGCTGGATCTTGGCAGCCTTTCTGGCAGCCAGCTTTTGACGGCGGCCGCTCGTTGGCACAAAGGTAGCCGTCATCTCAAAGCTCCAGCTCTTGAACAACCACACCTTGACTTGGTCCAGCAAAACAAAGTAAAGGAACGAGATGCAGAGCACAACAATCGCCTCTCCAGCGGGGACTTTGGGAGTCAGACCACCAAAGATAACCATCAACAGCGCAATGATCTGCGTGCCAATAATCACGACAGCAAACAAGGGCGAGGGCAAGTTCTCCCAGAAGTAGCCAGTCAGGCGGGTCGAGAAGATCACAAAGTGGGGTGCAGACGAGATGTGAAGGTACATGATCGACTCGAGGCGGCGCTCAGAATCGGGATAGTTGTCACCATTGACAGGCTGGTACCCGAAATGCTTCCAGAAGATGAAGAAATGGGCAAACGACAATGCAGTCAAGCAAAGTCCCAACACAATCGACATTGTAATCAACTGGCCAATTCTCCACTTGTCCGGGTGTGCCGAGATCTAATTAGTCGATCATACGAGGTAACAAAAAAAAGGAATCATTAATATTGGACGTGGTTTTCAATGAACAATGGCAATGAATAAGATAGCAACGAAAATGAAAAAAAGAGATCAATGAAAGAAAATGGTAAAAAAAGAAGCGATGAAAGAAAACATACCTGGGCGTTGTCGACAGAGATAACAAGAGTGGCGAGATCGTTCAAGATGCAAATCAGAATAAGCAAGTGGGCGGGGAGAGACCAGTCATAGGCCATGACGACGACAAAGAAGAACATCAAAAAGTGGACAGTCGAGGTGATTCGGTACAGGGCATAGGAACGCATGCGCTGGAAGATGGCACGGGAGGTAGTCAAACCATCGACAATGGTCGACAGACCGGGGGCGAGCAAGACAATATCGGCAGCAGAACGCGCAGCATCTGTGCATCCGTGGACAGCAATACCGACGTTGGCCTTCTTGAGAGCGGGAGCATCGTTGACACCATCACCGGTCATACCGACAAGGATACCACGCTTCTGGAGCAGCTCAACGACACGGTACTTGTGCTCGGGGATGACCTGGGCGAAACCGTCGGCGCGGATGACGTGCTCGGTGATCTCGTCCTCAGATTTGTCCGAGTCAACCAAGTGGCCAGCATCCAACATGACACGCTGCATACCGAGACGGTGGGCGACCTCCTTGGCAATGATAAGCTGGTCTCCGGTAATCATCTTGACAGAGACTCCCATGGCATTGCAGCGGCGGATGGTCTCGGCAGAGTCAGGGCGAGGAGGGTCGATCAAGGCGATCATACCGATCAACTCCCATTGGTCCATGTTGCCCTCGACAGTGCGAGCGACACCCAGGGCACGGAGACCGCGCTTGGCAAGGGAGTTAACAGCACGGACGGCATCATCGTCACCACCAACAAGACGGATAATAACCTGGGGGGCACCCTTGGCGACCTTGAAGGAAGAACCGGTCTCGAGCTGGGTGATGGTGGCCTGGGTCAGCTTCGTCGAAGGGTTGAAGGGCAGGAAGGAAGTGACCTTGTAGCCGGGAACATCGTGCTTGTGGGTGCGGTTCTGGAGGATCTCGAGCTGCTCCTCGGCAGCGGTACGGACAGCAAACTCGATGGGGTCGTTGGCACCGGCCTCGGCAGCGAGGTACGAGTACAGAAGAATGTCGTCCGAGGTGTAGTTGTTGGTCAGGTAGGGCTCATCAAAAGTCAACTCGTTGAGGGTCAGGGTTCCGGTCTTGTCGGAGCAGAGGACAGAGACAGAGGCCATCTCTTCGACGGCTGTCAGACGCTTGACGATGACCTTCTTGGCAGCGAGCTGCTTGGCACCGACGGCCATAGTGACGGACATCACAGTAGGAAGACCGACGGGGATGGCAGCGACAGTCAAGACCAGAACCTTTCCAAGGACGGTGATGAACTTGCCCTCAGGGGTGCCCTTGAAGTGGACCAGCTGGTAGATAAGGATGATAACGACCAGGACGACGGTGATGAGGATCAAGAAATTACCGATGCGGTTGATGATCTTCTGGAAGTGACCCTCCTCGGTGGTGATGGAGATGAGGTTGGCGGCGCGGCCGATGAAGGTGTCGCCACCAGTCTTGGTAACAACAGCCATCTGCTGGCCCTGCTTGACGATTGAGGATGAGTAGACGGTCTTGCCCTTGTTCTTGGCCACAGGCAGCGACTCTCCGGTCAAGGCAGACTGGTCAATCAAGAGATCACCCTCAGTGGCCTCGCCGGTGGCACCAATACCGAGAAGACGGCCATCGGCAGGGACAATGTCTCCGAGACGCAACACAATGATATCTCCAGGAACCAGGGCAGAAACATCCAACTCGACCAGGTGACCATCGCGCCAGCAACGGGTCTTCAAAGCAAGCGTCTGACGGAGGGCATCCAAGGCGGACTCAGCCTTGGACTCTTCGATGAAACCGATACAGGCGTTGACAAGCAACAGGGCGACAATGATACCAAAATCAAGCCAGTCCTCGACGACTGCAGAGATGATGCAGGCGACTTCGATCAGGTAGGCAATGGCTCCGGTGAAGTAGCCCAGGAACTTAAGGAAGGGGTTACGTTTGACCTCGGCCAGCTCGTTAGGACCAAACCTGGCGAGACGCTCGGCGACCTCGGCCTCTGTCAAACCGTGCTTGGGGTTGGTCTGGAGAAGGGCCTCGAGCTCGGGCGAAATCTCATCCTTGTGCTCGTGGTGCTCGGCCTCTTCAACCTCGAGCTTGCCCTTTGTATGGGCGCTATCTACTGGTGTAGCTATATAACAGTGAGGGGACCAAATGATTTTATGTGTTAGAGGGTACAACAACAAGGGGTGAGGGCTGCAAGGAGCAAATTAAGGCGAGGGTGGGATGCGAGGGTTGACTGCGTTGTGTCTAGGTCTTGACATGCTTGTTTGGTCTGTTTTCTTGAGGCGAATTGTTTTTGATGAAAGTGGGGATTATTACCTTCGATCTTTTCAGACATGGCTGAATACAGGGACACTCAAGTCTATGTGATCTAAATTCTATGGCTAGGGGTATGGAAGATGTACAAGGGAGAGCAAGCACAAAGAAAGGGAGGGGTAGAGGGAGGGAGGGAGAGGATGGGTGAAGGAAGAAAGGAAGAAAGGAAGGAAGGAAGGAAGGAAGAAAGGAAGGAAGGAAGAAAGAGGAGGGAGGAGGAAAGAAAAAGACGACAGAGGTGGTGGTAAACAAAGGGAAAGGAAGAGTAGAAAGGGGAAGAGAAGAGGAAGAGCTGGTCGTCTTTATATCTATTCAAGAAGGAGAGTGGACAGGGGTTGTTTGTTTCTGTTTAAGTGAGGGATAAACTGCAGTGGATGGATGGAGGGTGTGTTCCTGGAGGAGGCTGGGCCAGGCCATTCAGTCGTCCATTCATTCTTTCATTCATCCAAACGGCTCACTCATCCCTTTTGGCTGCAAATGGAAACAGCGGCACCATCCACCCCGCTCGCCTTGCCTCTCTTGCTCTCTCTGTGTGAGTGTGTAAACAAATCGAGAGCGGTGGGTCCAGGTGGACATGAACTGAACACACACACTTCTCGCGCACTCGCATTCCCTTCCTTTATTGTTTTTCCCCTTGGAGTAACATCCAAACCATAAACAATCGTGGATAAACACATACTTCCTCGTCGTTATTGTTGTTGATGGTGTTGCTGTTGTTGTGGTTGTGGTTGTTGTTGTTGTTGTTGCCTCTTATTAACAACCGCTGGCTGTTATCAGTACCATTGCCATTGTCATTGTTTCCAATGTTGTCATTGTTTTCAATGTTGTCAATGTTGCCGTCCATCTCTCTCTCATTCTTTCCCAATCCGACAAGGAGATAAAAAGGTGAACAAGCACCTTTCACATACTCACACACTCATGCTCCATCTCAATTCCACTCTTCCGTCTTGACTGTCTGTTCACACACTGTTGAAAAAGATGGGGTTATCGTTGCTGATAGATAATGAGCCAGCTTACACCATCCGTGACATCTCCTTTGTTGTTTGTTTTTTTTCATGCCTCTTTCTTTGACCTGTGCTGTGGTACCCTGGGTTCGTCCTCTCCCTCTCCTCTTCTACGTCATGTTACGCAGGAACACCACTCGCACTACATACGCACACGAGCACACACCCTCGAGAGTAGTGGAAGGATCAAAGCCATTGGTCATAGTCCTTTGTCTCCCCTTATATCTTTCCTCTGACTTTTTCTCGCTGAGGAACAATAGTTGAGTGCTGTCAACGAGGAAAGCTAATCCTCCTTTTCAATTGTCCTTTCCTTTTCTCTTTCCTCGGTTTTTTAGACCGTCCTTTTCTTCATGGTACACTGTGGTGTCGCTCCTTTTTTTTTCTTTGCTACTACCCCTTCAGTGGCCTTCTTGCCGATCCGGTGTAGCATGGACAAAAAAGAGACAGGGAGTAGACATGAAAGTCTAGCTGCCTTTTTAAAGGTCTGGTTCCCTTGCTATTCTCTGCAGTTGTTGTCTTTCGCCCATCGGCCTTTTCTTTGTTACTGGTCTACTCTGTTCTGCCAGGCTCGCCTGTTCAGCTCGTTCGCTCTCACACTCTTCTTGTCTACCTTACCTGACGCTACCTAATACTTCTCCTCATTAATAGTATTTCCGGGCAGGGGACCCTCAAAACTAGTTTTTTGGTCTTTTCTTTTGCCTTGGTGAACAACCCGGGTCGGTCTCGCTCTTTTTTCGTCTTTTGAGTGGTCGCTGCAACTTTAAAGTATTCAAGCTTACACGACAGAGGGTACCGCGAAATCTTACTGGGCACAGGGTGGACGAGACGAGAAGGAGGAAAAGGAATAAGGCATGCACGCCAGGAAAAAAAAAAGTATGTGTGTGAGTTGTGCGGGGAATGAAAACGCCAACCCATCCAAAATACAAAATGGGCGAAAAGTGTCCAACCTCACACCACTTCACCCACATATGGAAAAACATATGGAGTGGTTGAGGACAAGGATGAGGATGAGGATGGGTCTTCGGGAGGACTTTTCCCTTTTGCGCTATTTCATCTCTTTGTTATCCCCCCCTCTTTTTCTCCGCAGAACCCACCCCAACTCTCGATTATTATTAACCCCTGCTTACCTCCAGGAACTATGACTAAACGGACAACACAAGTTTGTTATCGATTGTTGATTGTGTTTGTTTGTTGCCTGTGTTGTTGTGAAGGGAAAGGAAACGGGTTTAATTTGCTGTTGTTGCTCATTTCATTGTTATTGTTTACACCAGTTGCCATTCGCTGTTTTTTAATCATTGCTATTGTTGTTGTACGAGAGAACGATCGCTTTATTGTCAGTTTCTTCATAGCTGTTACGGTGTTTAAGTGTCTTTCCTTCAATGACTTTTCTGTGTCCAAGAGATTCATCTTGTACGAGAAGTAGAGAAACCCGAGGGATGGCCATCTCATCTCCACAAAATGCTTAATGAACATAAGGCACTCGTATCTTTTTCTACCACACCGAGGGAAGGATGAAGAAAGATGGAGGAAGTTTATCCCTTTTTCTCATTTAACCTGGGTCATAGAAAGACAGAGGGAAAGGATGGCGATTGAATCAGGCGCTTTTCCTTAACTTCCAGCGGACCTTATTCTTATGTTGTTCCATACACAATCGAGTAATAATATAAAAAAACGAGGCATTTTTCTCGTCTTCTGTGCAAGATTATTTGCAAGCGTGCAGGGGAGTGTCCACATGTTGTGAAGGCGCTTCCGGGTCCTGATTTTGCCGAAACTAAAATGCGACAACGCATTTGTACCCTATGCCCAGTCCATTTCCACACTTGCTCGCTGCTCTCCTTCCTTGTTCGCATGTTTTCCTCTGCTAGGCTCGTTAGAGTGCTTGCCTTGTAGAAGTCCTTCTTGAAACGCTATCCTTTTATGATCTATCTGGCATGGCAAGAAACGGGTAAAAGTAGGGTGAAGATTGACATCACTGAAGGACAAGGAGAAAGAAAATAACAAGAGCACGTACACAAGGGATGAAGGAAGAGCAAGAAAAAGGGGACCCGCGAGACGGTGTTCCGTTCGTAAGCATGGCAAAACAAAACAAAATGAACAAGTGGTGTATCTATGGTTTTTTTTGGCGCAGGGGTGTGCGAAAGAGGAGGAGAGAGGGTTTGTGCGTGCGTGCGTGGCGTGTATTGTCTATTACTTCGTTGACCACATCGCGCGCTGCAAAGAGCCGCATAATACTATCCGGCGCCCCTCTTATGTTCTTTTGTTCCTTCATGGACATGTACATCTTATACCGGGCCGAACCTGGGTCACCCATCAATGCACCAATGCATTAGATCTATCTCCTTCTAATCGTCACTCCTAGAGAAGAAGGGAGACACAGTATTCGGTTGCTAAGAGAATATCACGATGGGTGTAGCGGTTACATATCGCCCTTTTATTCTCACCCCACTATACCACGTCTGATCCATTTTGTTCCTTCCTCGTTTTGTTTACATCAATGTTGTTGTCGTTTCAAGAAGGCAAAATAAATTCCCTCATAGACAGCAGCGAAAGTGTTGAACAGGGCAAAGGGTGAAATCAACAAGGCATTATTTTCGTCAAGGCGCACAAGATAGGGAAAAGGCCATGAATAAGGCGAACAATTCTTGAGTGCCCATGCGACCTTCTTTCTCTCCCTCGATCTTCTCCAGGGACATCTCCTTTTGTTGTTGTTGTTATTGTTGTCCCTGAACGGACCTATCACTGTTTGTTGTTGGGTGTATGTTGTCGAACTATTGGGTGACATTCTGCCTTTACAACAATAACAACCCACTCGCAGAACGCACCCAATTGGTGTGAATGTTTTTGCTCGCTTGACTTCTCTCTCACTAATTGGTATTTTTTTTTCTCATCGCTTCTTCGCAATGTGACACAGATAAAAGATGGCGGGTCACTGCTTAAAACCCCTCTCCCCGCCATATCTTGTTCTGCCCGGTTCATACGCCTTTTTTGACTTCGAAGAATTCAGGACAATACAAGGAGATGCGACTTGCAAGGACCCCCCTCCCCCCTTTTTCTTGGCACAGGATCAACATGACCACATAGGGTAGACGGTGTTACTGCGAGGGTGATGTTATATCGAAAAGAGCATGGGCGCGTTGCCGTTTCTGTAAACCGGTGTCTATTCACAACACCAACAAACAACCTCGGGAGAGGGAGGGGATATCTTTTTCAGGGGAAGGAAACTCGCTCTGCGGACGTCTTAGTAACTTGATCGCTCATACCAGACCAACCATCTCACACCATCGAGACTCCCTGGTAAAGACCAGACATCCACTTGCCCATGGCGACCCTCGGTTCCAGCAGCAGCCATCAGGGTAATTAAGCATTTTGTGGAGGTGCGAGTGAGACAAATAGAGTCCCCATCCGGTACATCGTCGCCAACCCTTCGATGACCCCACGTCAATCAGCGTTGTAAAGAGGAAGGGGCAGAAAATGCCTCACGGCCGCAAACCTGGCCTTCTCTCTGTCCGGCAGAACCTCGTTCGGAGCACAAATGAAAAAAAAAGAGAGAAGTGGAGCAAAACCCTGAACTCAAAAGCATAGGCGGTTACAAAAATGGACAAATCTGGACCAGATGGACAGAACCTATTACACAATCATCGTCCCCTTAATCAAATCGATTAGTGGCGTTGTTTATTAATGGGTATTCCCTAACAGTTCAAACGCGGCAGAAGGCAGGAGTGTCCAGCTGGGACTCGATGATATCTCCGCACTCCAAGATCTCGTCCACCAACATGGTCAGGTCAATCTCCCGAATTGTAGGAGGGTTCAGTACCACCCTGAAGAACACTGGCAGGTAAGGACCCAGCGGTGCATAGTCAATCATGAATTCACCGCGGCTGCGGATCCGACCATGAACCAACTTTGTCACGTGCTCCATCCAGTCTTTGGCTTGTTGACGCTCTTGCGGGTCTGTCAGGATGACCCCACGGTCCGCGGCTTTTGTAAGGGGCGTCGTGGTCGAGGGAGAAATGGATGAGGCTGTGGAGGTGGACTCATATGATTCCAGAGAGGTAGTCGAGGAGTTGGGAGAGACACTGGACGACGGTGCCGATTTGTTGTCCGTGTTTCCTGTGAAGTAGGGCTGCGAACCGATCAAGGGAGTAGCGGCTGTGGAAGGGATACGGGAAGGAGGCTCCTGAGTAGACAGTTCCTCGGAATCCCTCCACAGTCTCTCGGTACCTCTCCAGTCAATCAACCGGCTGTTGCGAGGACGGTACCAGAAGCAGACCTGCAACAGACTGGGCAGTGTCTTATCCCGCTTGCCTTCCTCCTTCACCTCCCGACGATGGATCACATCCTCGTGATCACAACCCAGTCTCAGCATCTGGATTCTGTTGTCTCTAAAGTTATCCTGAGCCAACAATTCTCCAAGTCGCGCCACGTTCGAAAACGATTTTTCAATCCTTGCCTGATATCCGAGACGACCGTAATACTTCCAGCCTAAGAACAACTTCACGGCATCCGAGCGCCGTCCACACCCGAGAGTGCCGTCGCCCAAATCGTGGCTCTGTCCGTGAAACAAGTAGTTCGCCTTCAGGGCGTTTGCGCGTGGGAAGATGGAAGAGTCGGGAACCAAAAGGAGCGAGCACTGAAGGGATGTCTGCAACATTTTGTGAGGGTTCACTGTAATCGATTGTGCCTAGAAAAGAATAATTGCGCGTTCAAATAAATAACGCAATTTGGCGTCAGAACTTTCGTCATGGCAAACACCTGCACGATCACACAAAACACATGCGACACCCAAAAACGACTTACGAGTTCAGAGCCGTCGAGGAGGGTCTTGGCAAGCTCAGGAACAAAAACGACGGCTCCTCCCCAAGAACCATCAACATGAAGCCAGCAGTTGTATCTTTGAGCAATCTCGCCACAAGGACGGATGGGGTCAAATGCTCCCAGGACGGTTGTTCCTGCTGTCACATTGATGAAAAAGGGTGTATGTCCCAACGCGATGTGCTCCTGAATCAATCGTTCTACAGTTGAAAGAACGAGGAAGACGTGTGAGTGGATGGAGAGTCGAAGTGGTTTGCTGAGTTGGAATCAACCGACAGATAAGAAACTGACGCGATCGTTTCTTTGAAGTGCGCCATTGGTATGCTTTGACCCTTTTTGTAAGAAAGGCGCTTACCAAGTTCGGAGGGGATCATGGATCCGTAAGAATCACAGGGGACGCTAACAATGCTCTCTGTGCCCAAGCCCATCATGACGGCCGATTTCTCCAAAGAATAGTGTCCTGCGCTGCTAGTGAACGCAATCAGCTTTCCATATGTCGTCATGTTGACTCCTGTAAACGAGTAACCATGCTCCTCCATTTCCCGCTGTTGTTGGATCGATGGTCGAGGAAAGTATCCTAGCTTCTTGATCTCTGGGTAGAGCGAGTTTCTTGCAGTGACCATGGCCAGTTGGTTACTGGAACTTCCTCCGGGGCAAGAGAGTCCTCCGGCGCGTTCGCCCTTGAAGCCGTAGAGTCGGGCAAGGGCGCGGGTGACGTGGATCTCCATCATGGTGAAAACGGGGGATACGTGGTAGACGTGCGAATTTCCGTTGAGTCCGGCGAGCAAGAGTTCGGAGAGGACGCCGATGGGGGAGGACCCTGCGTAGAGTTTGTCCATGAAGCGGGGCGAGAATGTGTTGACGCTGTGCCTGAGTGTCTGAGTGATCGTTGGGAAAATTCCTATGGGAAATATCAGCATCATCAATGGGAATGGAGAGTGAGTTTCAAAATAATTAGAACCATTCAGGGCCATCACTGGTCACTTATCACTGTTCAATCAAGAACCGAGAAGAGTGAGTGGCAAGGAAGGAGTGCAAGTAAAAGACTTGAACAAAAAATAAGAACGGTTACACACGCACAGAGCGGGGGAAAGACACCACTGACACACACGCATTGGTCATCATCACCATCCACTACCACCTCAATCAATTACTTGACAGAGGAGATACATTTGCATGCATGCAACAATCTATCTGTCTCTCTCTCTCTTGTGTCCAATTGCCCATCACATAAGAGGGAGAATTTTACCTTCAGGCCCAACTCCAAAGTCCGGCAAGGAAAAGTCCATGATCTGCTCCAGCTCGTGTGGCTCCTTATAATCGACCAGACGACCCTGGGGCTGCCTGCTCTCGTCCATATCTATCGAACCATTCCGATCCAAATTCAAGCAAGGAGTGAGGGATGAACATTCGATTATTTTTTTTACGAGTTGTCGGATCGGCCAAAAGGAGAGTCCCCATGCGCAGCGAACAAGGGCAGAAAAAATAACATTTAAAGTAGATACACATCGTGAGTCAGCCGGAATAAAACTTATCAACAGCGGACAAAAAAAGGGAGGGAGGGAGAGAGAGAGAGAGAAAAGGGGAGGGGATGTGCAGTGAAATGAGTAAGAGCTGCTTACATTGGACGAGGAGATCCTTCATTTTGGTGATGAGCAGGTCGAGTTCTTGTGCATCTTGGCAGAGGTCTATTGTGGTCATGGCGGGTCGTAAGTAGATGTTTGTTGTCTGGTGTGCAAGGGGATTGGGACAGGCTGAGCCAGAGGGTATATTATGAAGTTTGAAGTTGAGAAAAAAGAGAGAAAAGAAGAAGAGAAAAAAGAAACCAACGGCGATGGAAAAGATAAAAAGGAACCGGCAAGTGTGGGTGTGAGTGAGCGAGAGTGAGTAGCCAGGTTTGATGGCCTGTCTGTATGAGTGTTTGTCCCTTCGTTTCTGTCCTCAGTCCACCCCAAAACAAAACGATCGTATTTTTTGTTGTCTTCTGCTGGTCGACCCCGGGCGGAGTCTGAGGTAGACGGACGGTTAGGATTTGTCTCGTCGGTAAAGCACATGCGATCATCTTTCCTTCCTCGCCACCAACTTCACTTCCCATCAAGGTAGTATAAATTTACCAAGATCGAGGGGATTGTTAAGAGGGTATCGTTATCTTTTTATTTACAACCTTTTGTTGCCTGTCAAAAAACACAGTCTAGATGCGCACAACAGCAGCAACACCGTCTTGGTTTCCGACAGCAGCAGCCTCCTTCTTGAACCAGTACTCCTCACAGTCATCGCGTCCCACACCCGACTCATGAGTAATCGTCAAAAAGGTCACAGGCCGTCCAGTGACAATCATGGGGTGGTGCCAGACATTGGGTTTGTAGTTGATGCCCTGGCTGTTGGCGACCGTAAAGGCCTTCAGAGTCGACAAGTCAGGATTACCGTCCGACGTACGGTCCTTGGCTACGACCACCACAAAACCACCATTGCCGTCTCCGCCCATGGGGACAAACATCTGCGAGGAGTAGGCGTGGCGCTCCAACAGGCGGACGCCAATGTCCTTGGTCTCGACGGGCTTGTAGCACTGGAAAATGGCAATGTTGGCAGTTGCAGGCTTGTGATCCGAGGGGCAAGTCTTGTCGAAGGACCTATTTCCGTTGGCGGAGATAACTTCGTCGTTCAAGGCGTAGGAACGCAAGTTGGAAAAGTGACCAATGTGGGAGAATTTTTGAGCGGTGCCCTGGTTGACCTTGATCGAGTTGGGGTCATAGGTAGGGACCTCGATGACCTGGCCCCAAGGGGCAAAAGCCTCCTTGGTGATGGGCTCGGCCTCGATGGTCAACAGGTTCCAGGTGTCCTCGTCAGGGAGGGGATGGCGCTGACCGATGAGGGAGTTGGCAGGGATCTCATTTGCGGGCCATGACTGAGATCCAAAGACGCGGACACGCTTAATACCGCCATCAGGGATCATTACGACCTTGATTGACGCGACAGCAGGACCCGAGCTCACCTCAGAGGGGATCTCGAAAAAGTGCTGGCGGTGAGGCTTGACGGGAGCCTCGCCCAAGAGGGTGATAGGCGTCTCTTGGAGGGTATCCTCGGCAGTGTACCCGAGCAGGGTGACCGACTTGGGAGGGTTGCCCATGTAATGAGCAGTGTCGATCTCGATCAGAGTAGGGTGACCAGCAACACCCAATCTAATCGTTCATAAATTGAAGGAACAATTAAGACATGACCTCGAGATCATTTTCTCATGTTGATAGATATCCATACAACAATGCCCATAAAAGAAAAGAAGAAAAGAAAGACACATACTTAATGAAGGACCAGTCGACGTGGCCTGGAGCGCGAGAGCGCTTGGTCTCCCAACCGTCAGACATGTCATGACCGCGTCCAGGAAGCAAAAGATTAGAGGGATGGCCGAAATGGGCGTCAGAGAAGGCCTCAACACGAGCACCGGCTCCAACAGAAGCCAGGTCAAAGACACCGGCCTTGTCCTCGGGAAGGACTTGGTGGACCTTTCCATAGACCCTCAAACGGGCGACTCCACCATCAGGGAACATTCTGAAGCGAATGTGGGTGAAGAACTGGGTGGTGGGGACCTCCAACTTGAACCCGTGTCGGGAGTCGGGCTTCAAGGCCACCTTGGGGAGTATAGGGGTCCATTGGACCTGTTCCCACCCCTCGGCCGTGTCAGGAACGACGGTGGCGAGGGAAGCAACGAAAGCACCAGAAGCAGTAACAGCAACAGTGGAACTTTGATCGGAGGCGGCGCTATTGACAGCAACACCACTTGTACCATTCTTAGCGTCCTCGGGATCTGTAACCACCATGGCGGAGGGGCTGGCCACAAAGCCCTCCACGGAGACAAAGGGGGAGTGGTTTCCCGTAAAGAAGGCCGTATCGACCTCAAAACCTGCAACCGTACCAGGGTAACCCAGCTGGATCACGCACCTATGAGATATATTCGAATGAATGACATGAAATAAGAAACGGTGAGTGCCTTGTCCTGGATTGCATTGCATATGCTGTCCATGTATGAGCGACAGTTAGGCAAACCAATTTGTGGAGGGATAAAGTTGAACATACCAGTCGAATTCAGGACCGTGGCGGCGGGTCTCCCAGCCATCGAACCAGGCACCCTTGGGCGTAAAGTGGCCCTTACGCGAGATGGGGGTAGCAGCCGTCAACAGGTTGTGGGACTCTGCGAACCACTCGTCTGAGGTCGTCAGCACCTTGCCGCCGCGGGTCTTGACCGCGAGGTCTGATGTTGTTGATAATGAGCGACATTGTCAGCGTCAGTGATCAATGGTAACATTGGTCATCTGTTGGAGATGCAATAAAAAATTGAAGCGTGTCAGTCTCACTTACCAACATAGTCGGCAAAGGTGGCAGCGAGATCGGCAACCTCAATAGTCTGGTAGGTGATGGCTGAGGCAGGGGCAGCAACAGCATCGGCAACAGTAGCCTTGACAGCAGTGACAGTCGAGGAAGTGGTGGATGAGGTATCCGAGATGATGGTGGTGGTTGCTGGAGACATTCCGGGCAGTGTTCGAATTTCTTTTCGGGGGTGTGGGTGCAGACCGTGCTTGGGGGAAAAGGGCGGGTAAGGGTATGGAAGTGGGATTGAGAACAAAAAGGGCACGTACACTCTAATGCAAGCGGTTCAAAGTTGAGTTTTTTTTTGGCTTTGGTTATTCCGGTGAAAGGGATAAGGAACAGAAAAAAAGAAAGAAGTAAAGAGAGGAAGGAGTGGTACTTTTATAGTTGTGGATGGCTCCACCTTTGAACAATGCAGACAAAGCGAGAGTAAGATCGACAACAGAAGTCATTTAGCCCAAGGGCATTCAAGCTCGGAAGGGAGGTGGACCAGAAACTAAGGCAAGGCGAGAAAGGTGGGTCTTGAATGGCGACAGTAACGTCCAAAGGGGAGAATAACCCACAAGCACAACTTGGCCCGCAAAAAGAGGTGGAGTTGAACATTAGCCCGCTCTTTTTTTCTTTTTGACTTTGACCACATTTATTTTACCTTTAGGTCCTTGTTGTATGTAGGTGTAATCTCGGAGAAAACGTTCCCTATCTTCTCGCCTATAGAGTTTGAAAGGGTCGCTTGGGAATGCCTCATTTCGCCCACCAAAGAAGTGCTTGTTGTAACCCGCGGGTAAAGCAAGACAAGGTCCAGAGAACTTGACAAGTGTGTGCTCTAAACACGGCGCAATTGGCCCAATAATGAGATGAAGGGTTTTAATGCATCAGAGGTGGGCTGTCATTGACACAAAGTGGTCATAAGCAGGAAAGGAAACAGGTCGACCCATCATGGGGAAACTAGGAGCAATGGCCGTCAAAGATGGGTGAAATAGGAGCAGCTCGGTGCAAGTGTTCAAATAATGGAATTCTGGCGACATTTAGCCCGCACGATCCATGTTGCATTTTGGTCGTATCTTTGCTTGCATGCTGGTGGGGCCCAACCCAACAAAAAGAAATACACCCTGGCAAGGTTATCAAATAGACAATTGATCGAGGGGCTACCTGACGGTATTACAGGCAGCTTTTTAAACAAAGGGTCAGGCCACTCCTCTCTCTATCTTTGGCTCCCTGTCATTTCCCCCCCTCACCTTTCTTCATTTGTTCAACACTTTCCAAGAGGAGTGCTCAATGGCCTGATGTTGAAGAAATAGAATGAGAAAGGAAGAAGAAGAACAAGAAAAAAAAAGATGACTCGGTGAACCAGAGTGTTTATTTTGAAGTTCTCCGCCTTTGCCCGTTCCGTCCGCCCCACATCCAACATGCTAAACCATAACCCTTTCTTATTTTTTGTTGCCCGTGGGCACACTTCGAAAAAAACAGGCAAAAGAAGACTAACGCACTATCCATCTCTTCTTCACTGCATACACTGCTGCTGGTGTCAATGGCCTTTCTGAAGAGGGCGAATGGCCATCTTGCTCCGCCTCAGCTTTAATTACGCCTGCAAGGTGCCAATACTCTACCAAGTGTAGGAGGCGATAGAAAGTAAGGGTCCCATAGTTTGGCTATCGCCACGTAAGATAGATCTCATATCTGATCTTATGGTGCATCTATATTTTTTCCTTCACACTATCTATCTCTTTTGTACCCGTGTGTCTGCTTGTGTTTGTGTTTCTATGGACCATGGCATCATTGCACACGATGTCATGCTCCTTGCCCCTTGCCCTTTTCTTCGGCAACTTGTACGTCAATGTAAATTGAAATTCGTATTAGGTCCCCCATGAAAAAAGCGAAATATGAAACTAGGGGTTCTATGACAACAAGCAGAACTCCTCTTCTCATTATTGCAGGGTGGTCCACACGGACTTTCCTCGTTTCCAAAACAATGTCCATATGCCAACGTCCATATGCCAACGCCCACATGCATAAAATTTTCCCGTCGCAAGAGTACCGTACCGCCTGTGTGCATGAGCTTCGGGGAAAGGCTCCGGGGAAGAGACTTCTCGGCTCTTTGTGCGTGAAAAGACCCCCTTTATTTCGTTATCGGACCATTACTGCCAGTCCCGCGTCGTCTTTGTTCATTCCTCCTTCTCTCCCTCTACCCTTCCTCTTCAAATGGTTAAAAAAATCCCTTCTTTTATCGGCACATTACAGGTACTGCTTCCCCACTTGCCCTCTCTCTCTCTTAACACCGAAGGGATATTGAGGAGATATATGCAACTTTGACTAAGCTTTTTTCTCCTTCAGGGCTGTGCCTGGAGAGAAAGTGTGGTCAGCGGTTCTCTTTTTTGTTTGTCCGTGTAGTTGTCGACTGAATAGGCCTACAACACATTAAAACATGGACGAAGTAAAAGGACCCGAACTCGCTTCGACAGAACGACGGGAAGGGTGCTTTTATTTCATTTTCTGCAATTTGCGCAATTGTTTGTAACAGAACATAAAACAAAACACACGGCGGTCGCAGAAAAGTCAGCCAGATGAAGATGTCCTGGTTGAGTAAGAGCAGAAGTACGATAAGACGACGAAAGAGTCAGCCAACTACAGTGTGTAGCAGTACAACAGGAAGGTGTGAGTGACACCATTAAGGTATACTGCTAGTGGGAGCAGACTAGGACACTCTATAACTTCAATCAACCTTGAAAGAGAAGCTATGATTGTAGTTGCCTGTCTGGATACCCTCCTGTAGCGGCTCTTGTAATTGGTGCTCTCACTTGGGAAGGTGTTGTTAATGTATTATTTCTTTTTCTTGGTACCTTAGCGGACAGAGAGACTCATCCCATCATCCTTAGCACATTGGCTACATTGCCCACATTACCCGATGTATGTGAGCACCAGACAATTCGGGCCCTATTCAAGTTGTAGATTGTCAAACTACTTTGACAGGACGAACAACAATGACAACGACGAAGTCAGGGAAAGCGAAAGTGAGTGAGCCCTCTTTCTGGTAGTCTTCTTTGCTGGATAAGGACGTCAATGACGACTGTTGTCTGTCTGTTTATTTGTATGCGAATGGCCGTTTTCCTCTCTTGTTTGAATACAGTGTTTACCTTCCTCTTTATTATTCAATGCGAAGAGAGATGACATACAATAGGGAGAGGGAAAAAATAATTTCTGATCTTCGATCATGGACCGTTCCAGAGGAGGACAAGGGACAGGCACAATCACTGATCACTGATCCGTTGGAATAGAAAGAAAAATAAGTTCTAATTCGTAAGCGAGCGGTGGTCCATTGGACCGCTGTGAACAATGGCACAGACGAACAGGAAAAATACGACGCAGATGGGTAAATGCTCTCTTGGACAAATGGCAGCATCCGAAGGAACAAGGGAGAACCTTTGCTCTCATTTCACTCCCTTTGGAGTTCTTGGTTCTCGTCGCAAAGAGATACCCTTCTCTCTTTCCATCATTGTCCTGTTCGACGACTTTCGCTCATCGTCGTCTGCATTCGTAGATCTTGTCGTTTTTTTTGTAGCATTGAACATGAACGAAGCACTTGGCTGCTGGTTGCTTACTACACTACATCTCTTTCAGCTCGGAGTTTATTATCCTTGTTCGCGCCGGTGTTGCGCGAGTTTTCCACTGTTTTGTATTTTTTCCTCCAAAGGCCACACGCTGTTTCACACCTTGTTCAGTCGGCGCCCCTATTCCTCGACAAAGACAGACGAAAAAACTACCATTGGACAATGGTGGTTTCGCCTGCCTCCTTGCAGTATTTATTTTTCACGCTTTGTCGTTTATTTTTTGTCCGGCAAAATATATTGGCAAGAAAAGGCAAACGGAAACAAGAAGAAAAAGGTGGGCTGGAGGATGATAATTTGTTACGCGGGGGGAACGACAAAAACGGACTAGCTTCCAGACCCTTCCTCGCTGTTTGTTATACACCCGACACACTTCTTTCTCCGAGGCAATAACAGTGAACAATGGATGATGGTGAAAACTGAATTGAATTCAGGTACGGAAGGTGGTGGGCAGAGATGCCCGATAGAAGAAAAAGAAGAAAAATAGTGGTGACATGTACTCCGCGTGGTGTGAGTAGATTGATTGTCAAAGAGAAGAAGAGGAGAAAAGAGGTGTGAGCATGAGCATGGTGTATCCTCGGTAAACGTCTTGTTTCCCTTGGAGTTGGACGAATCGGGCCGTGCCAAAGCATACTACAGAGGCGGAAAAAAGGACAAACAAATCAACAGCATCACATACAGCAAGATACATAGGGTTTCATGACTATTCCTTTCCTAGTGGCCTAATAATAATAAGACGAAGGAAGGTGCAATAAGAAAAAAGAAAAAAGAGAAAAGAAAAAGATAAATTGGCGGGGGGAGAAGACTGCATGAAGCAGCACCAATCCCAGCAGTGGATTTCTCAGAAAGAGCGATCGATGAGCCAAGCGTATGTTGTATATGTCGTCCCCGCTGTTGAAATGGGCTAATAAGTGGTCCACACACTAATCCAAAGCGCCCTTTTTTAAGCAGATTGCATTACAAAGTGAGCGAGCCAGAGCACTGAATAGCCATATAAATACTTCTTGACTCTCCTCTTCTCTCGCACACTTCATTTCGCTTTTCTCTTTTCCTCTTTGTCAACTTTTCTTATACCTTCTGCAACGAACACTCTCTTACTGTCTCACACCTTTATCCTCACGAACTTCTCTCAGTCTCACACTCCCACTACTCCAACTCTCTCTCTCTCTCACACACACACTACAACAACAACTATGGCAAGAACAAACCCCCCACCTGCATTGTCGATAAAGACTCTCTTCACTCCTTCCACCTTTGTCTGCCTCCTGGCCCTCTCAACCTGCACACCCACCAGCGCCCTCCCCATCTCCACACCCCACTCCTCTTCTACAACCGCATCCTCAATACCCTCCAACTCCAAGGACACCACTTTCACCAACAACAATGCCATCGGCGCTCGCTCAATAGAACCCATCGCTGCCGACTCTTCTTCAACTCCCTTCCGTACTGTCTCTCGCCCAATCTCCATCCACGTCGATCTCACAGCAGCTGGTAGCAGTGGGCTATCAACTCCCTACGAACGCCTGATCCGTCACACCGAACAACAGGAGCAACTCTTCCGCGACCGAGAGTCAGAGGCTTTGGCCCGTCTTGCTCAAGAGCAGGACGAGCTTGAGAAGGCCGAGCAAGACCGCGACCAGCTGCTGGACAATGAGGAAGAGGAGCAGCTCGCTCAAGATCCTGAAACTGTCAGGAGACGCCAGGAAGAGTCCCTGGGTCTCTGGATGACTGAGGCCGATTTAGATGCCGCCTCTATTTCATCTTCCAACAAGGTCGTCGTTGCAGAAGCTCCTTTCGTCGTTGCAGCCTCCTCGATCCAGGAGGAGGTAGTAGAGCCAAAGGAGGTCATCGCCGTCGCAGAATCGGAGGAAGGGGTGAACAAGGTCTCCGCCTTTGACCTGTACGCTGATGATTTCGAGGAGGTTGTGGCCTCGTCCGCTACAGTTGTCAAGGTCGGAAGGAAGCAGCATCTCCGTCGTCTTGACCCCGAGTACTCTGAGGAGGAGATGCTCCAGTGGCCCATCGTCAACCCGGCCCAGTTCGAGGACCGCCAGGACGAGGTCCAAGATGAGTACGAGGATGACCAAGTCTAAACGACTCTCGTCTCTTCGTAGCTCCAACCATTCCTTCATGCTTTGTGTTTCCTTTGTTTTTTCTTTTTTGCATTTGCTATTATTACCCCGACCTTGACTTTCCCCTGTATATCAGCTTTAACGACCCTTTACTCTGCCAACAACACCACCTATTCTTCTTCTCCCGTCTGTCCAAGGCACTCTGCTCACAGATGCTTTGACATGTGGAGAAGTACAACAAACACCACCATCCTGTACATACATACAACAACAACAGCAACAACAACACCTCTTCTTCTATTCGTGCAACCATTTTATTTGTTTAACTTTCTAGACGTCTCATAATGGAGCGTGGAGGAAGGTTCTCTTTCCTCCACCCACTTCCATTGTTTGTTACTCCAAAATAAAAAATACTTGAAAGCAGATACAGATACAGCATTGCACTTGCGCGAGATGAGAGACAATCATGCTTATGAGTGTGTAAGATTCACAAGTAACAACGGACCACAGATAAGTTCATAAAAAAAAAAAAGTAGCAAAAAGAAGCAAGCAAGCAACGACACAGGTTTCGTGCATGGACGAAATCGGGCCTCCTTCCTTCTCCTTTACCTTTTCTCTCATTCCTCCCTCCCTTTCACACAAACAAAAAAGCAAAAGGGTGAATGAGAGCAAGCAAGGAGGAGGAGGGGGTTCATGTTCGAGATGAAAAACATACAAGAACACAGGAAGAAAAGAAAGGCATGGAGAGATAGAGGAGGCAGGAAAAGCTCTCAAGGCCCAGGGTCTTTTGCAAAAGCACTAAAATGGTAAACAACACACACACTCTCTCTTGAGTTTTGACGCTAGATGCCTTCGCAATGTTCCGTTAATGTTAACCTTCAAGGGTGTAGCCTTTGAACTAATGAACAAGTGTGATAGGGCTGAAGCTCTGAGGGACGATGGCGAATTTTCGTCTGTCTGCTTATCCTCTAGCCTTCGTCCTCTTTGCTTATTCGTTGGCCGATGAAAACATTTATCCGTGGGTCCCTTGTGCAGGTTGTCTTGGTGGATGTGTACGTGCTTCGTCAGCCGGCCAGCCATCAGCATAACCAGTACGAAACGAAGGAAGCGAAGAAATATAAGAGAGAAGGAATACATGGAACAAAGCAACAGACGGGGCTGTGTATCTCAACAAATACTTACCTTTTTTTTTTTTTTTGAGTGTGAGGACTGGGTGGGTGCAGAGAGCGACTCGTTAACAGGGTTCACCTCACATATCTTTTGCTGCACCTTGAAAAAAAACCCCCACCATCAAACGTTTTGAAATGAGGAGGGGTCCTTGACGGATACTGCATAGATGAAAAGTCAGGGTTTACGGGAATTAGATCATGGACGTGAGCTTTTCACTACGTTTCGTTTCTGGTCTGGAAACAAGGCTTTACAGAGGATAATCTAGACCTCTTTACTTTGTTAGCTGGGGGACGTCATGTTTCTTTTTCACACACACACACACACGCACACCTCTCTTTTCCTAGACACAACGTCCCCCCACAGCCAATTTACACAAATCGATATTTCATTTCCACATACACCATCTCACAGAACACACAAAGGCACAAGACACAAGACACGCACTAGAGCCGCATCGGCTGATCCATATCGAGGACTATCATCAAGGATCGATCAATTTGCATGAGAGGGATAGGGAAGAATAAGAAGAGGAAAGGTGGAAAAAACAAAGGGGGGGACAAGCAGGAGAGACATCACATACAGATCTTTAGATCCTTCAATGGACTCTGGGAAATTAGTGTGTCTCTGTCGCGGTCAGTCTGGGCGCAGATGTACATGGAACAAGGTCTTGGGTGAGTGTGTGAGTAAGGTATGGATGTGGACTTGTGTACGAGACATCGTTCCTGAACGGACGAATGCCACAAAGTCAAAGACAGCGTCGCTCTCTCTCATTCAAGACGCGTTCAACCCGTCGTTTTCTCACACCAACGTCCACCTCCATAGAGCACAATTTGACAAGAGCATCGATAGTTTTATTAATAAGCAAAAGAAGAAAGAAGAAAAAAAAAAGCCATTGTATTGTGTCTAGTCCTTGCTGCTCCAAACAAAGAGGGCCTTGTCCCGAAGAACCTTGCGTCCCAGAAGCTCCCACTCCAATGGCTTGATCCACAGCTCCCTGGCAGAATCCAGCTTGCCAAGGACTGAACCGCCCTTCCACACCAACAATCGAGGATCCATCTCGCGCGGTGCAGGCAACACCTCCACCTTCTCCACCGTCGTCAATGTCGCTGGCAGTGCTTGGAACAATCTATGTCATCAGTAAGCACAAAATAATGAAAAGGTTGTCAGAACGAGGAATGAAAATGCACCAAACAGTATATCCAGTTAGCAAGCGCATCCGTTCTTACCGATCCTCCAAGACGCGGTCAAATCCTTGGATCATACCGCCTCCACCGACAAGGATGATACTTCCATACAACTTCTTGGACCGCTCCTCGCTACCACAGTTCGAGATACACTGGGCAACAACAACATCCAGCGCCACGAGGCTCGAAAAGTGGTCCTTGCCAATCACTCCAGCCGTCTCCCATGCCTTGTCTGTCGTCCTGACAGAGGGTTCCATGGCAAAGGGGATTATTGGTGGTTCTACTGGCACAGCAACAGCCGGCGCCACTGCAGCGGGGACAGGTGTAGCGACTCCTGGCACTGGTGTTGACACAGTCGCAAGTGCTGAGGGTGCTGGGGTCTGTGCTGGGGTCGCATTAGGTGTCGCTGCCTGGCTGGTTTGAGCATTCTCTTCTCCTGGTGCTGTAAGTGAAGGCGTTCCCGCCCTTGCTGCTGCAGCAGCTGCAGCCGCAGCCGCAGCCGTGCTCTTCTTTGAAGTCTGATTCATAAGCGCAATCTACAATATGAAGAGGGAAGGAGAATGTTAAAATGACACGTTACAGAGTGTGTAGCACTTAGGTTCTCTACCTCACGACCAAGAGACTTACTGGTGGCGCATCTTCATCGTTGATATCTTCGTGGTTGATGAGCTTCGTGAATGCGGGCTTTGTCTCACGCTCCTCGATCCACCTCCGAATGACTCCTGGGAAGAACAAGCACTATAGTTCGGATAATAGGACACAGCAGACACGTTAGAATTGCATGTTCATTAGTTGTGGAATCACAAAGAGGCAGACAAAACAAGATGCTTGTGGGTGTTACCATGGGAGAGAGGGCGACTTCGTCGTAGACCTTGACCTGATACTTTTCCGTCTGCTTCTCCGGTCGCCTCACAAAGAAGCTATAGACCTGAACCGTCAGATCAGCCTCGTTCATCGTACACCACTTCTCCTTCAGCTCTTCCATAAGTCTCCAGTCATATGTCTGTGACAGATCCAGTTCCTGGTATGGGAACCCAGTTCGGTTGACGAGGGCCGCAAAACACCGCGTAATGTCATCGCCACCATATTTCAAGACAGCTCTAGAGTTGGGGATGCAGATTCCGTCCTCAACGCAGGCAACCTTAGTTATCTCTGCTCCAATATCGACCACACATGCTGCAGACACTCCAGCTCCAAAGGACGCACAGACAGACTCTTGTTGGACCATGACTCCTCGGAACTGCATCGACTTTAGCAGCATCCCGATCAGCTCGGTCACGTAGACCTTGCTGTAATGATCCGGAATAACAAGCAATGCATAGTGTTTCTAATGTAGCAGAGGTAAAGAACTGCAACGTTAGTTTCTTTCGTCCAGTATATGCTCGACGGACTATTTGAAAGAACACAGCTCATCCAAGTGTAGCTTACCCTGAACTGCTTGGACTCAATCCCGAGATCCTCATGGATGACTTTAGTCCAGATAGTCTCCATATCCGAGACTACCACCCTCGGGGTCGCATAGTCAGTCTCGTTCAACTTTCCCCCAACAATAGGCCAAAAAAGCTTAAAGTTGTGGTGCTTTCCTTGCGGCAGATTCAATGCCTACAACAAAAGAGAGAGAATGTCCCTGCTGTTAACATCGATACTCACCACAACTCCATCGCAAAGGGGGGGGGGGGGGGGGGTGTAAGCGTATAAACAAAAAGGTACCTTTTGGCCGATGATGTACTCGCCCTCGGCTGCTGGGTCAGTCCACTCGACCTTGTAGGGATCGTTATGGTCAAGAATGCGCTCGGGCCGTGTGGATGTATTAAAAGATCGAACCTGCGTCTTTGCATTGTTGACGGGCTTGCGCTTAGCGGCCTTCATCCTCATCTTCAAATCGTACTCGATTTCCTGAAGGAACCTGTCATTTACCACCTAGGAAGCGTATAGAAGAACAACATTGGTGGCGTTAATAACAAGCTTGCCAAACTGTCAGAGTATATTGAACAAAAGCCATTCAATGTGACTCGACTTACATCGGGCACAGGGGTGTGAAGGGAATCTTCGTCGTCGTCGTCTTCATCTACATCCATGGCCTCATCCTTGTCCTGGTCATCTTCGGCAGCCTCTTCTCTTGTGGCAACCGATGCTACACCTTCTTGAGACTCTGCAGCTGCTCCTGATCCAGAAACTGCCTTGGCCGATCCATTTGTGATGACTGCCGAAGGTGGAGGGACGCGAATCCTGCGAGCAATACAATGTGGTGTGATAATAGGGTAGGCATCCGAGGCACGACCGATCCTGAGATATCTTGATCCTGGATGAATGACAATAACCTTCTTGCCCATATCAGCCGACTATATATCGCGCGAAACAGAAGGAACAGAGGAAATAGGTTGAGTCTCTGAACAAACGAGTTCAACTGCAAAAAACGTTCCTGCAATCCAAGTCAGTCAGAGGATGCCACAAACTTACAGATCTGGTCTCTCCGTTCTCGTCCATCTCGTTCATGACACTCTCCTCTGAGTCGCTGTCGCTGCTAAACTCATCCTCGTCGTCATCATCATCATCCTTGTTGGCATCCTTGGACTCATTCTCTTCGTTGTCCTGATCTTCCTTGTCATCGTCCTCATTATCATCCTCGTCCGCGAATATTCCTTTCCGAATCGTCGAGAACTCATCACCGCGCTTCCTCTTCAGAACCCCCGACTCTTCACCTCCTGGAGTCGACGATTCCCCGTCGGCTCCATTCTCCTGTGCCTCGCCCTCCAAGTTTGCCTCGCCTGACTCGTCGCTTGCCTGATCTGCCTTACGTTTCCGACGTCTCTGTTTCCCGGCAGCCAGCTCCTTGAGAACGTAGTTCTTGTCGGACTTTTGGAACGTATTGGTGATGTTACGGACGGGGATGGGCGTCATGGGTGCAAAGGTTGTGAATTTGAACTGGGGCACGTAGGCCGGTTTAGGCGGTGGTCCCAGCGGTACCTCTGACTCTGCAGTCTCTGGTTGTTCTCCTGTGGTAGCTGGACCTGCTGCCTCTCCTTCAGCTGCTGTATTAGTTGATGCCGATGTTGAAGGGGATGCATCGGCGGCGGGTACTGTCTCGGATGCAGCTTCTCCATTGCCCTCCACCTTGGCCGTATCGGTAGTGGTCGTAGGTGTTGTTAAAGCCGATGCTGTGCTTGTCTCCGATGCCTCTCCTTGCTCTGCAGTCGACTTTGTCTCGGGTGCGCCTGCGACTGCTCCGTCTGTGGATGTTATGGAGGTCTCTTCGGCAGGCTGAGAATCCATAGGGTGGTCCTGCACTCCTGTATCGACGAGGGTAGATGGTGCGATAACAGGGGGGATAGTATCGACATCCATAGACGAGTCCTCGTCCTTTTGATCCTCCTGTACTGCAGTAGTGATATTAGCAACAGCGACACCCGCCTCGCTCTTGTCAGCTATACCGGTGTGGGCGCTCACTGTTGACGAATCTGGTGCGGGAGCTGACTCTAAGGTAATAGTGACTGCAGTCTCTGTGTCCTTGCTACTGTTCAGACTCTGATCGACATCGACATCGGCATTCGCTGTCTCTGCATTGTTGGTTGTGTTGGAGGATGCCATCGCGTCGACAGCAGGCACGGTGTCTGGATGGGAACCCTGTTGTGCAGTTGTCTGTGCAGATGAAAGGTGTTGTTCTTGTTCAGATGAGGCACCTTGTGGCTGCGAGTGTTGTTCGTTGACTGGTGGGCCAGCGTCCCCCATGTTGACGTCCTCCATGGCTCGATGCTGGTTTGTTCAATAGGTGTATTACGTTGTTTGTTGGAGTCGTGAGCAAATAATCATTCACACCCTTTGTACCCAAGTTTCTGGAAGATAGCACCAGTGACTGCTTCCCTTCAAGGGGATATGGTGGCTTGCTACACAGGCACAAATGGTTCAAGGCTGCAAGTAAGGAAGCATACAGGTATCCATCTTGAAGGAAGTTATGTTTAATGATGATAGATGATTTATTCGCGTATGAAAAGAATGGAATGTACAGGTGCGAGTAATTGAAAAGGTGTGCGGGAGGAGGATTAAGAAAAGGGAACCGTTCTATATCTAAAATGATGAATGGGAGTATCGATCCAGCTAGTCAGCAATGGCTTTACAGCTTGACGGCAGCCTCGAGGGCAGCCAAGACATCGTCAACCAAATCCTCAGTGTCCTCAATACCGACAGAAAGACGAATCAAGTTCTCGGTGATTCCAAGAGTGGCACGGTCCTCAGCAGAGACGGATCCGTGGGTCATGGTGGCGGGCAACTCGCAGAGGGACTCGACACCTCCGAGGGACTCGGCCAAAGTGAAGAACTTGACGTTGCGCAAGAAGGCGTTGGCAGTGGCAAGGTCGCCCTTGATCCTGAACGAGATCATGCCTCCGTAACCCTTCTGCTGGCGCTTGGCAAGATCGTGCTGGGGGTGCGAGGGCAAACCGGGGTAGATGACGTTCTCGACACGGGGGGAAGCCTCAAGAGCCTCGGCAATGGCCTGGGCAGAGGCGGCATGCTGGCGCATGCGCAAGTGGAGGGTCTTCAAACCACGGTTGGCGAGGAAGCAGTCGAAAGCCGAGGGGACAGCTCCGATCGAGTTCTGCAAGAAAGCCAACTTGGTGAAGATCTCGTCGTCCGAGGTAACAGCAACACCCATCACAACACTATTGGTAATAGTAGCAAAGCGAAAGAATGTTAGTATTACTCACAATTGTGCGCAGACACGACGCACTCCTTCCGATCGCATGCATAATAAAAAAAACTTACTCAGAGTGTCCGTTGATGTACTTGGTGACAGAGTGAACAACAATGTCAGCGCCCAAGGAGAGAGGGTTCTGGAAGTAGGGAGACATGAAGGTGTTGTCGACAACCAACTTGGTGTTGTTCTTGTGGGCAATCTCGGCAACGGCCTTGATGTCGACCAAACGGAGGGTGGGGTTGGTGGGGGTCTCGACCCAGATGAGCTTGGTGTTGGGGCGGATGACCGAGGCAACGTTGGCGGCATCAGCGAGATCGACAAAGGTGACCTCGACACCGAGGGCCGAAGCAACCTTAGTGAAGTAGCGGTAAGTGCCTCCGTAGACGTCGTTGACAGAGACGATGTGCGATCCGGCGGGGAGGGACGAAACGATGGTGGCAGTGGTGGCCGATCCGGACGAGAAGGCCAAACCGTACTTGGCGCCCTCCAAAGAAGCAACGGCCGTCTCAAAGGCAAGGCGGGAAGGGTTTCCAGAGCGGGAGTAGTCAAATCCCTATGGTTGAAGTTTTTTTTTAGTTTTTTTGTGGTTAGCATAAGGTGTGTCCAGACCAAATGTTCAATTGAAAGGGGAAAGGCAAGTGACAGTAAGGTTGTTCTCCCACGCACTTGCTGTACCACCCCAACATCCCATCCCTGCAAAAAGAAAATGAAAAGCAAAAGATAAACAGACAACAGCTTCGCAATAGTACATCCGTGATCCCTCTTGCAATCCCCATGGCTCATGGTCTAGTGTCAAGTGAGTTCTTTAGGGTTCTCTTCGGGTCTCTTTCTCTCTGTTTTTCTCACGTTGTCCAGACAAGGCGGGGGTCCTCCTCTTATTAAGTTGAGTCTGGACTGTAATTCCTGAACTAAGTTGTTGCTGTAGAAGTGGAGTGAACACAAACAAGAGAACATGTTCTGTGCTGCGATGGCGAGAAGTGGCGTCACTTTTGGGTCCCCTCCCTCTGTTCCCGTTACCACTCTCTGCCTTTGAAAAAGTAAAAGGGCTGCCTTGTTCAAAGGACTCGCGTTGTTTGCTGGAGTCGGGGGTTGAAAGCCAAAGGCAAAGCACACAATCCTTATTCTAAAATATATAAAATATCCCACTCAATCGAAATGAAAAGGAGACAGACCCAACCAAAACCGCGACACACAATTTGAACGAAGAAAAATTCTCCTGGGGACTCGCTCTGGGGACTCTGATCTGCTAAGGATGATGATGGTGCCAATGACGAGTACTCCTCTTCCTCTTGTCCATAAACCATTAAACCCAAATTGCATGATAAAATGAAATTCTGACTGCGCTGAAAGGGATGCCGTTTATCCTCCTTGATCCAATGCCCCTGGCAATTGCGCCATCCCACATGGAAGTGCGGCCATTGTCCTCATTCTTCGAGGAAATGGGGTCATTTGCATAGCAAAGGTGGAAAGGGATGTGCAGGAAGAAAAAAAAGGGGGGGGGGGGGGGGTATTCAATGATGAAAGTGGGGGCAGCAAGGGTAATGGTGAAGGATCGAGTATAGAATATCGTCCGCATTCCTTCTTTGTTTCTTTGTCTTTCCTGTCTTTCTTGTCTCTCCCGTTACTCAGAGTATGCAGTGCCCAAGAGAAAAAACAATAGAGAGACGAGCCTCTCATGTTTGTACGATCCAAAGAATACCCACTCCACCCGCCAATGTAAATACAAACACACAAACAAACAAACAAACAAACAACAAAAGAAAAATAAAAGCCTTCTCTTTCTCCTTTGTAACAGATTGACAAATACAAAATGAAGAGGACATGAAGGAACATACGTTGTGCTCGCCGGCGCTATGCTGCTTGAAGGTGGTCGAGAGTGAGAGAGGGGGGATGACGGCACCTATGGACAAGAAGATCCACCAACAGAGATTGATTTCATAGGTTAGTCGCTATGAGGGCATGTCTGTGGGGTGGGATTGCAATATGCCACGAGGGTGGATGATCCAGATCGGCATTGTGCCCCTTGCATGCACCCTCTATTCCCTTCTTTTTTACATTTCCGGAGTATTTGATGCGCATTGCCAGCATAGCAGCAACAGTGACAGCAGTAAATAATCGTGAACAAGAGAATGAAGGAGATCCATGATCCGGAGTAAAGAAAGAGACATACCGGTGACGGGGTCGGGGTGCTGGCCGGCGTGGATGGCACGGGTGCCGAACTTTGCCTGGAGGATGTGCTCGGTGTGGTCGTCGTGGAAGTACTTTGCGGAGGCCATTGTTGATGATATGTTGTTGTTGAGTTGGTTTAGTGGGTGGGTGTTTGGGTATGTGGAGAAGTGAAGAACAAGAAGAAGAAAGAAAAGAAAAGAAAAGTCTTTGCCCTTTTATTAGCCTGTGAACAAGGACAGACACCCCTTGCTCGAGCTGAATAATCGGCCACTCGTTGCTCAGAACATGCGAAATATTATTATTTTTTTCCTTTCACACGGCCCTATTTTGGACGAAGGCGTGCGCACTTACTAATTCATGGAGCCAAAAAACGTCATTTTCCTACCTCCGCTTCTTCTACTCTTGCTACTTCGTTATTGTTAAAGGGAGGATGACACTGGGTCACTGCGATCCCCGCACACCCTCAACTCCTACTACTCTTCCCTATACATCCTGAACAAAAGGACCACTAGCTCTCATAGTAGTCTCGCTTCTATCAATTGCAAGCTGCAACACACTCCCTCAAATTTTATTTAGCAGGGCGAGAGAAGGGAGATACTTTGCTGCGGGTACCTGGATAGTACCATTTCATGCTCCAGACACGCCATCACCTTCTTCTATACTTCCCACTACCACCTTTTATTCATTGACCTCTCTCTTTCTCTCCTCCCTTTCTACTTCTCAGAGAAAGGGCCGGGCCCCCTTTGTGTCCACTTCTTTGGTCTTCTTTCGCCTCTACTTGGTTATTCTCTTTCTCACCCCTGTAAATAGGCTTACTACGACTACACTAACTGTGTGCCTGAAATCCTTCATCGAGTCAAAGCACACAGACTGAAGGACACATCTACGAGTATTCAGCAATCAACTGGGGTTGGTCGAATATCTCTTTCCCACGCCTAGGTAAGTGGTTGCTTGAAGAATAACCTCCCCGCCTCTCAGTCTAAGAAGGGGCCTATGTTGGATGTCCGTGACAACCAAGAACTTTTCCCTGCGCCCAAAACATATCTTGACTTTTGGTGGCAAACACAAAAACTCAAAAAAAGTCGACATCACCGAAGTGTCCAACCATCGCACTCCTTCCACGTCCCACAGCCCGTACATCAACCCAACCTCCACGCCGCAAAATGAAGCAGGTCTTATCTTTCTTGCGCACAAACTCTGAGTTTAATTGAATGCATCGAACATACAGAAGCATTCCTTGTTGTCAATTCAACCTTCTGTGTAGCCAACAACCACGGATAGCATTGAGCAGAGGGGGGGGGGGTTTTTGGATGTTGTATTTTTTTATTTTTTAAGAATGCATTAGACCCTGCCTACACTTCGTATCAAACGAAAGCAAAAGGAAGGGAAAAGATTAGTCGAGAACGGATGAAGAGGAGAAGTGGAGGAGAGGAGAGAAGACGGTGATAAGGGGGCAATTAGGGTGGCTAAAATGTCTGGCGAGAAAACTAGACAACCTAGCCAAACTACAATAAGCCATCTTAGAAGGCAGCAGCAGTGGCCAGCACGACAGCAGCAAAGGCAGTCATGCCAACCATGACCACAGACAAAGACCCATCCGCCATCTTGTAGGCTCCAGAAGTACCCGATCCTCCAGAAGCGCTGCCGCCAGAAATATCATCACCAGCACCAGCGGTGGCTGTGGGCAGGGCAGCAGCCAGGGCAGAGGCCGAGGCGACGGCGGTGGATAATTCTGCAGGGGGGGTCTGTTTATCTGCGGCGGTGTAGTTGGCGGTGCCTTTGCAGATGGTGTCCAGTCCTGCGGCGGTGACCGAAGGTTCCTGAGTGACGCCGGTCAAGACACAACTTTCGGCTGCCTGCGCGACTGGGAAGAATCCTATTTGGTTGAAGGTGGATTGTGGGGTTGTTTGTGTTAGTTGTTGTGCCTGTGAGCTTCGTAATTGGATACTTGAACAAGAGAAGAGGAGTTGAAGGATGAGGGGATAGTTGGAGTAGGATAGGGATGAAGAGTGCGAGTCGTGCCGTTGTTGGCATGTGAGGAAATGGAGCTGGGTGAAGACAAATTGTAAGTTTGTAAGCTTGCGAACAGGCCTCTGCTTGCTCGGTAATTAGGAGGCGCATGGCGTCCAGAAATTCCAGGAAAAGGAACAAGAAGCGCCTTTTGTACATGTCCACACCACCCGAGGGGCAACTGTGGTTCAAAAGAGCACCACACTGCAACAGCCTAAAGGTCTTGTCGACAGTCAATGCACCTCCTCCTCTTCCTCTTCCTCATTCTCCATGCAACAAAAAAAAACAGATGCATGTGGTACATTCCTCCACCTGGTACATTCCTCCACCCTTCATCATCCACATCACACCTTCGTTCCTTCCTTCCCAATCACACTCCTATCCCCTCGTCCAACCCAAAAAGAAAAAAAATCTATGAATAATCTATATTACCTGGCTTGCAGACACAAAGGAGCCACCGCGGATCAGCATCAGAGTTGGGAATAAGGGAGCCGTCCTTGGTACACGGGTTGGTGAAGGTCTTGTAGAGCGCGTGGATGGGTGCGCACTGGGGCTTACTCGCCTGAGCGTCCACTGTTTGAGAGGCCATCATGGCCACTGCTGCCACTGCTGCGAACAAGATGATTGACAACGAACGAGTCATTATTGGAGTGTTGGTATTGGTGATAGGGGAAGGGCGAGAGGAGGAGGAGAGGGAAGTTGGCTAGAGAGTGTGCGTGTGCGGTTGCGTAGGAGGAGGAGTTGGAGTTGGAGAGGGTCAAGGAATTGACAGGCAGGGGTTGTTGAATAAAGAGGATTGTTGGCGTTAGCGAAGGAGAGGAGGAGAGGAGGAGGGACTAGAGAGGCGGCAGAGGTGGAGGTGTGGATAGAGGTTGGTGGGGTTGGGCGGGTAAAGTGTGGTAGGGGTAGGGCAGTGCAAAGAGAAAAGGAAGAAAGAAAAGAAAAAGGAATAAAAGACGAGAGCAGGAAAGTGTAAAAAGTGGGATGTAAAGCTCCGGGTCTTCTTGTCTGTGAGCGCCACTCCTCTCTCTCAGTCGGTTGGTCGTTACTCTGTCGGTTGCTGCTTGTTGTTCGGGCTGAGAGAGCTGAATATCTTGAGAGCACTTTCATCTCACCCAGTCTTTTGACCATAAACAACAACGAAGGCCCGCCCAGACACAACACAGTTCATATCTTGAAGGCGATGAACCAAAAGACACTCAAAACAAAAAAGTACCCATAGCACTTTCATGACCTCAACTCGAACATATCTTTCTAGTCCTCTAGCTCAAAGAGTAATAATAAGAAATGAAGGCGGTCCTCTTACAAACGACAACCAACAAACAAAACAATTAGAGCTCACTGTCTATTTCGTAACCAGCGTTCACCTGGAGGTGCGTGCCTCTCGTTGCTCGAAGAAATGTTAACCCAGATTGTGCGTACCATTTCTCCCGGGTCTAAATACGACGTCTCCCTTCCAGATTGCAACCCACCGGGAAAAAGGTTAATAAAGAGATAGTTCCTGAATTTCGTTGAGTAGAGACAAAGGCCAACGGTGATGAAAATAAAACGTATGATGAAGCAGACAATTCAGGCACAGCCTTTCCATTGGATATGATCCACCTCCATCTATCTCACGCCAAACCGCCGTCCATTTTAGATACTCTTTCTTTCTCGTTCCCTCTTTGCTGCTTTGTCCTTATTTTATCTTTGTCTGCATGCACACTCAGCGTATATTACATATACATCCCCACGCTTTACCCTCCTCCACCCATCCAAAGCAGGCAGCAAACTAGAACAAATGGATAAATAAACAAAGGGAGGAAAAATGATATGATTGACGCTAGCGCCGAGAGCACAATTTATTTTATTTTTTACTCGTTGTTCCATACAAGACAAATATCCGTGTGGATATTGTAGAAGATTAGGTGGAAAGTCTGTCAGCCAGTGAAGTACGACAGATTGGAGTTTAGCTCCGTCTTGGGCCTCCAAAGTAGGATCCAGATCCAGACGACGCGCCCAGTCCACTGCTCGCACTGTGACCATGGCCGCGAACACCACCTGTGCCAGCTCCTACAGGAACAGGAGCCCCTGCAAGAATAGCATTCTCGACTCTCTCAACACCTTGCTCACCCACGACTTCCTTAATCCATTCCTTGCGAGCTCCCAGCAGCAATTGCCTCCGTTCGCGGAAGCACTCGGGCGGAGTCAAGATGTTGTCGCAGTTCACATAGTCACTGCTGCCCATCAAAGGGAATGACGCCGACGTCGTCAACAACGACAAGGGCCGGCTTGGAGACTTGAGACTTGCAGGCGAGGCAAGAGAAGGCGTCACGGGTGACATAGCCGAGCCAAACGAGCTATAGCCGGAAATGCCAGCCATGCTCAGGCTCGAAGGGATGCCGGCGCCTGATGAAGGGACAGCAGGGATCGACACGGACGGTGCGGCTGGAGAGTCAGCATTTGCTAGAATCGCTGACAAAGACTGCTCAAAATTCCTTCCATCGTACTGGATCCAATCCCGAACCAGCTCCTCACTCTTCGTTGCTCCGACAATCGCCTTCACAATAGTCCGACGCTCCTCCAACTCTGCAGATTCCTCGGTCGACAACTCCTTGAGCTCTTCTTCTTCCTTCTTCACCACGGCACGGTATCCTCCTCGAGGAGGCAAAGGCATCTTGACATGGCCAAAGCCAGTGCGAGACAGATGATGGATCGCAATCCAGTACAGCGCCGGGTTGCGCTGCTTGATCACTCTTCCGTTGACAACCGCTTTCACGTAGTGCTTCAGCACCTCAGACGTCACATTGCCCTGGCCGTCTTGGATCAACGTCTTGAGCGTACCGGCGTCGAGTTTCTCCCAGGGTGTCGTCACGCTGGCCAAAAAGTTGAATGACTCCTGCCAGATCAAGAGCTGGTAGCTGGAAGAGATCGCCATCGCTGGGAACAACAGTCGAGCCGCCGTTGGTTGGAACTGAAGCAGCGTTCCGGTGGTGAACGAGTTCTCCATAAAGTTCTTCATGAACTGAGAGAAGGGCAACGGTGCCGTCAAGAGCGACAATGTCTTTTCAGACAGTGCCACTAGTCCCTGAGAGTCATCTCGAACAAGTGAACAGTCCCCACGAGTGCTAAAGTGATCCAGCAGCTTGTTGATGCTGCTCTCAACTTCCTGGTCCATGAACCCGTCCTCTTCCTCCTCATCATCATCGCCGCCGCCGCCTTGCCTCTCATACTCATACTCGTCCCTGTCTGGGCTCCTTGCTGGTTCCTTCTCGCCCTCCAATGCCAAGAGCTTGAGTGCAACCATGTAGATGAGTTCGAACGAGATGCCGTCGAGTGTCTGCAGGAGCGAGTACACAAAGTCGAGAGTGACATGCGCAACCGACGTGGCGGCAATCAATGTTCCCGACTCCTCCACATATGTCAGCTTGCTCTTGAAAAGCAACTCGATCGGATAGAACAACCAGTTGAACAATGGCTGACCAGTGATTGCTCCATAGTCCAGCACCAGACTCTTGATACCCCGGCCATCATGGTTCAGCAGGCTCTGCGACTGACTCAGGTCCGACTCGTTCTTGATGAAGCATTGAAGATAGAGTGGCTCCAAGACTCGCTTGACGACCGTGATCTGCTCCGCGTTCTGGTTGAGTAACTTGCCGAGGACTCGAGGGTTGAAGAGAATCTTGATCAGGACATCGTTACTCAAAGACTCGTCTCCTGGCAACACAATCTGCAACAGGGACAGGGCAGTCACCTGAAAGAGAGGGAAGAAAGTCAATTTGATGTGCGAGCTGTTGTCCGGATCCTGCTGGTACACGAGGACGTCCATCGCGGTCAACCAATGCGCCACAAAGTAGACGCCGTGACGGCAAAGGAACGCCATCCAGGGAGGCAGGACCATAGGGATTTGGTCCTGAATCGCGAGCTCGTACTTGGTCACCTTCTCCACCAACCCAAAGACCGACTCGTCCACAAGCGTTTGGATGGTCTCCTCAAGGATAAACGCCGGTGCCGATGTGAGGCGGGCCAAATAATACATCGTAGTCAGATGACTGGTCAGGTACTCGGCGCACAGCGAGACCTCAAATAGGGTCGAGGCTATCTGAGACAGTGCCGATGGGTTGTTCAACGTAATCCCGACATGAGGCAACGACGACTCTACCAGCTCAGGAATCTCCATCATAATCTGCGTCAGCCGACTGTGAACAGCCTTGAAGGCATCCGACTTTCCCCAGCTCGAGAACTGCACCGCCTTCCAGACACGCTCCAATACTTGCTCGCTCTCGGGTGGGTTGGTCGAAAGATAGCGAGCCCATGTGCTGATGTACCGAACAGTCGAAGAAATGAGAAGCGTGTAATCGACATCAAAGGTTTTCTCCACCTGGTCAGGCAGCGTCCAGCTCATGATGCCCTCCAGCGCCGGATCCAGGAATGCCGCCGCCTGTGCCCAACAGAGTGAATGCTCCGGGATCGTACGATGAACATCCGCCGCCGCATGAGTCCAGACGATTGCCAGCTGGAAGAACATGGACAACTTTCTGGACAAGAAGGATTTGACAACAGGATCCAAGCCGGGCTGAGATCTTGCGGAGATTGCGCGAGTGATATCCGTGAGCAACACCGACTGTAAACTATCGCCCAAGACGTTACAGTAGAGACCATAGGCTGCCAGGGATCGGAACAACTTGAGCACCTGGGTTTGGATCGCAAAACTCTGCTTGTTGTCGACCGTTGGTTCAGGTGTGAGTACTAGGAATCGAAGCAATGGTTCCACATGACCTTCCTCAATAATGGCTGAAGCGAGCTTTTTGGAAGAACGAATGACTGTGTCCAGAATCGCGATAGCCTTGGCGGTGCAGCCCAGTTCCAGGTCGCTCTTGTCCGAAGGCCACGAGATGGCTCCATAGTGCTTGATCAGGGCTGCGATCATTCCCTCGCACTCAAACACCTTCTTGGCGCCTCCTGGATGCACCCTGACGATCGTCAACAAAAGGTCCAAGACCTGTGAGTTTGTCGCGGGTGGGAGCTGGCAGACGTCCAGAATGTATCGGAAGCGTGGAAGAATGTTCATGGCGACCAGTCCATCAACAGGATCCTTGGACGCCAAAATGGCGTGGGCAGCAATCGTCTCCTCTGACTCTGTTCCCTGTTCCTGGCTCGCCTGCAAGGTGTCGGGTTTGAGCTCCATGTTGGCGAAACGGGTGATGGCCTGGTACTTGAACCCGAGACTGGTCCTCTCGTAGCCGCGATCCAGATGACTCAGTGACTCCCAAATACTCTCTGGCTGAGCGATATCGGTAGAAGGCATGATCCAGGAGTACATCGCATTGACTGCAGCCACCAATCCAGAGTCGGTCTTGTCGTCCAAAGCGGATCGAAGATATACGGGAGCGCGGAGCGAATCAATCAGCCAGCGGAGAATGCCAGCTCGGATATCGAAGGGGGCAAATTCAGGATTCCTGCAGTTCTGGAGCACCTTAGAAACAATGTTGAGCGGCAATATCCGTTGACTGGGCACGGTTGAGCGAATGAGATGCAAAAGTTCCGAGAGTGTGTATCCAGCCTTGGTAGGATCCACGCCGTGGTGGTGAAGTCCGAGATGAACAGGAGTGTCCTCGTCGTTAATGATCCGTCCTCCAAAATCAAATCGATAATGTGCTGCTGGCGGATCTGCCTCCTGTACTGTGTAAGGCTGTTGTCCGGGTGTCACCGATTTGCCCAGAGCTGGTCTGGGCCTATCACTGAGACTGTCGACGCCGTCAATGCCCATCCACTCCATCTTTTCGGGCTCAGCAGGAACATCCTTATAGAACGTTTTCTTCATGACCAAGGGGTGATCGCCTCCTTCTTCCTCGTGTCGCTTGGCCTGGAAGGACGAGCTCTCGCCGTGTGAGAGCCGAACGTCGTGAATGTTGACCACCTTGTCCTCGACTTTGACACCCTCTGAAAAGCTTACTCGTCTTTGAGGTGTCCCACGCTTCATCAGCTTCTTGATCAGCTCTGGGTCCAGATTCCGCATCAACTCAGCTCGCTCCTCTTCGATCTCCTCCTGCGACATGTTGGCAAGTTTCCGATTGTTTTCCTCGTCGATCTGATCCATGAGGGTGCTTTGAGGCGAATCCGACACCTTCTTGAGCACCGAATGAAGAGCTGGTCTTGGAGGGAGCCCTGATTCTATAGCGTTTCATATGAACCCCCCCAACAAGGAGACAAAAAAAACGTCATTTGGTTAAGAACAAGACTGGTTCAGGGAGGACCGAAAAAAAAAAAAAAAAAAAAAAAAAAAAAAAAAAAAGTGTTCCAGCAAATTCTTTTTTTTCTCTTTGCTTTGTAAACAACGATGGAATTTCCTTACGGTGGGATTGGGATTGTTGTTGTCCGCTGAGTGGCCTGACGCTGGGTCCGACCGTGGGTCTAAGTGGCTGCGCATTTTCTATTCATGAGAAAAGGGTTCATACACGATAAGCGAAGCGTCCGTCAGATAAAGTATTTAACAAAAGAAGTCTACACCTCTCATTCCTCGTTTTTGCACTATGAAAACTGTCCACGAGCAATCATTATGTTTAACATGTCGTAAGTGAGTTTGTGATATATTACCTGGATTGGAAGAAGATTTGACGACTGTCGGCCTTGCTTGACCCATCAATCGAGTAAAGGAGGCTGAGGATGGGATGTCACTGCTCTGCATAGGGGTGGTCAAGACAGCCTTGGTGACATCGGACGAAGAGGAAGTTGCTGCTGCTGTTTGGCCCTGGGATTGCGCCAGTCGCTGTGCAAACAGACTCTTTCCTTTAACAGCGCCCTTGGCAGGACGGGTGTTTGGAACTAAAGAGCCCATGGTGGTGGTAGCAATGGTTGGTGCGACAACCTCCCCGACAGGCTTCTCCAGGACCTCGTTCAGAATCTGACCTATTGAGGGGGTGGCCATGGCCAGTCTCCTCCGAGTCTCGTCCGCTGTCTCGATAGAATCCTGGTCACCGTCTCCAAACATGTCCATGTGGTCATTGCCACCAGCAGCCTTGTTTTCGTCGTCGTTGCCGTCATCCAAATCGATCTCGAACCGCTCTCCCTTGGTCTGGAAATGTGTTCGGGGTGCCTTGTTAGCTCTGTCCTGCAGGAATCTGGATCCAGGCTTCAACCGCGCAGTAGAAGCTTGAATACTGGGAGGGAGGATGGGCAATTCATCGCTGTCGAGGGAGACAACGTCCTTTTCGAGGGGTGGGGGTATGTCGTCATCATTATCGTCGTCGTCGTCAACGACGGTTGTGGGTCTTGGCCTCGTTGTTGGTTCTGTAGATGATGTGTTGGAGGATAGGGTGGGTGGCCTTCTGACTCTAAAGACGGACGCGGCGGGTCTGTCAGTCCCCTTTGCAAACTCTTCCTGCATAGCGAGGAGGTCGTCCTCGGTCTCTGGGACGTGTCTCCTCTGGCGGGTGACCCGTTCGTGTTCGACGAGTCTCCGTTGTTCTTCTCCCGAGTTGTCCATTGCACTTTGAATGAAAGTGAGTAAGTGTGTGTGTGTGAGTTTGTTGCTGTTATTGCTGTTGTTGCTGCGACTGGAATGAATGAGTCAAAGAAAGAAAGAGGCAAGGGGAAGGAAAGGACAAGAAGAGAAGAGAGAAAGGGGTGGGTGCGCGCTTCTTTTTGTGAAGAGAGACGTGTAAAGTATGAACTGATAACAACTAAAAGCTGCCAAAAAAGAAAAAAAAGGGGGCCAAACAAAACATCCCATGTGACTGCCTCGACAATGCCCTCTTCACACTCATGCAAGATAACACAAGTTCTCCATCATGCTTTGTTTTATTCACATACGCACATGTACCCCAAGCTATGAAAATGATGCCGCTACTGACACAACGTTACTCTCGTTCCCGCCATTCATCGCGGTCGTACATGTTCCGCTGTCGGTCTTCCTCAGACGATCCTGTCTCCTTTCTTGTTCTAGACGTTTCATCATCGTCATGGACACTCAACCTCACGCCACTCCCGGAACCAAGACTACGCCGCCGCCGACCCTCCCTAGACATATCCTGCAATTCCTCAGGTACCTCCGCCTCTGCAGCTTTCATCCGCAACAACTGCGCAGCCTCAAGCATCTCCTGCTTGGCCTGCTCCATCTTCTTCACCATCGCCGCCCGCTCCTCGTGCAGCGCTACAATCTCTGCTGCCATCACCTGCACCATCCGATGCGCATCCGTTTCTGTCATGTTAAGATTCTTGGCCGCATAACGCTTCGTCATCGCCTCTGCTGTCGTTTCTGCCTTGGCGTTCAGCTTCGAAATCAGCGCCGATCCTGAAGCGTTGTCATTAGCCTCCTCGGTGTTGTTGTCCTGGGTTGTTGGCAAGGAAGACTCGCCATTGCCAGTCGAAGCCAATGACGAAGGCCGAGAGGAATGGGGCTTTGGTTGGAGAGGTATTGGCATCGCGAGGACCTGAGAGATCCTGTCTGGTTCCTGCCCCAGAAGCGATGGCAAATCCAGAATATGCCGAGCCTCATTCGATGCCAGGAATGCATTCTGCACCTGCCCCTGGTAATGTTGTTGCTGCTGCATCTGAATAGAATCTTCCAAGGGTGCATCTGTTGCTTCAGCTGCTCCTTTGTTTGCTGGAGTAGACGATATGGGCGTAGACGACGATGAGCTCAGCAGGGTCGATGACGCAGCAGCAGGAATAGTGGTTGCTGTGGTTACCGAAGGCGTTGCTGTTGTTGCTGCCGTGCTTGTTGTACGACGACGCCCATCGTCGATTCGGTGATCATTGTCATGAGTGGTATTATTGGTCTTACTGCTGCTCTCAGACTTCAAAACGGCGGATTTACCACTCCGTGCTGCTGCTGCTGCTCCTCCACCTCTCCCGCCTTCTCCTGCAGCAGTGACTCCCTCTCCTGGCCCCTGCTCGTTCTCAGCAGCTGGAACCGAGATCTTGGTGTCTTTGAAGAAGGTGCACTCGATCAATTCCCGATAGGGTGGTCTCGAAAGCGGGGAGGGAGAAGAAGGTCGAGAGGACAGAGGGGACAGAGGTGACGAGCCAACAAAGGTAGTCGAAGAAGAGACCAAAGACGGTGAGGAAGGTGCAGGGTCCATTTCGAATCGTTTCCAGGACTCTTCCAAGTTTCTTACGGCAATTCGACTCGGACTCTCCTGACGCTCTTGACTCTCCTTCGCCATATCATCCCCGCTGTGCTCCGTCGACCCTCGCTCACTCTCCTGCCCTTGCCCTTGAAGGTGTTGTTGGTCTGCAGAGATCGTACGTTGTTTGCCATAACCCCCCGGAGGAGGGGTTGCGTGATAGGCAAGAACGCTGGCGAATCGCCGTGGGGAAGGGGATGCTGATCGCGAGCGGAGGTGTGGGGAGGAGCTACGGCTTGGGGAGAGAGAGCGGATCGAGGAGGATACTGGAGAGGAGGAGGAGGAGGAGATGTGGGGTGAGATGGAGCGGGGTAGCTGTGCGAGGTTTGACCTCACGTTGAAGAGCGCCGGCTGCATATTAGTTGGATTATCTATCTCTCTATCTTTTCACTGGAATGAGATGAAAGAAGAAAGGAGTGTACGCTTGAGGAGATAGAAGTATGCAGGGTGGAAGCGTGAGAAGAAAAAGAGAGTAAGATAAGATGAGCTGAGAGTGCAGAGAGAATGAGGCGAAAAGAGGAGAAAGAGGAAGAAGTGAGAAGTGAAAACCTTCAAAAAGAAAAAATCCTTGGAATGAAACCAGAACTTGTTTTGGGTCACGTGCATCCTGCCAATCATACGGTCTTCTTGTGTAAATCAACCTCTCAAGGTGATGGTGGTTTTCAAGATGGATTGGTGGATACGATAGGGATAGATCCTGAAGTGCTCACCAAGGCGTGGTTGCTGTTGTTTACGAGAGAGACACATAAACAACAAACTGTCAATGCGAGTAAGAGAACAGGAACAATCAAAAGGAGATCATTTTTCTGAAAATAGCCCATCCAGGGTGTCAAGGCAATGCTGGAGAACCATGGAACCCAAAGAAAAAAAACTGTACACACCCTCAAATTATGGTGGGATAATAATAAATACTTTCATCATCACAGCCCATGCATGCTTCGTCGTATATAACCGCTTGCACACATTCGACAGCTCTCGCACAAAATGTTCATGTACATCCGAACGGATACTCATTTCAACAACAGACAATGAGCAAATGACAGAATGACACCAAAACGGCAACTTTGGGGGTGTGGGTGAAGGGATGGGGGTCCATTTTCTACATCAGCTCATGTAATTATTTTTTCTTAGCCCCGCATCCCTGTCCAAGATGACGACTTTGGCCCCTGCCTCACCCTTCCCGTCTGACTTTTTCTTCTGTCTCAGCCTATCTGCTCATCTATGATAGACTGACCCTGTCTGTGGATCTGCAACTGTCGTCGCCGTTCAGCGGGATGTTCGGATAAAACACCGTGCGCCATTTTGCCGGCGAGGCTGTGGGTTCTCCATTTACTGCTTCAACAAACGTCCTGAAAACTCCATATCTCAATAGGTCCTCTTTCATTACAAAAAAACCATAGCAGACAAAGTGGGTCAAGTCAATCAATCAAGCGGAGCAAAGCACAAGCAGAAGGGAGATGATGTTTTTGGGATGATGGGTGGGTATTCCAAGAAAAGCAAAAACATGCCTCTCTTGGTGGGGTTCTTTTATATGCTAAAAGATGGTTTTTTTCACTATGGTTACAATGCTCGCTATTCTACTGCTACAGAAAAGAAAAAGGAAAACGCTCAAAAAAGAAAAAGAAATGATACAATGGTGTGGCATTGAAGAAAAGGAAAAGAAGGGTGGTTACAGCTAAACGTACAGGTAAAGGAAATGGACAGTTGAGGGAGAAGCTATGGTACAGCTGAAAGCAAAAAACAAGAAAGGAAATGCCAAAAGGAAACAGGGGATATAGAAGCAGAAAAAGAAAAGGGAAATTTAGGCAAGAACGAGATCATAGGCAAGGGTGCTGGAGAGCTCGGTTGTCATGTCCAACTCGTCCGAGGAGGCACCGTGGAAGATCTGGGAGTAACAGTTGTTGATACTGTTGTTGTCCTCCTCCTCATCGGGGCTGACAAAGGCCTGCTCGAGCATGAGGCGCTTGCGGGTATTACGGCTCGACATTACATAGACCGTAGGGCTGGAGGTAAAGTCGGTGGGCAGGGGCATCTCCTCCTTATCCTCCTCATCGTCGGAGCCAACAAAGGCGTACATCGAGGAACGCTTCTTGGAGTTAGTCAAAGATTGGAGAGGTCTGAAGGAGAGGGTAGTGGTGGTGGTAGTAGCGACAGCCGTTGCGGAAGGCGAGACTGAAAGAGCAGGGAAGGACTTGGCATTGCGATGGAGGGCAGCGACAGTAGCAGCGGCGGCGGCGCAGACGGGGCTGGGGTAGACGGCCTCGATGTTGTAGCAGGACTCTTGATCTTCATGGTTCATGGAGGAGAGGTTCTTGCCGATAAGACAGGAGACATCAGAGAGGATGGGAGTAGCAGGAGCAGACAGATAGGCGGCCAACTCGGAAGGCTCGATGTCAGGGATCAAGAAGGCTAAGAGCTGCTCCTCGGTAGGGGAGAGAGGAGGCGTGAACAGTAACGACTCGCTGCTTGACCGGCTATGGTACTTGTTACTGTTGTTGTTGTTGGTCATGGGAGTGTTGACTGAGCGAGTGTAGGAGTAAGAGTCGCAGGGAGAGGACATGGGAGAGAAAGGCATCGACGCCATGTTGATATGTGATGATATGATAGACGGAGGATAGGAAGAGTGGGAACGCGTCGTTTAAGGAAGTGAAGTATCACGTGGAGGGAAGGAAGAGCTAATGTATGTGCTGCAGAGGACCCTGGAAAAAAATGAAGCAGAGTGATGTCGTTCTTTGGGAAGATGTAGATGGGAGTGGAGTCAAGGGAGTGCGGGAATGGAAGTGCGAATGTGATTGGAGTGGGAGGAAATAAGGGAAAGTGAGAGATGGGGCGTAAGAAGAAGGAAAGTGTGAGGAAAGGAGATGAAAATAGTAATAACGAAGTGTTGAGAAGAGCCGAGCACTTGACGACGAAGATAAGAAAGAAGAACAAAAAGAAAAGAAAAAAAATGGGAAACAAGGGAAATTCTGGTCTGACTTAAATAGGATTTCAGAAAGATGAGGCGGAATGAATTGAATAGAATAGTGAACCCGCTTTTTTGCTACTGTGTCGGATTGAATGACGACGAAAAAAAAGGAGAGGGAGACGAGAGCAAAAACAAAAAGGTGAGGAGATGCAAAACTCATTTCGGGCCAAAAGGGCTTCGTTAGGATGTAATGTAATCACAGTAACCCACATCAACGGTCAGTTAGTGTTAGTCAGTCCGTCAGTCAGCCGGAAAGCACCAGAAACAGAACAAAGTGCGAGAGAAAAAAAAAAAAGCGTGTGAGTCGGAGATTGGGCAAAGGACGATGAGGGCATTGGACAATGGGTGATTTGGGAGCCAACAAAAAAAAAAAAAAAAAAAAAAAAAAAAAGCGCCTATTGCAGCCAGCCAACCAGCCAACGAGCCATCCCTTTCCAGCCTCTGTCTCAAGCAAAAGATAATAAAATCTAATTAATAGATTTTTTAAAGAGTACTAAAGAATATTAAGGCTGAATTGAGTCCGTTGTAGCCGTCAGAGGGCGCATTTCTGCTTGGCAGGACTTTCTAGTCTGAGAGAGGTCTGGGAGGCGGAGTTTTAGGTCTTGGAGATTCAATCGGAGTACTTTAAAGACACAAGGAATTGTATTGGAGGAAAAAGAGGAAAGGAGCGACAAAGAGAACGAGGGAAAGGGGTGGTGCGGGTCATCATAACAATAGACAACAAAGACGACAACAACAGAGGAAAAATAGGAGCGAGCCCTCTTTTGGTACGCGGGCCTCGAGGATGGAACAGCAAGTGAAAGAACTCTAATCAGAAATCGACCGACCGAACAAGGGTGGAAGGGAAGGGAGAGAATGGAAGGGGCACATACTCATACTCACACGCAGACACAGACATAGACAGACGCATATCTAACGCGCATATCTGACACGCATATTGCACGCAAAAGCGGCATCATACTCCTACAGCACTCCACTCACTCTCGCAACTCGCAAACAAGAAGTAAAAAAAAGCGACTTGCCCCCCCTCGTTCTCCTTCATTCATACCGTGCCTCCTATTACGCTCCCTCCTCCTCCTTCGCTATGACAACAACAGCGAACCAACGAGATGAGACTTTTTTTGTTTCTGATTCACGATGTGTGTCTGATAATTATGTGCGTCAATCCTATTCTATCATATGTTGATTCATTGTGAACCCAGCCTTCGCAGGCTTGTTTCTTCCTTCCTTCTTTCCTTCTTTCCCCCACTTCCTTTCCCTTTGTCATCGCTTCGCTCTCGTTCGCTGGGACTCTCGGATAAAGGGAAAAAAAGGCGAGAGGAGGAGTATCATGGCTCTGGGAAAGGAAGACAGAAACACAGAGACAGACACAGACACAGACGCAGACACAGATACAGATGCAGACACAGACACAGATACGCAAAGAAGAAAGGGACAATCGACAATTGCATCGCATCGGAAGGGGCTCAATTTGCATTTCTTGCATTTGCATGAACCTGTGAATAACACAACAACAACACAAAACTCTCATTTGGGATGGGCAAACAAGTAACCCGCTTTTGGCTTTCATTCATTAGACTCAAGGCCACAATGAGCAAAAAATACAATCGAAGGGTGAGATGTATGCATGTATGTATGTATCTATGTGCTCATGGTCCCCTTCCCTCCCTCCTTTCATTCCCTCCCTCCAACATCCATCCGGTCCATCATCATGACTTTTTTTTGGGTCCTTCTTTTTGTCTTACCATACTAACAGGCACAAGGCAAAAAGGGTGGTCCCCCTCTTCCTTCCCATCCCTTGCCTTTCCTTCCTTCTCCTTCCTTTGCGTTCCTTTCTGCAACAAAGTCCCACCATCTCTCACTCGACGTAGTCTATGTGATATGTGTGAGAGTTGTGTCCCTTCTTTTTTTGCCTTTCACCCCCTCGCCCCTCAACCCCCTCTCTTTTTTTTTGTTTGTATCGTGTCTGTCTCTTTGTCTGCTTATGGTCCTTTGTATTCTTTCTTTTTTTTCCTACGATCACACTCTACGCACGCGCTCTCGGTCCCGTTCACTCACACACCAACAACAAAAGAAAAAGACACCAAAAATACGATCGGTGCTGAGCAAGCGGACTTTAGATTTCCTCGGACTCAATTAATTAGAATACTATTTTAATAAGAATACCTCCGGCATTGTCATTTTGCCCTCACTGCCTTCCCCACTCCCCCTTCACTCCCATTTGCTCCTATACCCCTTGTCCTGCATGACAATGCGATGGACGGATGGACCGACAGGCGGACGACAACAAATACACAATCCCAGAAGTGGTCATGCGCCCCTTTTTTCGACTGTGTACGGTACTTGTTGTTGTCAATACACATCTGAGCCACACATATCCACTCGCACTCACGACGACATACATCATGACAGAGTACTTTTTCAGTAGTTACTGTCGGCAAAGCAATCTAGTCCAAGAAAGATCTAGTTCTGTGCAATTAGTTTATTGGATAGGCCTACATAGTTTTATGGAACATCTTCAACTGCCGCCCCGCCGCACGCAGCCTGTGGCACGCCCTCTGCCAAAAAAAAAGCTTTCGCTCTTCCCTCGTTTTTTTTTTGGTGCTCATAATGCCGCTTGTCTGCTAGGCGTGCTGATTTCCCTTTGGTCCCTTGATTTTCTCCTTTCCCCAAACTCGTAATCGAACATATCACGGACTTTCTGGGAGGAATGGAGGGCGGGCGATGTTTGATAAGTGCGTGTATATGATGTTGTTTCCTTTTGTTGTCTTATGCTGGGCTTGGATTATTAGGAGAAAAAATGAGCCACGAACATGGATCATTTGAGAGTCCGAAACGTTGTTCTCTGTCTCCCTTACAACGGACACTCAAACGATATGCCTTTTTGTTGTTCTGTCACTTGAAAGAAAAAAAAGGAGAGAAAATAGAGATCTGGGCTCGTATTGTTGTTATGTTATGCGGGTTTACGGCGGGTAGAATGAAAGATTGAGAGACAGTGAGGCACGGCAAATCAAACAAAACACAAGACAAAACCAACAATCAACAGCAGAAACGCAGCCCCTCCGTCCTGCGATGCGTTGTGCACGTTGCTTTTACCTTCTGCCTTTTTGTTTTTTTAATGGGTTCTCTCTCCTTCAAATGAAATGAACACACAAATTTGTCATGCCTGTCAATCCAGTTTTCATCCACTCAGCTTCACCCACATGTTATCACTCTCCTTCAATTCGTTCCCGACGGACATAAATGTGGCAAGTCCAAAATGGGATCTAAGGGGACAACGGACAACACACAGGTACCCATCTCTCTTTCTAACGTCCTTTATTTCCTAGGCCGATTGCCTTATTTCCATTGCTGCAGCCGCCTGCCTTGCTATTCGTTGATTTGATTGCCTCCTCTCCTTCATTGGCCATTCATTCCGTCGATTGGTCTATCTCTTTGATTGCCAAACAATCAATCGGCTCTTCCTGTTTGCGATTCCTTTTTCAATGCATAGGACCCTGTCCTTTCTTCCACTTCATTCTTTGTATTTTATCGATCATGGCATGGAGACAGACCCCCCCATGGACAATAATAAAATGGGTTATGTAAACTAGTCTGTCATCGTTTTTTGTCTATTGTTACTTTTGGTCGATCCACAGCCCACCAACAACCCAGGGACAACTATGAGCATGCGTAAGGCTATTTGTGTATGTGCATCTATGTGTTGCTCTTTGTGGTAGCCACATTGTTGAAACCCACACTCTCTCACACACACTCTCGCACGCTTGGCCTAAACCTGAATCTCAACCACTCCTCTTTAGCCCCCCTCTCTCTCTCTCCTCCTGTCTCGTGTCTCTTTCTGTCTCTCCCTTCCTTGTGTGTCGCTTCATTGTTTTACGCCCTTTTGGCAGAGTTTATTTAATTTCGCGGGTGGGTGGGTGGATGGGGGGGGGGGGGGAGAGAAAGGAAGGAGAAGAAGGGAAACAAAAGGGTTTCTATGTAGTTTGATGACCATGATTGTTTTGTGCTTGTTCTGGTAGATTAGACTATTGTGCAGACAAAAAAGAAACATGGTGTAGACCCAAGAGATGCGTAGGTGGGATAGAGTGCAGTTACAATTACAGGAGCATAGTGAGAACAGGCGACCCAACATACACAAAGAGAAGGGGGACGGGTCCACATACATACACAGAGAGGATAGGAGAGTGCCACGTTCTCTCCGCCTCTGTTGTTGGTGTACTTTCTGCAAGGTCGACCGTTAGACAGGAAGAGACAACGTTACTTTTTTGCAAGCCCGCCAAAGACACACACACACACACACACGCATACAAACAAAGAGAGAGAGAGAGAGAGAAAGAGAGACAGAGAGGAAAAAACGCCGTTCACCCGTACCCTTTTGTTCGGATTGGATGGAACGAAGCCATTGCTCGTGAGGATGATGATGATATACTGGAACCCCTTTCCCCTTTCTAGCCTCCACCGCCCCTCCTTCCCTGTCCATCCCACATCTCGTCCCATCTCATCCCATCCCCCACCTGCCATTTTTATCACGCAAAGAGATACCTGCAAAATTGGTTTCCATTTTCGCCTACCGAAAGTTCAGGGGTTGTCTTTTGGTTCACGAAAGGAAGGGGACAGGGACAACACGCAAGGGTTTGATTTTTGAACAAATAACAACATGCACACCACACAGGGAGAGGAGAGGGAGAGGGGCGAAAAAAGGGTATCATTTATGCATAATTTTTTTTTTTTCGATGGATATGGGGTGGAAGGTACTTGGTGGAAATAGGGATGGACTGGCAGATGATGGTGATGATGAAGAGGCACAGGTGAGGGGAAAGGAAAGGGGAGGATAAAGGGAGAAGGATGATTGGGAATAGAAGGGGGAGAGGGGGTTTGGGATTGGTCGGGAACCCCTTGAACCTCATAGTTGCCCCTAGTATCTCTCCTCTCTACGTTTAGAAGTGACCCTTGCAAGGGGTGGTGTGGATGCGGTAATAGAGAGGGAGGAGGGGGGGGGGAAGGTGTTCTAGGGCGGGCCTTGTGAAAAATAGCAGTATTGGGTCTAGCAACGACGCCAGGATATGCGGACCCGTCCTGCATCGAGACTAGCTATCTTTGCAAACGCCCCTGGCGTCAAGTCCACATCTCCAGATTTGCATCCCGGACACTAAAATAGAGAGAGGGAACAGAAGAAGGCAGTGTGCGTTTGTTTGTTGCTTGTGTGAGTGGGCATGAACGGAAGGAAGGGAGGATACAAATCAAGATGCAATTGGACGGCGGAATCCACGCCAAAGAAGAACGCGCTCATTCTCTATCCCACCATATCCAACCAACTAAAACAAAACAAACCACCCAAACAACCAAAGGACAAAAAAAAAGAACGAAAAATAGAAGATGAACGAGAGCAGCAAGGCTATGAGAGCCGCAAGCCCAGAAGAGAGGGTTGAGACTTGAGAGCATATGTATGCGCGGTTTACGATTATTCATGACAAAAACAAAACGTGTTTGTAAGTGGAAACAAAACTTGCTTTTGTCAAGGCGGTCTACTTTTCCTTCCAATCATCCTTCGCCATCTTCTCCTCCACCCATTCCATCTGGGGGAAGGTTTTCTTTATGAAGTGGGTGTGAAGCTGCTGCTCTTTGTTTGGTGTGTGTTTTGCCACCATAGTAGTGCTCTCAATAAACAAAAAACTGCCGATAAACAAAGGAAAAAAGAAGCACAACCCACGCATGCACTCGTTTCATTCGATCACGCAGCAACAACAGCAACAACAACAAAGGAAAATGGAAAAAAAGCCCACGCCCACCACCCATCACACTCGCTCGGCTTGCTCCTGCTTCATAATTTGCCCGTCCACGTATTTTCATTCTTCCTTGCTGTTGTCTACTTTTGTCGCTATCTCATTCGCTCCTTCCATTAGTTTGTTTTCATTTTCGCTCTAAAAAAATACCACAAAGAACAAACTTACCATATCGACGACCTGCACAGTAACTGTGCCATTAGGCCCAACTACCTGCAGACACTGTCCGCAGGCAGGCGACTTGCTTGCACGCGCGAAGTTTCCAAAGTCGGGCTTGTTCAAGGCCGCAATCATGTCCATTGCCGAGTTGATGTACGGATATTCGCATGCGCCCATTTGAAAATCTCCCGCACCGTTCTTTATGGACGGGTCTAGTGTTGGGATAGGGAGGCGTAGTGAGATGATGGAGGAAAGAGAGAGAGAGAGAGAGAGAGAGAGAGGGTATGGCGTTAGTTCGTCAGATAGGCAGGCGTTGAAGAATAAGCGAGGCATTTTTTTACATGCCGGATAGCACAGTAACAGGCACTAAAGACACGCGTCCGCCTCAAGCTCACTATCCAATCTCTTTGCTCCCGTAGTAAAAAGCTGTGCCCCACATCCCACTCCTCCTACTGCTATCATCCTAACCATACAAATCTCAGTCCGTCTACCACTTACCATAGAAAGTCCCTTCGCCTTGGCCGGTATTAGTCCATCCAGGCTCATTACTATGATTAATAGGCGCCGGCGATATTCCTGCATTATGTTTCCTCAACTCCTCCATCGTCGCCGTCGCTCCATCGCCCCACTCGTTTCCAGGCTGTCCTAATCCACCACCCCCACCGCCTCCTCCCAATCCTCCATCAAAGCCATCATCATTCCTACGTGAAAGAAGCACCGCGAAGAGAGTGATGAGGAGGAGCAATAAAAAGCCAATAATAAAGAGTAGTGCTGCGAATCGACGACGATGGCGAGAGATTTTGGGGTGGCGCGACATAAAGTTCTCGAGGAATGTTGGTGATGAGCTGGGTGTAGTTGTAGCTGTATTTTTCTCCTTATCGTAGCTGCTTGGGTGGGTGATGTAGAAGGTCTTTTTGGAGGGCAGGGGTGGCGGGATGTCGGGAAGGTCCTCAGCCTCCTGTTGATGAGAGGCAGCGTTGTTTATCCTGCTGGTGCTGCTGGCAAATTGGAGGCTCAGTGGTTCATCCTGTTCCTGCTCATGTTCTTGTTCCTGCTCCTGTTCTTGTTTGTGTGCTTGATGGCGGTCAAGACCACGACGGGCGGGTGCAGGTGGTGCAGGCAAAGGGTGGGTGCTGTCGTAGTCGTTGTTGATGTTTATATTGTTACTGTCAGTACCCATGGTTCCTGAACCAGCAGCGACAGCAACGGCGGATGGTTTCTTGCGAGACATGAGGTACTCTGCAGCCGAGGCTCTTGCTAATGGCAGCTGAGACTGTCTGCGCCCTGGAGGTGATAACGGTTCACTCATCGTCCAATCAGTCAATCAATCAATGATCACTCTATCAGCCTCTGGTGTCGTTCCTGTCTTTTTCGTCTGTAAAATGCTGTCGACTGCTACTGGTGTGTTGTCCTCCTTTTTCTTTGTCTGTTGGAGGTGTGATGATTGCTTGTCCTGGTATGTCCTTGTTAGAATCGTAACGCAGAAAGAACTCGAATGTCGGTTGATTCGTCCTGGATGTATGATGAGATGAAAAAAAAAGAAAGAATCACTCCCTCATCACTTTAATACCACAACTTTATTACTTGCTGGGAAGAAGACGAGGGCGTATTGGTTCCTTGCCTTGGCGACAAAGTGCTCTCACCCTGCTAATGAAATATGACATAGGGTAAGGGTTGATGCACGCTCAAGGCAGGTACTTTATGTTTGTTTGAAACGACCAACTAGATACACTCAACATGCGATGCCTTTGTTTACTTCCGTTGGGCTTCTTTTGTTTTTTTAGCCCTTGTACGCAATGGAAAGGAAAGACGATGATGAGGTTGTTCAATTTGTTCTGTGTTGCACCATCGATGGATAGACGAAGCCTTTGTAGACAGTGGTGCATCGATGCTAGAAAGCAGAACTAGATCATCCTTGTCCTTTCCCTTGTCATAAACAAATTCAAGAAGCCAAATATGCATCGTCAATGCCCAACCCATGACGCTTACTCAAGATCCCAACACCAAAGGTTACAAGGTATAAAAGGTATTGTTATTAAAAATAAGAATTCTTCTCTGTACATGCACAACGTCATGACGACGACATGGGGTCTAGTTCTTGAGTGGGTTCTTGACGACATAGTCAACAAAGAACTCCATGGCCTGGGCAATCTCCTCACCCAAAGGAATAATCTCCTCAGGGGGCAAGATGAACCCGCTACGTCCACCAGGGTTGGTGTCCGAGGGGCGCAACTCGATAGTGTACGAGTAGACATGCTGACCGTTGTTGGCAGCAGTCGCCTGATCGCCATAAAACCAATCGCTGGCAGCGCCTGTAGTTTTGTACAGGGCGACTGAGGGTTCGCTGATATACTTCTTGCCATGGACATCCTTGATAATGCTGACGATACGGTCGCCAACAAACTTGTGCTCTTTCTCATGGGGGGACGGCTTGGTGGTCCAGCCCTGAGGGCGGAGGACGAGCTGGGAGTAGCAGTGGAAGTCGATGGCACCAACGATATGCTTTTGTTCGCTAAAGAACTTCTGGAGGGCTTGGACCTCTGGCTCTGAGGCGGCCGATGGGCCGTGGTAGGTCTCGCTCCATGGGAAACCACTCGATCCACCCTCAGCAAAGTGATCATCCCAGTTGCTAAACGAAAAAAAAACGTTTGAGTACAATAGAGAGTCGGCGAACGTCAGCCTGCCAATGCTTCAAGTATGAAGTAGTGCATGAAAAAAGGAGAAAAGTATATGCGTACCGGTTGAGGTCGACGCCAAAGGCACCGAGACCGTTTTGACGACGGTTCTTGCGCCAGAGACGGTTGTTGTTCCAGGTGTAGTCGTAGCCGTCGATGTTCATGATGGGAACGATCACAAACTCTGTGTCGCGCAGGATGGCCGTGATGTTGTCGTTCTTGCCATAGTTGCTCGTCAAGTGGTGGGTCAGGAATTGGACTATGAGAGCATCACATCACACAAGAGTAAAGCGTTAACGTCAATGAAAAAAAGTGTCAGAAACAAGGCACGGAAGCTGAGGTTGGAAAGAACGTGCACATGCATACAGGTGCACGCAATTGCATTTAGACCAAGACGTTAGGAAACAGTCCTATGGATGTTTCTAAGGTATCCTTTTCCTTAAACCGATAATCCATGTTGCTCAAAGCGACAAGAAGGTTTTCTCATTGCAACTCACCTGTTGAACCACCGGCCCACTCACGAGCGTGCTGGCTGTAGTATGGATGCAGACATCGTCATTGACATGGAAGGAGACAGGGGAAACGGGTTATCGATATTTTTTAAGTGAGGGTTGGAAACAGAGACAATCGAACGAAAAAAAGGAAGAAGCAATGGGGTTAGTTCAAGTCAGTCGTGTTTAGCTTTCAGATGAAGGTGCGAATGGTTGCGAGTGACAGAGCCAAGTCTCAAGCCAAGCCAAGCCAAACCAAGCCAAGGCAAGGCAAGCCTGGACTTTAAGCAATTTCAGGAGAAGGAAGTGTCATACGTAAACAACCTCCGCCAGATACAGAAAAGAAAGACACAAAGCGATAACTTACAGGCCTTGCCACCAGATTTGGGGCTTCTCCTTGATGCTTCCATCGTGTTCCTTGGCGGTAAGCTTGATGGCAAAGATGTCGCGTTCTTCAACGGTCTGTCCAATCGAGGGGATATAGGTGACCAGTTCCGGGTAGTCATCCGCAATCTGCAAGTAAAAGTCCTTGATCTCGTCGTGACGGTGGTAGTTCTTGAACCAGTTCTCAAAGTCGACCCGCTTGTTCTTCTTGTCCTTGTTGCCGTAGTGCTTGTTCTTCCAGACAGAGATCTCCTCCTCTGCACGCACCCGGAGCGAAGTCATATATATCTGTTCGGCATCCTCGTCTGCGACTCGTTGGAGATCCCGCTCGATGACCTGCCAATCGTCGCCACCCTCGGGAATGCCCTTCAGGTGCATCGCACGCTCGAACCGATCAAACTGGGAAGCCGTGAAATGGGCCAAGACCTCGTCTGAGGCGCTGGAGCGGGACCAGACATCGAGATGCTGGAGCATTGTTTCCATGGGTTCTTCCTGCTCTTGAATTGTCGAGGAGGACAAGGGTGAAACTTCCCTCAGAGCGAATCCAACAGGGGTGGGGAATGTGATGTCGTGGTGTTTGCGGGCATTGAAACGAACCAGAGCATGGTTTTTGAGCTCGCGTGGGTAGTTGACTAATAGCCACAGCAAACAGGGTGAACACATAAGCGCGTGGGAGGGTTAGTGTGGGTAGTAGAATAGGGTCAGTCGGTTATCTCTACTCCCTGTCTCGCTATCTCGTGCTATCTCAGGGTAGTAACAACGGAAGAAGGGGAGTATCGATAGGGAATGGTACCTTGCTTGATGCCAAAGATGTCGTCGTCATCGCAGTGGGAGATACGCTGAGGTCCACTTCCTCCTTGACGGTGACCTCCAAAGACCACCTGAGCACTCTCCGAGGCACCACCCTCAGAGGTGAAGGTCAGGTCGCCTGTGACAGATATCATCTGGGCTGCGGACTGGGTGGCCAGGAGAGCAAAGCTCAATACGACCGAGATGCTGAGAAACTTTTTCATGTTTCCTGGAATGAGAATGAGAATGGGAAGGTAGAAGGTGAGTGTGAGACAAAAAAACGGAAAAAGGAATGGGGAGGGAAGAAGTGAGAAGGGAGAAAAGGCACACGGTTGCTTTTTGCCTTCTCTTTGTTGGGAGGGAACTCACAAGAACAAGCGTCAATTGGTCAGGGCTTGCTTTCTTTCCCTTTTCTCCTTTTGAGTCTTCTTCCAACGCTCAAATTAACTCGCACGCCTTTGAGGCAAGGCATGGGAGGGAACACTATGGCGTCTTGTTGTTTTTGGGAAGACGAGCAAGGGAAAGGGATTAGAGAGCACTCTGGTGACAAAGATTGCTTTGCTTTGCATCGACCCCTGGACGGATCCAAATATGGCAAGGAATAGAACTGGTATGCCTTGCTCCCTCTTCTGCTGCGAAGACAGACCATTAGTTTGTGTGTGTGTGCGTAATAGAATTTCAGTCAAGCATGGACAATGGTTGTAAACAAGCGATGGCCCATCGGCGGGTCCAATTGTACATACCTCGGATGCCTTGCCGATTTTCACACCAACCATCCGCCACTTGCGACATGTTATCACACATTTATGTGTTCACAAACAAGAGCTGTCCAGCAGTATACATGACGGCGATTTTTATTACTCCAACGGTGTTCAAATGGCTACATCATGATGAACTATTACCAGGGGTGCCGTTCGTTGACGAAGGGATGAGGTATCCATCCTGGATGAATGGCGCTGACCCTCTCCCACAGTATTGATACTTGAAAGGCTCATTACCCCATGACAGAACACCTTCCTCCAGAGTCCTTGCAAACAGCTCTAGTCGGCTTGGTGGCCACTTTGGCTCGTTGTGTATTGCCGTGTCCTCTGAAGTGCCTTGTGGGCGGCTGTCCTGAAAATATTCTTCTGACAATATACCCATGATTGACGGTTTGCGAGAATGCTGGCTTGGCACACTCACAATCAACTTGCGACTTGGTCCTGTGTCGACTGAAGTTACTTCTGCGGCAGCAACTGGTCCTAACGATCCTAAAGGTGTTGGCGCTTTCCTCCTCCCAATCAGAATGCCTTCATAAGGTCGCCGATGTTTGTTGTCCAGACTCAGCACAGGTTCCCCATGCGTTGTCACCTATTAGGGTCGTGGGGGAAGGACATAGTTGATATAGGACATTATCCTGACGCCGATAACTAATAGCTGTCCGTCTTCTGAAAAGAGAAACCTTACCTTGAGCCAGTACCAGTGAGCAACAAGTTCGAGTCCCCAGGCAGGAAACAGCTTCTCGACAACAACCTTACGGACCTTGGCTCGATTAGTGATCCAAACGGCAACCACTCCTCCCCCTCCTTCCTGGTCTCCGTTGACGTTGGCCATGGGAGATAACAAGTCGGGAATGGGTATATTGAAAAGATCGTACAAATCAAATGTCCCATAATGACCCATCCTGTCAACTGACGCGTTCTGCCAAGGCGGGTCCATAACAATCATATGGAACCCTCCTCTCTGTGCCGCTAATCAAGTTAATGGAGGGATGAGATTGAGTGAGATGTAGGAAGGCGAGCGAATCCACGCAGATTGGCGCATGGGGAGTTGAGGCTGTGACATACCAATAGCTTTCAGTCCTTGTATGCTGCTAAAGTCAGATGCGACGAATGCTGACAAAGGCGGAACCAGATAGCGTGGTTGTCCCTCCGTTGGAAAATGGATGAATGCGGGTCGGGGGTGTTTGTTGGCTACGAGTGTCTCGTACACGTCCGTCATCTCCAACTGCTGCTGCTGGTCGTCTGGATCAAGTTGGATCTCGTCGAATTCAACAGACGCATCGTCGTCTGCCTGGTTCCGCCGCCGGTTGGCGGAAGTTGACTGAAATCCGTGACGAAGTAATTGTAAGGTTGGCTGGGCTTTGACGAGGTCTAGAATGAACTCTTCGTTGGCGGGTGCGCCGACATATGTGCCATAAAAATAGTCCCGTTCCATCGAAGAGATATATGTCTTTGTGCTGTCGTTTTCCAGGATCAATTGGAGTGCGGATTGGAGCCATTGGGTGAGTTCATCGTCGTTGTTGGATTCGGGGGTCGATAGCTTTTGCTTTTTGGGGGGACGACCTAGTGCGACCAACTGGGCTGATGTTTCTGTTGCTACTGGTACTTTGTCGTAAGGTTGTGCGACGCGGAAAGTGCCTGGCCGTATGTTCCACCCTGTGATAGGCTCCTTGACTGGCTCGAGGAGGACAGCCTCGTCTGTGGTTGTGATTATGGCTGTTGTCCTCATCCGCGTCTTGATTCCCTTGTTCATGTGTGTTGCTTGTCGAGGTGAAGTGTGTGGAGAAGGCGTGTTTGCCTGGACTTTATGCGGTCAAGTGAAATACATCACGTGGGAGAAAAGCATTTCTTTAGAGAAGCGACTAAGCCACATGAAAAAAATGCAATCCTATCACTCACAGACAAGCAGACTCTGTCTTACAGCACACACCTACCCCACCCTCCACTTGTAACAAGTAACAAGGACACCACAAGACAAAGATCGAGCAGACGACAACAGACGACCGTCCAATTTCAAGTTGAAGACCACAACCAACAGTCAGTGGCGATCATTCCATTCAACAACAGTCCAACAGTCCAACGCCAAAAAGTTACATATAACCCTCATTTACTCTCTCGCTCATGGGTGCTGCACGATCACCGCCCCCACCTGACCTGGATCCGCCTCTCTCCTCAGATACCTCTTCCTATACCCACCGTTCCTCTGCCAAGCGAAAGTCCTCTTCCTCTTCTACTTCCAGAACTGCTGCTGCAGCAGAGGAAGACTACTACCACTACAACAAAAACAACAACAACAACAACACCAACGACCACGACCACGACGCCTCCTCTAGCCGCGACAGGAAAAAGAAAAAAAAGAACAAAAAGGAACGCCGTAGCGACTATTACGACTACGACAACAGCAATAGCAACGATCATGATCAGGATCGGTACCATGACTATGGCCAACATGAAGCTGCCACGCCCCCTCCACCGCCACAATCAGCATCATCATCACGGCCCGTTATCAAGTTGCCGCCTCTCAAGATCTCGCTGAAGCTATCTTCAATCGCGCCGCCATCCTCCTCGGTCTCCTCTAGTCACAAGTCCAGCAGTTCGTCAAAAAAGAAGCGACGTTCCTCGGAGCAGATCAATATCGTGTCAGACGACGAAGACGATATTAATAGCAACGACTACGACAACGATGAGCAAGAGGCCAACTACTCATACCGCCGGAGGCAATCATCTGTTGACCTGGGCGAGGACCAGGACATGGACGCCCCACAGTCGTCGTCCCATAAAAAGAAGAAAAAGCACAAGCACAAGCACCGACACCGACACCCCAAGCACGAGGACCAGGACGTCGAAGAGTCACACCAACACCGACCGCAGCAGCACTACGAGCAGGAGCCAGCGGAAGTAGGAAATCGAGAAGAAATGGAGGATAAGGATGTAGGTGGATATGACACGCCCAGGATCACAATGCGGCCAGGCAAAGAGAAGAAGAAGAAGAGCCGGAGATCTTCATCCCACCGATCACACCCCAGTCACCCTTCGGACGAAGCCGAGCACCATTATCAGCAGCCTACCCTTCCACCACCACAACAGTCCAAAGCACGGTCCCGGTCTCGATCCATCAGTCAGAGTAATGGGGACGTATCGCTCATCAAGCAGGAGGAACCTCCGGTTCAGCCTACCTACCAGGAACCTGTACCAGCACACCCGCATTCTCAACTTGGGATGAAGAAGCCTCGATCGGCTTTGCAGAGCATGGTGACGCAGGAGACAGCGGTATCGCAGGACGAGGATGAGGACCTGGACGACCCCTTGGCAGGCGAGCTTGATGAGCCAGAGGACGATGATGACGATGAGGAAGAAGATGAGGAGGAAGAAGGAGACGAGTCGGACAATGGCGAGTTGACTTCGCCTATTCTGGACCCAGGAACCAACGCGCAGTTTGGATCAAAGACGGTCAGGGCTGGTCAAATGGGCTCCAAGACTCTTCCACCATCTGCAACGGCATCCAACTCCAAAAAGGCACGCAAGCCTTCTGTTGCCAAGGAGGCCAAGGAGGGCAAGGACACTGCAGAGTCAACACCTCGCGAAGGATCCGTCCCAGAATCAACCAGAGGTGGCAGGAAGGGCAAGGGATCCAAGCGGCACTTGACCCCCAGGACGACAACACCCGCCATCCCGAAGAAGAAGGAGCTCTCCGTTGTCTGCCACAAGTTACTGGACAACTTTATCAAGTAAGTTTCGATGCACTGGAGTGTCTTTCTTTAATGCAATAAGCGCAGTTGTTTACTTTACTAACCATATCTTTATTTCAATTTGACCTGCAGGCGAGATTCGTACGTCTTGTTCAGTCAGCCTGTGGATCCTACTGTGGTGCTGGATTATGCAACCATCATCAAGAACCCCATGGACTTTTCAACCATGCGGTCAAAGGTGGAGCGCAACTTTTACCCTACGATCGACGAGTTCCTGTCTGACTTTCAGCTTGTTTGCGACAATGCGCGACTGTACAACGCCAAGGAGACGCTTTACTGGAGACAGGCAGACAAGCTTTGGGATTGGGGGTCTCGTGCGATTGAACGCGAGCGCAAGACTATTCTGGATCGGGACGAAGAGGTCCTGCGGACTGTGAAGGATGAGGAGACGCTTGACGTTGGGGGCATGGGCGACTACAGCGGTAATAACGGTAATGGCGGCGGGGGTGGAACTGCGAACGGGCTGCCGAACCGTGGATCGTTTATGAGTGTGGAGTCAGCAGTTGATGTAAGTGAATATGATGTCAGATTGCGGAGGTTGAATCGTACCGCTGTAATTTGAATGTGCGAAGCATGGATGGATGATGTTTGTAGTGAAGTTGACTTACCATCTGTATGCTGTGGTCAAATCACTAACATGCCACAATACTACTATTCCATACCATTTGACAACAGTCGCCGATGTCGATCGCAGACTCTGGTCGATCACACACGCCACAGCAGTACAGAAAGACAAAGAAAATCAAACACCGCAGAGACGGAACCATCGCCTTCACCTACTCCTCCGACGGATCCATCGACCCAGCATCTCATCCCGATCCATGGTCCCTCATCCCCGTCCAACCAGAATTTGGTTCGCCGCCTTCCCTACGCCCGCTCCTCGATACCATCTCCTCCTCCTACAACGGCCAATATCTCGACGACTACCCCTACTGGAAACCACCCACCACTGGCTCTCGTCCAGCAGGCTATCTCGACTATGGGCCCTATGCCATCATGGACAAATCTCCCGTCGAGACCGATGGATCCTCCAGTGTCAGCCTCCCAGTCTTTACAGGAATGGTCTTTGGAGACGACACTGGCGAGGCTTATGTCAGAAGTCTTGCCATGTTCATGGAAGGTATCGTCGACGTCAACGAAATCTCGCAGATGACGGAATCCGATGCCGCGGGTCTCTTGCAGGTCAAGGAGCACATCCGCAAGAAGGTCGAGAAACTGACCCGGGGAGCCAGCACGATTGCAGACAAGGTGGCAGCCATTGTGTTGGAGGAGAAGACGGGTCAACCTTCGGACGTAGACACTCGTGTTCCTAAGGCACTCTGGCAGCAGGATTTCGATACTGAAATGGACGATGCAACTGAAGCCACTACAACCACAGCCCCATTCGAGGAGAAGGTCGGACTGAACAAGGACATTTCCAAGGAGCCAGAGGATGCGGTCATGGAAGATGCGATTGTTCCATCAGAAGGAAGAGAAGCAGAAGACACAGTCGCTGCAACCGCCACTGATGCCGAGTTCAAGGATGCTGAAGTCAAGACCGAGGAGAAGTCTGGCTTGCAGCAACCTGTCAAAGACCAGAGAGGTGAGGAGAAACGGGGTGTACGCATGACGTCGATCCAGGCGGAGCCAGAGATGATCGACATTCGACAGGTCGTGCGTGACATCAAGGCGTGGCCTCAGGCGCAGAAGGTCAAGGCCGATTATGAAAGCTGGAGACAGTTGAAGATCGAGCTTGACAGTCTTTTGCCATTGGCTCCAGCGGACGAGAAAGTCAAGATCGAGTGGGGCCAAAGCTGGACGGGCGGAGATTCAGAGGAGAGCAAGAGGTGGGTCCGAGAGTCTCTCGAGAAGAACTCAGCCGAGATGCGGAAGGTGGTTGAGCTGGTTGCAGCCAAGACTGCTGAGGACCAAGCAGCCAAGACACTCACAGACGCTACCATAGAGGGCACGACCGCCGAAGACAAGCGCAAGGCTGTCAAGGACAAGGATGTGGAGGTGGTCACATTATCTGATGATGACAAGGCCCTCGTGCTGCGACTGACCAAGAGCATCCGCGAGCGACTTGCAGAGATGGCCAAGTATGTCCCCCTCTCCGAGATCAATCCCCAGAAACTCCCACCACCACACGCCCCTCCTGTACCCACACCTGCACCTGTCACGCCTACACCTGCCGCTGCCGTGCCTGTTGCTGTTACACCTGCCGCACCTGCATCAGTTGCTGCTACAGCTGCTCCCGCCACGCCTGCTGTGACCACACCTGCAGCTGCCTCATCGTCCCTTGCCCCGACTGCCTCTCCAGTTATCACTGCATCTAGTTCAGCAGTCACTGCCCTTGCCACCTCACAGGACGCTTCTGTTACAGCCGCTGCACCCACTGCACCCATTATACCTACTGCAGTAGCAGCTCCTGCGGCGGTCACACTTGCTTCTACTCTGTCCACACCAGCACCAACAACAGCAACAACAACAACAGCACAAGCAATGGAGGCGCCCAAACCAGCACCAACGCCCACACCCGTGCCCACATCCGTTGCTATGCCAGCACTGACATCCCCAGCGGTGACTGAGGAGAAAGCACCCTCGAGCTCGACGGCGGCATTGACAGCGACTACTGTGGCGCCACTGAACGCCCCCACGGCCCAATCCTCAGCAACTTCATCAGCGCCAAACGCCGAGTCCACTGCAGCGACACCAGCCCCTGGACCAGAGGCATTGTCGGAATCAAAGCCAGCAGTAGCAGTAGCTGCTCCCGTACTAGCTGCTCCGTCTGAGAGGGAAGGATCTGCGTCTTCACTTTCGTCGCCCGGATCATCACCGTAGATGTTCGGATCATTATTAATCATTATTATTTCAACCTTCCTTCTTGCATTTTTTTATTCCATTCTCATTCCATCCTATTTCTTTTTTTTCTTTCTTTCTCATTTCATATCATCCATCCTTTCTCTCCTTCCCGTTCCAATGCTCGTTTTCTTCCTTTCTTTCTTCTTTTTTTTTCCCAATTGTAAAAAACGAATGTAAAATAGCCCCCTCAAATAATAATAAATAGTGAACCGAAGCACAAAAGTCCAGGATGATCGAGAGTTGCAATTCCGCGGCGAGTTCTTTATTTTCCTCTGTGATGTTGTGCATGAAGCTTGCTGGAAGAAGATGCACCTGTAGAAAAGCGGAGGGGAGATGTTTTCTTACGCCAAGGGCACATATGCGGAAGGCCAGGGGTTGGAGGTTTGCAGTGATATATAGAGCAGGAAAAAAAAAGATGAGATGGTCCAGAGCGGGGTTGTTTTTATGTTGCTCCTTCGTTGTTTGTTGTACTCTCTTCCCTTCCGATCGCGTTGTTCGTCCGCTACTTTTCTAACTAGTAGAGGACAAATACTTAGTGCGGCGTACCTCCTTTATTTTGTCGTCTTCCTCGATCGTCACAACTTGAAGCATGGGTGAAGATGAGCGATGGATTGGAGACCAAGAGTGAAGGATAGAGGTGAGCAATTGGCGCAACTGTTCGGATGTTGAAAAAAAGTAACACTAAGTAACACTCGTAGTCCCATGAGACATTATTTTACCCTTTTGTGTGTCCAAAAGTGTCCAACCGCCAACAGGGTATCAGAAAACGAGTACCCTACCAGTTGCAGAACTTTGCCTTTGACATCCATAAACGAGCAGTAACGGCGTTGTATGGAGGTTGTACTTGTCCAGGTGGGTACACCTTTGCCTAATGTTTCTTTGGCGGAGGGAAGAACGATGCCATTTTGGGTGGTGTGAGACTGAGAAGGGTAATTGTTGTACTTCGGACCATGGAATTAAGATAGGGATGGTTAGAAAAGGTATGGCGCAGAATGCAGAGTGAGATGTCCGTTGGGAGTTGACACGCATGGATGAAATGCAATATCGACAGCACTTATCGGGATAAGGAGTAAACAAGTTGTAGATGTGCAGACAGTTGTACGCCGGAAGTGCGTTCGATCTTCGTTTTTTTCTTTTCTACTTGTAAATGCAATGGGATCGCTGACGTTGATGGAAGATGGTGAATTGATGGAAGGGATCGAGCATGCAAACTCGCGGTGGAGATGAAGAAAGCGAGCAAGAAGGGGGAGAAGGTGGTTTCGTTATCCTATTGCTTCCTTTTCTTCATCTCCTTCCTTCGCTAGAGGTACCTCCGAGGCTAATGGAGAGAACAACTCCGATGTTTACATCTCCCATTGTGTTTTTTCTCTTCTTTTCCTCTTTCGCTGGAAAAAAGAGTGTCTGGACCTTTCGTTCTTCTCCAATCCCGCGCAATTCACCATTCAAGACTAAGAAGTAGGGGAGGTAGGGGCGTGCCCGATTCGACTTCGACTGGAGAACAAGTGAGTACCCTACAAGTCATGGCTGCAACCACTAGGGTCCTCATTTACTCTTAATCTTGACCGCATTAACCCCTGTTCCTCTTATTTCGTTTATCCTTTGTGTCTATATAAACCATGCCTCACTCCCGCATTTTGTTGTTCTCCATCGTCTTCTTTTCTTTTCTCTTCTCTATCTCTTCTCATCATAGACAAGGTGTACTTTGTTACCTTTCCATCTTTCGAAGTATCATCAATTACCCTTCCTACCCTACAGACGCATCTCCCCTCACATCTTTTCCTTCCCCTTTCTTCCCCTCCTTACTTCCCCTCCATCCCCTATTTATCTCCTATCCCCTATTTTCTTCTTTTCATCCTTAATTCTCTTTTCATTCTACTACTGTCCAACGCAAAAGATAAAAAAATGGCAGACAACTCGACAGATACCCCTACAGTAGAAGACTACAACATGGGTCTCCACATCGGAGGCCTCTTCGCCAACATGGCCGCCAGTGCCTTTGGTGGTAAGTCCTTCACCCTTTCCTTTTCTTTGTTCGTTTCCTCTTGCCTGTATTCTTTTCAGAAACTAAACTAATCAACGTACCTACGTCGCCAACTCTCTCTTTTCCCTTCCCTCTCTTGCTCTATGAACAGTTCTGTTGCCGATCTTGTTCGCATACACAACGTTCAACGCCCAGACGACAACTAGGATCCACAATGTCGTCCAAACCGCTCGCACCTTCGGATCTGGCGTCATTCTAGCCACGGCCTTCATCCACATGCTTCCCTCAGCATTCAGCAACCTGTCCGACCCGAGTCTCCCTGAGGTCTTTCAAGAGGACTCGGGGTACACTGGCTGGGCAGGTTTGATCGCCATGGTTTCGGCCATGCTGTTGCAATTGCTCGAGTACACTGCTACCCAGCGGTTCTTCACTCGGTCCAAGAAGAGTGGTGGAGATGTGCATGCGATTGATCGGTTGAGTGCGATTGGGGAGGATGATGAGAAGAAGAGAGTGGTTTCAGATGATACTGGGAGTTTGGAGGAGGGCCGTCGTGGGTACGCCGTTGGTGCTGTTGCTCCTGTTGATGGGTCGGTAGCCAGGCCGGAGGATTGCTTGCATATGGGTCATGTTCATGGTGGAGAGATCTTGTTGGTCAACAAGAATAACAAGAACCAGCACCAGAACCAGCACCTCCATCCCCACGGCGACGGCGAACTTAGCCATAATGACCACGGCCACGATTCCAACAAGGCTTCGTCCTCCTCGCAACAAGAACAACGATCCCGTGAGATTGGCACATATATCCTCGAATTCGGCATCGCATTGCACTCTGTGATCATCGGCATCACCCTCGCAACCACCCTTGGCACCGAGTTTGTCTCACTCCTGATCGCCCTCCTATTCCACCAGTTCTTTGAAGGCGTCGCCTTGGGCGGCCGAATTGCCTCCCTCCAATTCAAGCGGTCCTCCTTCCGGCCCTGGCTACTTTCTGCTTGGTTCGCATGCTCGACCCCTCTGGGTATTGCTATCGGCATTGGTATCCGCTCGTCGTACGAAGGCGACAGTGTCACGGCGTTGATTGTCCAGGGTGTGTTTGATTCCTGCTCAGCCGGGATCTTGTTGTACACGGCCATGGTCCAGTTGATGTCGACAGAGATCAACTCGAATGTTGCGTTCAGGGAGTCGAGCCACAACAGTCAAGTTGTCCAGTTTGTGGCGCTTTGGTGTGGTGCTGCTGCCATGGCTGTTGTTGGCAAGTGGGCTTAGATCTTGTCTCTTTTGTTCCTTTGGCCATCCTACATTTCTTTTCATCGTCTTTTCCCCTCCCCCCCGCCATCTACCATCTACCATCTTTTCTACATAGTCAACTAATGCATAAAAAAAGATCTTTTGGACCAACAGGGACTGAAATAGTACCTAAAGGAGTACTTCAGACAGAAACGGGTCTTTTTTTTCTAAGAATGAGATGGATGTGGCAAAAGACGGGCATCGGGATCAGCAAAGGAGGCACGAAGGACAAAAGTGCCAAAAAAAAAAAGTGGCCGTAATGCTTACAATTGAAATGACGCCGCCTTATTGGAGAAAGAGTGGGAATTGCAAACGAACCTTCTCTCGCTTTCACTGACATTCATATCGTACTACAAAACCTTCACCACACCTCAAACATAAAAGCTAATTGATACAACTCACATAAGTACAAAAATAATGCCGTACAACAATATCGAACAAAACTCTCGCGGTTGACGACAAAAAGCTCATTAAGAAATCTTGAATAAACGACCGTGTCGACATTAAAACATTAACGATGAAAAAGATACCCCCCCCCCGGCCATTAAACACCGGCTTTGTATCTGAGATTAACAATAAAAAATAACACGGCACCGTCTCATTGCTGCCGTAGAGGTCATGGCGTCCCCATCAACATGGAGCCTGAACCCCGGCTTTGATTCATTGAAAACTGCTGAATGGGGACGCAAGAGATGACTTCACTACTCGATATCGCCTTCGTGCCCTATATGCTCCACTATCCAAGAAAATGCCTTTGAAATTCAAAAGTTGTTCATACACATTACAGCCGCGGATTCCGCCATCTGTTTTTTATCGACGTTTATCGAGGCCTAGGGTTAGCCCTCAAACATAACCATGATCGATATGGCGCAAGACTTAAAACGGATTGCGGCGAAGAAGAAAATTGGATTAGCAAAAACAATGGATCGTATCCGCTTGTCCGCTTGTTCGAGTTGGTGACAGTATATGAAAATGGACGTTGCTAACCCTGTTCACAAAAGCTGCAATTCTTCAAACAAATGTTCTTTTTTTTTTTTTTAGGTGTATGTGTGTGTTGTCACTTTTGAGAATTTGAAATACCCTCTTTCTTACAAGTACTTATTTCCTATCTTCTATTTTCCGTCTCAGGTTAGTGTGTTTCGTTGCGACCAAAAGTACGCCGGAGTAGCTTTGCTTATCCTCCTTAACTAATATCGCTTTTCAATCGTCTTCTCTTGCTTTGTTATTTTTTTTTTCGCACTCAAGCGAATTAGCTTTGCCTTTTCTTATTCCCCTGGAACGCAAAGGCACAACGAACTAATAAAAGACAGCAAGGGTGAGAATGACGGCAATCGACATGGCCATGGGACAGAGGAAGTAGGGAGATCATGCAAGTGATAAAAGGAGATCCCGAAAGTCTGCTTGAGTGCGAAGGTTTGCATCAAAGGCTGACTAGCAATACCCCAACAATGACGCGGTCTATACCACCGCTCGCTTCTGCTGCTGCCATACCCCTCTTTCTCACCACTACAGCAACATTCAATCCACAGGTCGATGCCTGCGGTGTTACCACCCACAACGAAGCCGCCTTCAGAGCATCCCGTATCCTCCTCTCCGCCACGATCAACTTGCCTACCTTGACTCTCACATTTGCTTGTCTCTCTGTCCTTGCTCTTTTACCTTTTCTATAACCTTCAAGACCAGGTTCACGTTTGTCTGTCACTTAACGAGCATAAGCGCGTTCTTTTGACAGTTTTGAATTGTTATTTGTGAATAAAAGTCTTGGTGAAAGCGATGCAACCATGTGGAGGGGAACAGTAGATATCGATTGGGGTCATGCTTGACCATGGTCATCTTCCGTGTGTAAGTAAGTGTCAGTACACACTATCCCCACGTGAAGTGACTGCGTGACTGTCTTTTCCACGTACTCTAATTTTCGAAATGTCGAATTTGCAAAATGAGTCCCCCCATGATGTTAAAATAAAAATTTCAGACCCAGCTCCCACGTTTTTCAAATCCAGCCAGTATAAAATGGCCGCTACTTTTTCCCCCTCGCTTTTTTTCTTTCTCTTCCCTCAACCTACTGTTCCGTTTGCCATGACCCAAAAGGGTCTGGACATTTAAGGGCCAGGACCTGCCTTGAGCAGGACCTTTAAAGGCCTAAGGATCAGAACTTTGACCAGGACCTTTAAGGGCCAAAAGGTCAGGATCTTGACTGGGCACAATAAGGGCCTGCTAATGATCAGAATCTCTTGACTGGGACCTTAAAGGATCTAAGGGACAGGATCATGACTAGGACCTACAGGGGCCTGCTAATGGTCAAGATCTTGACCAGGACAAGGATAGGGCCAGATCACCTTCTCTCTCTCTTCCCTCTCTCTTCATTCTCCTGCCACTCCCTCCGCATCAACAATCAACCACAATCAACAGCAAACAACAAGGAGACAGCCATCAGTCCCATCTTCCCTCTTTTCCCCCTCCCTCTGTTGCAATCAACCTTTCCCTTGCCAAGATCGCCTCCCTCCTCTCGTAACTGGATGCCAGCAAGACCAGCAGCCTGCTAGGCGAAGTCATCACTGACAAGAGCACTTTCAGGATAAGCACTTTCGGGATCAGCACTTTCGGGATCAGCTCCTTCGGGGTCAGCACCTTCGGGATCAGCACCTGGACATCTGTGAAGGCAAGTATCTGGAAAGGAGAGCCGGTCGACTGCTTAAGCGATGGGAGGCATGGACGATGTGGCGACGCGACAACAGTGGCATCGGGGTTCTAGTTCGGGGTCTGCCACGGGGGTTCTAGTTCGGTGACGCGCGACGCGCTCAAGGCCTAAGGTACCTCTCTACTACTTTTCGAGCTTGTTTGTTAAGGGTCCTTTTCACTTCTTCCTTTTCTAACCAACCCATTCATCTTCATTCATGCATTCCTTCTCTTAGCCTTCTCCCATCGTCGCCCAAGGAGAGAACTGGTCTTCTCTTCTTGCGGTCGACTTTGGGTGGACTCCTCGCCAGACTGGACAGACAGTCCAGGCTGACAGGAGGCACTTCTCAATGGGCCGAGTTGCCATATGAGCTTGTGCTTCCTCTCGCTGGAAGTTCTGTTTGGTGAGTTGTAGTCCACCCTTGGTCGACTACAAGAAAGAAGGCCAGGTCTCAGTCGAGGTCGGGGTCTGCCACGGGGTTCTAGGTCGGGGTCTGCCACGGGGGTTCTAGTTCGGGGTCTGCCACGGGGGTTCTAGTTCGGTGACGCGCGACGCGCTCAAGGCCTAAGGTACCTCTCTACTACTTTTCGAGCTTGTTTGTTAAGGGTCCTTTTCACTTCTTCCTTTTCTAACCAACCCATTCATCTTCATTCATGCATTCCTTCTCTTAGCCTTCTCCCATCGTCGCCCAAGGAGAGAACTGGTCTTCTCTTCTTGCGGTCGACTTTGGGTGGACTCCTCGCCAGACTGGACAGACAGTCCAGGCTGACAGGAGGCACTTCTCAATGGGCCGAGTTGCCATATGAGCTTGTGCTTCCTCTCGCTGGAAGTTCTGTTTGGTGAGTTGTAGTCCACCCTTGGTCGACTACAAGAAAGAAGGCCAGGTCTCAGTCGAGGTCGGGGTCTGCCACGGGGTTCTAGGTCGGGGTCTGCCACGGGGGTTCTAGTTCGGGGTCTGCCACGGGGGTTCTA